CATTTGTGATGTGTTTCTCTGTGATGTCAATTCATTCCTGTCCATTCTGTCATATCTCCATCTTTCTCTTGCTGCTTCTTCAGATTGCACTGCGTGTTAAGAGGTAAGATCTATCAAAGAAGGTGAAAGTGACTTATGTTTAAGTCCAGAAAGAATCCTCTCTCCAGGAATTTCCATTTTTTTGCCTGAAAATCAGCACTTGGACACAACTTTTTGTGAGGATCTTTTGAAGACTTTAGTTCCATCTCGCTCTTGAGAGCCTCATTTTCTCCTCTGCACACCCTGAGTTTTGAATCCATGTTACAAACCATCTGCTGTTCTACCAGATCACACATCATCATCCTTTTTTTGCACCTTCATTGACTCTCTCCATCTTCTGTAAAGTAACATGCACTCTGGAAAGCAAGGGAAAAGGATATCTGTACCAAACATGGTTTCATTGGCTACAAAGCTCCAGGATGCTGAGCCTCTCACCAGACCCCTATAGAAATGGAATAATAGTACAACCTTTGAATTGTGTGATTATTCCTTAATCACAGTATCATAGGCTCACAGAGTTAAGGCTGAAAGGGACTTTAGAGGTCACTTAATTCAAGCCTCTCATTTTACAGATGAGGAACTAAGGTTCAAAGAGATCAAGTGTCTTGTCCAAGGTCACACAGGTAGTAAATGGAAGAAACGAGATTTGAATTCGGGTTCCCTGGCTCCAAATCCAGAACTTTTCCCACCATACACACTGCCTCACTCTTGAGATAATGTATGTAAAAAATCTTTGCAAATCTTAAAGCACTGTATAAATGTTTTCAAATCTTACCCAGTTTGTCTGTCTGCACAGACAAGTAAATTAGTCAGCTAGGTGTCAAATCTACCCCACTGAAAAATACATTAGGATCAAGTATTGTATCATTAAGGGCATATGGTGGAGCTGAAATGGAAAGTGGTCTCCATTCTACCAGTAAGCTTGGGCTAGAACTTCCCCATGATTAATTAGTAACAAAACCTGAGTTTTACTTTGTGAAATTCCTAAGGACTAAGAGCTGGTACTGTTAAAAACTTGAATGTAAGGTCCTAACTTTTTGGAAAGTAATTGTTTTCAAGGGTGTTTTTTTTCTTACCGGGCTGAAGTAATCAGCCTGTAATAATCACCTGAGACCCAAGTTAAGATCCATTTATTTGGCCCTTAAATTTCTCATCTTGTTATCTTTGTTTTGCCACGTGAGAATTAAAAGGAAGTGAAGGCAGAATCACTATTACATGAATTTGGATTAGGGGAGGGAGAGCCCTCTCATTAATTCTAGAAGTCAAAATATTCACCTTATAATATTCTCCTCCTACATTCACATGAAACATCTCAGGCTCCCAGTCATCATGCATCAAATCAGGATCCCCAGATGCTGGAAGTATGCTATATTAGAAATAAATGTCACTTTCATTGCCCTTCAAGCTAGCGTCTTCTTAACCAGCTTTTTAAGAAAGCTCATTGGTTACATCCAGTTCAAAAATCTCTCAGCCTACTAGTCAAATAAGTATAGGACCTAATGGTTATATATCTCAAGCTGAAAGGGATCCCAGAAGCTATAAAATTCCAATATTGCTCCTTTTCTAGTTGAGAAAACTGAGGCTTAGGGAGGTTAAGAGACTTGCCCAAGGTCACAGAGGTGGTTAAGTATCATATATGGAATTTAAACCATTTCCATTATATTGTTCTGCCTCTCATTTGATACATGTGTCCATGTCTAATGTTTATTTTATAGGTATACTGCCCCATGAAATCATTGTTATGTGGAATCATCATCACACTTTTAGAATCGGTCCCTGAGAATTTTCTTAAACCTTGTACACACAATGCAGTTGGTGACAGATTTTTGGAATTGATGTGCATTTTTAGTTGATACTTTAAAAATTATGAAAGTAAATAATGTATAGAAGTATACTTTGGTCTCATAAAGAATATTTCTGGGAATTATAAGAAATAATCATCAGGATACTTCCTCAAGTGATCCAGTATAACCATCACACTATCACAAAACAAATCCTAGAACTTTTTTTTTTTTTTTTTAGCGAGGCAATCGGGGTTAAGTGACTTGCCCAAGGTCACACAGCTAGTACGTGTCAAGTGTTTGGTCTGAGACCAGATTTGAACTCAGGTCCTCCTGACTTCAGGGCCAGTGCTCTATCTATTGTACCACCTAGCTGCCCCTGAACATTATTTTCCCTACACCTATCTCCACCTGAAAATGCCCTACAGTCCTATCCATTACTCTGTATATGGCAGGGAGTTTATATTGTGCTTTTCCGTGTAATGGGTGTTCAGCACATGTGCTGATTGATGGAATTAATAGTGGACTCTAAAGATATTAAATAATTGATGTGGACCTTACAGTAACTTGACTCAATTAGGAAGGTAATATCTATAAAGTTGTGCTCTAGTTACTTACTCTTCTTGTGGTAAAGAATGAGAGAAGTCACTAGTCCAATCAACCTTGAAAATACTAAGAAATTCTTTTAAGTAGGTGATGCGTGGAGGAGATAGAAAGATGGAAAGCCACTAATAGGAGGTTGAAAGTGAGGATAATTGTACAACAGCAATGAAAGCTAAGATTAAGGAAGCCATGGGACACCCAAAAATGCACAAATACAGCACCCCAAAATATAATACAGTAAACAGAAAGGGAAAAAAAGAAATGTGAGGAGATAGTTATAGCAAGATACTAAAATGTTGATAAATGACAGAAGGGATGTTAGGAGAAATAAAGCAAAAGAAGATAAACAGTGGGATGATTGAAGAAGAAAACAGTCTTATATGAGAAGGGAAAGGTCAGAACAATGGTCAAAAATGAATGGTATATTCAATTATTGAGAGGGAAGGAAGGAAGGAAGGAAAGGAGGGAGGGAAAGAATCCTCTAAACTATCCATCATAAAACTGTACATATAAAAAAATCATAGTCTTGAAATTAAAGAGCTGTGCTTAGTTGTTCATTTGGTTAATTTAAATGTATTCTAATTCTACCTGTGGCCTAGGAAATATTTCATATTAAAATGGCTCCTGAAGGTAATACAAATCAGTCATAATTGATTTCAGTGGCTAGAGAGAGAGATAAAGAACAGCACGTTGGACCTGGAATTTTGCTTCAAAATATCACCAAAAAATAGATTAAACCCCTTCTACTTTATAATCCAAAAATATCACTCTCATTTACCTATCTTCTCTCAGATCTTTTACCTATTTCCTCATGGATCCATTCATTGTGACAATATATTGCTAACAACTAAATTGAGATTGTAACTTACAAATCACTGGTATCTCGTTTATTGATGAAAGTAGCTGACAATATAAAATGTTTTAAAAGAGATAGTAGTTTGTTAGTTCTTACTGTCTTCAATTAATACCTCATTAAAAAAATTACTGTGATGTGATAGCCTTGTAAGAAGAACTTCAGATCTCATCGTCCCTCGAAGATTGTAATGTCTTTGGTTCTAAGGTCACAGCACAGTTGTCTGAACCTGGGCATTCTTAGAATCCTATCTACATCCTTCTTCCCACACCCCCATAAACACATATCTTTTAAAAACATATGTCTAAAATATCTCCAACAATAAATTGTTGTTGGACAGATTGGAGGAAATAGTTCATTTGTTTCTCCCCAAAATGCTTTGTTTCTTATGAATCAATTGGATAGTTTCCTATTTTAACACATTTAAAAGTCATTGCCTGCATCTTTTGTGTTCTTCATATAGAATAATGAAAACAGACCATTTCATCCCAAGACTATCTGTTCTATTTTTTAATTAACCAGAAGGTATCTTGTGGTACAAACACGTAGTAATATTATGATAAGGATAATGATGATGAGGTTGATGATAGCATTTATAGAATATATTTCATAATATGTATTTATAGGCTAATAAAATTTTTAAGAATAATAACAACCATATTTATATTTATTTTAAACTTTGCAAAGTGGTTTACATACATTATTTCATTCGCAACTCACAATAGCCCTGTATGTACAGGAATTATTACTCCTGTTTTACAGATGAGGAAACTGAGGCTGAGAACAGTTAAGTGATTAGTCCTGGATCACAGAGCTATCACATATCAAATACTAGATCTGGAATCCAGAATTTTAAAAATCTGAATATAGTATCATCTCCCTTTCCCCATGTTGCTCTTCATGCTATTAATGCCCAAATCCTTCTGCTAAAATAACAAAAACAATAGTGGTACCTTACATTTATGTAGTGTTCAACAATTTATAAAGCACTTTAGCATACAGCATCTTATTTGACCCTCAAAACTCTGTGGGGTAGACTGAGCAGGTATAATTATCCCCATTTCACAGATGACTAAACTAAGTCTCAGAAGCCAAGCAAACAAACTGAACAATAAGCTTCAGTGGAGTGCAGCCAAGATCTTCTGTTGAGTGGGACAGTATGAACTTTACTTTTATTCACCTCACACAAATTGAATTAACTGGAGGGAAACTAAGCACTCAAGAATTTTACTAAAATAAGGGCTTAAGGACTAGAACTCTAGTGTTTGCCTGCTTCATGATAAGGATTATTCTTCCTCCACATATTCAGTGAAACCCAGCACTCTCCCACATACCTTGGTTTGCATGCCAAAGCATGACACAGCTGCCCCCTGAATGTACAAAGGTGGGTGGTGGGTGTGGAGATAGTTAGTATTGGTGAGCTATTTCTGAAAACAATGAGCTCAAAAGCAAAAGCTTGCTTGAATTTTTATTCCTCTCAATTGAAATTTCTTGAGCCTGTGGACCTCATGCCATTGCATTAGACTGACACCATTTTGGAAGTCCAGTATGAGAGAAATGAAAAATAATGGAGGTATAAGTAGATTAAAAACAATTATTTGTTCACTCTGAGGCCCTCACAAAATCACTGGTTCCCAAATGGCACATTTATTTCCTACGTGGGCAACTTCATGTTCTTTGCTTTAATCATATCTGATTTCCCTTTTCCTTCCAATTTGAATCAGGAAGCTCCAGTGGTGGCCAGGGCAGCGCTATTCCTGGAGTGTGCTCGCTTTGTTCACCGGTGCAATCGCGGCAATTGGCCTGAGTGGATGAAAGGACACCATGTCAACATCACCAAGAAAGGCCTTTCCCGAGGCCGATCACCAATCGTGGGCAACAAGAGAAATCAGAAGTTACAGTGGAATGCAGCCAAGCTCTTCTACCAATGGGGAGATGTGAGCCACAGTTGTTTTTTCTCTTGTAAAAATTAAGTGAAATTGAGTTAGTAAAGACTTCTCATAGAATGGGACATTGACAATTTTTAAATTATTTTCCATAATCATTGAAATATAAACTCAAAGGAAAAATCAAGTGGAGTGGTCTTTGAGTTTATTCTGTGAGAATTGGTATGGTGTTTGTTGCAAAAAGAAGTTGGAACATTGAGATTAAAATTCCAGGTTACCACTTACTCTGTGGTTTGTGGTATCTCCCTGAGGCTTAGTTTTCTCTTCTTTGAAATGGAAATATTAATACTTGCCCTGCCTCTTTCTGATAGGGTGATAGGGCTGACACAAAGACTGCACTGTTAAGTGAGAGTTAGGAAGGACTCCTGAGTCTTTCTAGTCAATCTCCTTATTTTACAGATAAGGACCAAAGAAAAGAAGTGACTTGTCCAAGGTCACACAGGTAGTAAGTATCAAAGGTAGGATTAAAACCCAAGTTCTCTCCCTCCAGGGCCATTGCTCTCTATTATACCCCACTTTCTCCCATCAAAGAGAATGACCTACCCCTATGCTATCCTGACAGATCCTCCAAAATGTATCCTTTTTTAAAATGATTAATTGGAATATAATATCTAACTTCCCTTAGTAATCCATTCTAGTATGTCTATTAATGTGTCTGACAATAGAGAAAGGGTCTTCTTTTTGTCTAAGTTTCTCCTAATTCATGCCAAGAAAAGTCAACTATTACATAGGATTTTGAGGTTTATGCTAGCTATGTATATTCGTGTATGTGTCTGAATTCATATTTTGCATTAAATGAATTATTTTTGCACTCTTAAAAGTAAATCATCTAGCATATAAAAGACAATATGATGTCTTTCATAAAATTTTTATTAAAAAACTTTCTAGTTCTGATATCATTAGATAAAGATCATTGGCTTTTAGAAATAGATGGATCCATGTGCTTTTTCTTTATCTAATATTTTAATAAAAAAGTATGTGTTAATGTTTCTTTTTGTAAATCATTCAATACTCAAAATAGAACCAAGATCAAAATAATATAAATTCCTAGGTAAAAATTAGGCATTGTTGTTCACTCATTTTTCAGTTATGTCTGACTCTTCATGACCCTTATCAAGCTCATTTTACAGATTAGAAAACTGAGGCAAATAGGGCTAAGTGACTTGCCCAAGGTCACAGAGCTAGTAAGTATAAGAGGCCAAATTTGAACTTAGGAAGATGAGTCTTCTGACTCCAGGCCTGGAACTCTATCCACTGTTTCACTTAGCTGCCCAATACTTGTTATACATTCTGCTTATCTAAACATTTTGCTTTCCTTTATATCTGGAGAAAAGCCATTACCTTTCATTCAACTCCAGGCTTCCCCAAGAACTTTTCCTGGTCCTTGACCCTATTAATTCCAACCTGTTGCTTGCTGCTATTTAGCAAAATAGATGTAGTTATCTCTGTAAATACACTGTACTGTGAGCACTCACTGATCTTTCCTGCTCTCCACCCAGGTAGTCATTGGCTTACAATCCAGAGCTCCAAGCTCTCTCCTAGGACTGTTATGAGGAAAAAAGGAAATAGTTATGTACAGTGTTTTGGAAAATGAAAATCACTGTAAATATGTGATTAGTCTTGAAGATAGGGGCTAAACCTATGAAATTTTTGGTATAAAGAATACCTTAGATAAGAAAACCCTTCTACTAATGCAAGTAGGGGATCTTTTCTGCAATCTATGGCCTTAAAGAGTTGCTAAGAGTACTGAGAAGGCAAGTGATTTGCCCAAGTTCATACAACCTGTGTGAGTTAGAAGGAGCATTTGAACCCAGACCACCCTGGAACTAAAGCTAGTTCTCTCCTCTATCCACTCACCAGGTTGCCTGTCAGTGGCTACTGTTATGTGCTTAAAATGAACAAGTTGTTTCAGAAACTATATTTAGAAGTCCTCAGGAGATTATCTTCCTGCCTTGCCTCCTCACTAAAGTACTGGTAATGGCCACAAAATGTTTCAGAGAAGCCCAGTGAGTCCTTACCTCCCTCCCATCTGAAAGTCTATTCAGTCATTGTCTTCATTTGGGAGTTTCAACAGATGGACATCAAGAACTATAGCCTATGTAACTCCTCCCACTGTGATTATGTTGTTTGTTACTAAGCACAAGAGAATTTGAAAGCCTGTCACCTTGGTGAAGAGAAGTTGAGCTCTTGAGACCAAGAAGTTATGAGACTCCAGATGTTATTATGAAAAGTTCATCCCCAGCTGCCTATTTTTATGGGTTTCCTTTTGTATTTTCCCCTCATTAGTCATGCTTGGCTAGAGCTTATCAGATTTAGAGCTAAAATCAAATTATTTTGCAGGAAGTTTTTAAAATAGCACACTTAGTTCTTTTTTCCTGATAATGGTTGAGTTTGCCACTTAATCTAAAAGGTAAAGACCAGCTCATGCTCTCCCTGGATACAAAGAATTCAACACTAATTGCATTTTTTATTTAGGGCACTTTAGCCAAATTCATACCTGACTTAATTTGGTATTCATCAAAGAAAACATTATTACCTAGGAATTTGCTTAAAATCTTGATGTGGGCAGAATTCAATGAGACAGATATTTATTAAAATACCTACTCTTTTGCTAGGCACTGGGGATGCAAGATAAGACATAGATTGTGCTCTCAAGGAACTAACAGTCTTCTACACAAATGTGATAAAGGAAAGAGCCAGAAGTGCAGAGGAGGCAAAATGCTAAGAAAAATCTGAGGAAAGATTTCACTTTCCCGGGAGGAGAGGGGTTGTAGAGAGAGGGAAGGAGAGATAAATGGAATTAAGGAAGACTTTGTGGAGAGGGTGACATTTTAGCTGAACCTTGAAGGAAAGAAAGGGACTTTAGGAGATAGAAATGGTATGGTATAAAGAAAGTTGGGCTTGGCACCAGGAGAAGCCTGGATTCAGATCCTAGCTCCGTTCTTCCGTTGTAAAAACTAGGATGTCACCTAACCTTTTGGGGCATGGTGCTTTTTCCGTATTATAAAAACAGATTTTATTGATCTATTTTGCTTTTGTTCTACCTGGCTTTCTTCCCATATCACTCCCACTTCCAAAGAACCATCTCTCATGACTACAACAAAATTGTTTTGAAAGATATAAGCAAAAAGGAAGAGGAGGAAAAAGCACCAGCACCAGTATGTAGGAAGAAATTGACATTTTACCCAACCATTCACATTCACACCCTTTCCCCCCCCCAGAGATCAGACAAAGGTGTCTTCTCACATCTCTTCTTCAGAGCAAAGCTTCTTCCTTGTAATTTCACAATATTCATCTTAGACTATTCTGTAGTTGTTTTTCTTTCCATTTACATAGTTGTAGTCATTCTGTGTTGTTTTCCTGGCTTTTTAACTTCACTTTGCAACAATTTATGGCAGTTTTCTATGCTTCTCACTATTCATCTTACTAAATACATTCATCCACCATTATTTGATTACTCATTCCCCTCATTGATGGCCATCTGTTTTGCTTTCAATTCTTTGATACCACAAAAAGTGTTGTTCTCAATATATTGGAATAAATGGAACGTTTCTTTTTTTTTTCAACAACCTTCTTGGGATATATACCGAGCATATTTTTGAATGTTGAAAGGTGATAATATTGGAATAGGGTAGGGAAGAATAACTAGATTTCAGCTCTTAATTTCATTGGTGGATCGCTTCCCAGGACATCTGAGCCTGTCCAATACTTTGCTCATTATTACAATATCCCTGATTTGCTAGTGCATTACTTCGTAAAAGGCAGGAACATTAAACAGACAACTTAGGCAGCCTTGGTGAATTTGTTGTTGTTGTTCAGCTATTTTTAAGTCATGTACAACCTTTCATGACCCCATTTGGGGTTTTCTTAGCAAAGATTATAGAGTGGTTTGCCATTTCCTTCTCCAGTGGATCCAGTTAATCCATTTTGTTAGGCAATCAGACACTTAGTGACCTGCCCAGGGTCACAGAGCTAGGAAGTATCTGAGGCTGGATTTGAACTCAGATCTTCCTGTCTCCAGGCCCAGTTCTCTATCCAATGAGCCATCAACTGCCTCCTGGTGAATTTGTTTCTACTTGCAAATTTGGGAGCAGGGGTGAGGATAAATTATGATGGTGCTCTAATAAGATGGCAATTTTCAGTTTCTGGAGATAATAGCATCTGTTATTTTAAACCTTCATGAAACAAAATTCTGCCCCTGTAGCATTACTGAATTACTTTAAATAGTTCCTATAGCTATACGTGGGCAGCTAGGTGGCATAGTAGATAAAGCACTGGACCTGGAGTCAGGAAGACTCATCTTCCTGGGTTCAAATCTGGCCTCAGACACTCACTAGCTGTGTGACCTGAGGCAACTCTGCCTCAGTTTCTCATTTGTAAAAATGATCTGGAGAAGGAAATGGCCACTACTCAAATATCTTTGCCAAGAAAACCCCAAATAGGGTCACAAAGAGTCAGACATGGCTGAAAAACTGACTGAACAATAGCTATGTGCAAATTTATCTTGTTTTTTAGTTCATTTTGTTTTACTTGCTTATTTTAACATCACAAAAGAAAATCCTCTGGCTTGTCCAAAAGCAGCCTAGGGAAAGTGCTCCGCTGAGTGGTTTACACAAAGATAACTTCCCTGGCAGAATGCATACAAACCTCCCAGTTCATCACTGACCAGGTAACAGTGCCATAAAAGAGACTTACCAGAAATTCTCTGAGAGACGACTTGGTATTTTTTTTTTTGGTAGCAATAGCCTATTCTCTTAGATCTGTGCTATAAAACAATCATCCATTGACAAAAGAGAATATTCATTAAGAAACACGTTCTCATGGCTGGAGGGGCAGCCTTATGACCAGGAAGATGTGGACTCACAAGGCTGTGGAACCCTGGATCCTGTTAACCCCTTAGTGCTCTAGGCAGTGATCTAGCCTCTAATCTAAGCTATCTGCGTTGACAAAGAATTTCCTTACTTGCTACTGGTTTACCTATGTAATCACAGGTTCAGTGCCTATCCTATCCCTATAGAAGTAACGAAGTGTCGATTGTTTGCATGGAGTTCCACTCCTATAAACCTTTGGTCTTACACATCTTAGAGATGCCATTAATGCTTTCTGTTTCTCAGTTTCCATATTTGTAAGATCAGGAAAATGGTACTACCAAGACATAGCATGCTGAGAATAATTCACTGATATTATATTCTCAATAACACCAAGGACCCATTCAGAAACTTAAATCATGTGGTTTTTTTTCACTATTGTTTTTCCCTCCCTATGGCAGGCAATTGGAGTCCGACTGAATGAACTGTGCCATGGAGAAAGCGAGAGCCCAGCTAATCTGTTGGGTCTCATCTATGATGAGGAGACCAAGAGGAAACTGAGGAAAGAGGATGAGGAGGAAGACTTTTTAGATGACAGTAAGGAGACTCCCTTTACTACAAGAACCCCTGCTTGTAAGAACCTCTGCTTTAGAAAGAGCACTTAATTCACTTTTCTCTTTCATATTCTTGCCACTTCCCTGTCTTCCCCACATGCCTCACCCTTTCTTGCTGTGCATGTTTGTAAAGCATGTGGACAGGGGCGCTGAAAAGATTACAAGGGGCTATAGACTGGGGGGGGGGTAGTAATGAATCCTACTCAAGATGTGTCCCCCACCCCCATTTGCCTTTGTATTTATCCTTTTGCATTTTGCTATTGCACGAATATTAAAATTGTTTCTATCACCTTCAGAGTGAATATCACTGCATAAAGTTATGGAAAATTACTGGTATTTCAGAAAGCTCCCCACTTTTAACTCCCTTGTGATTTTTGAGACTGACATGCAGTCAGACAGTGTAGAGAGAGATGAAAAAATGAAATACCTTCCAAATCACCAAGGCCACTGAAGTATTGAAATATTTAATTGAATTATGTCACAGTGTTCAACATCCAATTCAAAACGAAAAAAAAAGAAAGAAAAGAAAGAAACTCACAGTTACAATGTGAATCCCTGTCATTCTGTACTTAAAACTGGAAATCAAATTCAGTTCTCTTCTCATAGAACTTCAAAGAGATTCATATATGTACCTTTCCAAGACCATTTTTGTACGTATATGTGTATACTAGCATGTGTGTGTGTGAGTGTACCACTGCCTTATCTGGAGTATAAGATGATAATATTATGCTTACATATTTCATTTCTTCCATTGATGAGAGGCAGTGTGACTTAGATGGGAGAGAGCTGGCCTTGGATCCAGGAAGACATTCGGATTCATGTTTGGGCTCTGGCCTATCCAGGCAAATCATTTACCCTCTTATTGCTATAGGCAACTTTCTAAGATTCTAAGTTGGGGAGTAGCTCTCCCCATTTTTTGCTTATGTAAGTGGACTTTTCACCCTAGGAGTTTGCTCTGCCAATGAAATCACAAGTCTGGACCAAAAAGAAAACAAAACCAAACATAGATGATCTAGAATATCTTTGTATGTGTTGATAGAGTCATGAATTGTAAGTATGTGATTATAGTTTAGCTCAGTGCACATCTATTAATAGCTGCTACTCATATAGTACTTAAGTACTTTATTTATATAGCACTTGCAAAGTACTTTGTATATGTTAACTCATTTAATCCTCACAACAACCCTGGGAGATAGATGCTATTATTATCCCCATTTTACAGATGAGGAAACTGAGTCATGGAAAGATTAAGTGACTTGCCCAAGTCTAGTGAAGGGTATGAGACAGAATTCAAACTCACATCATCCAGACTCCCAAGTCCCACCATCCACTGTGCCAGTAATAGAAGAAGACTATGTAGTACTATTTCACATATCAACTGAGGTTCCTATCTCCACCATCATATTAGGGTACAATATAGGACACAAGGCCACGTAGACTCCTCCTGGTACAGACCTAGGTCTCCTATCATTTAGAAGAAGCATTATAATGTAATAGAGAGAGTCCTGGACCTGAAATAAGGCAGACCCAGGTTCAAAGCTTTCATCTGCCACCTTTTAGCCATCAAGTCAACAAGAATTTATTTAGTATCTGCTGGGTGCCAGGCACTGTGCTCAACACTGAGAATGCAAAGAAATGCAAAAGTGGTAAGTAGTACCTGCTCTCAAGGAGTTCACATTCTAACGAAGAAGAAAACATGCAAACTAATACACACACACAAACACACATCCTACACACACAGGATAAATTGGAGGTAATCTCAGGAAAGAATTAACATTTAAGGAAGACCAGGAAAGGCTTCTTGCAGAAGAAAGTAGAAGTCTTTGTGACTGGAGGTGTATCATTTAATCTCTCGGAGCTTCAGTTTCCTCATCTATAATGTGGGGATAATAATAGTTGGTGAGAGTCAAGGTGTCGTAGTGGATAGGGCATTGTACTTCGGTGCAAATCCTGCTTCAGACACTAGCTGGGCAGCCTTCTCTGTGCCTCAGTTTCCTCATCTGCAGGATGAGGGGGTTGGTTTCAATGGCCTCTGAGGTCCCGTCAAGATCCAAAGCTATGATTCTGTGATTCCTAGAACTGCCCTGGATTTCCAAGGATCATTCTTTTTTTTCTTTTTTTTTTTTGGCTAGGCAATTGGGGTTAAGTGACTTGCCCAGGGTCACACATCTCGTAAGTGTTATGCCTGAGGTCAGATTTGAACTCCGGTCCTCCTGACTCCAGGGCCAGGGCTCTATCCACTGTTTCATCTAGCTGCCCCAAGAAGTCATTCTTCCAGAGGTGATTTAAAGTAAGGTTTGATTTCTAAAGACCTTTCCATAGGGGAGTACACTAAGGTAGATATCAAGACAGAAGCTTCTGAGTCATTCCCTTTATTCCAGGCAGAGCTCTGGTGCGTTAATCCCTGATGTAAGTACCGTTGTATTCACTAGTGTTGGCTCTGAGAAATCTCAATGGTATGACTCCCAGAAACAGTACAAGGAAATTCAAAGGAGATCTTGGCATAAAATAAGTCTTTAATGCACCTCAATTGGAAGCCCTTTGTTCTGAAACATTTTCATGTTTGTAGTGCTGACAGGATGAATCAGGATGGCAGCCTCAAGAACAAAAAGCAGAGAAAATAATGCAAATAGCCTAGTAAATGTCACTTAGCAACATCTGAAAAGCCTAGCATCTGAAATAATTGCTAGTGTGACTCAACCACAGAACATGAAAAGCATTTTCTAAAATGGTAGATTTGTATTCTTTGCCACCATCATGTTGCTAGGGAGCATTTAGATGCTATCTCCGTGGTCCTTGATGGGAAGAAAAGGGCTGCTGACCACATGACATCACCATTGGTCTATCTAAAGTAACAATAAAGAAGTGTCTTAAAGAAGCAATTGCTCAGGTAAGATAGCTTCTCTAAATGCCCCCAGCCAACCACCACTCCTTATATAAACTAAAGGAGGTATGTTCCCTTTCTATAAAAGAGATTAGCACTTAGGGAAATTTCTCTCATATTTTTAGGAAAGAGACTGAACTAGGCCCTTTCAGTGGTATTGGAAACTGCCAGGTAAGAAAGCTCTCTCTGCCAGTGCAGGCTGGCATGGGCTTCACAAATTATGGTCTTAGAGGGCTCTAATGCACCAAGAGGTTGACCAACATTTTCAGGGTCACACAATCCTTTTATGTCAGAGGTGAGACTTCAGCCTAGGTCTTTCTGACGCTTAGTAGAGCTATATAGCTACTTCACCATTCAATCTTTTTAAGAAAGCCCTGTTTAATTTAACCCAGTTAATGTTAATAAACATTGTGTCTACCATGTCCAGAGGAAGAAGTAACGTGACATAGAGGATACAGAGCTAGCCGTGGAGTTAGGGAGGCCTTGCTAGCTTCATGACTGGGCAAATCATTTAACCTCTCAGCGTGACCAGGCAACTTTTTAGGACTGTAAGTTACAAAATAGCTTTCTATCTGTATTGGTAGACAGCATTTCCTCACTGGGTTCTCCCTATATAAATGAAATTTGAGGTCTGGTCCAAAAATAAACTGGGAGGTTGGGTATATACTTAATATATAGTAATAGATATGCTTAATATGTTATGGGGCAGCTAGGTGGCCACAGTGGATAGAGTTCCAGGCCTGGAGTCAGGAAGACTCATCTTCCTGAGTTCAAATCTGGTCTCAGACACTTACTAGCTACGTGACCTTGGGTAGGTCACTTAACCTGTTTGACTCAGTTCTCTCATCTGTAAAATGAGCTGGAGAAGGAAAGGCCAAACCAATCCAGCATCTTTACCAAGAAATCCCCAAATGGGACCCATACAGTTGGACATGACTAAAACAATTGAACAACATCAACCCAAAATAAAATATTCAGAGTACTGTGCTAGGGACTGGGAGAGAGACAAAGATTAGATATAACCCAGTCCATTTTCCCCCTCATAGAGCTCACAGTCTGTAGCCCAGACCAAATAACTATATTACATAATTCATGAGGGAGAAGGAGCACATAGGTTTTAGGAGAGGTTTGAAAAGGAAGGATCATTCCCAGTTGGAAAACCAAGAGAAGTTGACCTTTAGTGATTTTTCCAACAATGACTTGATTCATAAAAAACATATTGCTCCAATATGGGTTTTTATTTTCAAAATTAAAGTATTAAAAACAATTTTTAAACTCTTCTGCAAAGGACATGACTTTTTTCTTCTTTTCTATAGAATGACTAGTAATCAGTATTTTGCCAAATGTGTTGTAACTGCCTATAACCAATCCTTTACAACATCCTAATACCACTGGGGCAGTTACCTGTCTATGAATTTAAAATCCATTATTTAATAATAATAATAACTAACATTGATAGAGTGCTTAATGCTAATTATCTCATTTGAGCTTCACAAAAGCTATGTGAAGTATTAAAAAAAATCAGATAATATTATCTCCATGTTATAGAAGACAAAACTGAGCCTGGACTCAGGAAGAACTGAATTCAAATCTGTCCTCAGATACTTCCCAGCTATATGACTTTGGGCAAGTCACTTAATCTCTGTCTCAGTTTCCTCATCTGTAAAGTGGAGATAATAATAGTACCTACCTTCTAGAGTTGTGAAGATCAAATGAGATAATATTTGTAAAGCATTTAGCATCTAGCACATAGTAAGCACTTACTAAATACTTGCTTCCTTCTTTCTTTTGTTTAGAGAGGTTAATTGACTCATCTGTAGCCAAACAGCTAATAAATCTCAGAGATGTGATTTGCCTTTGGAGCTTTCTGACACCCTAAACATCGTTCTGTCCCCTATACCTAGCCCTTTAGAGCTGCTGAACCAATTTATATGGAGCACCCTCAAGCATAAAAGTAAAGAGCATTTAGTTATACTGTTGCCATGGCAACCCATCAAGCAAATGGGATAAAACCTGGTAACATAAAATAGGTTCAGGTCAGCAGAGCTTCTCTTTATAGCAGGCCTACACAATTAGAGGCCGTTGGAATATCCCATTGCCTGATATGCAGATCTTATTTTATAGATAAACCTGCTGTTTTCTTGCTTTATGTTACACAAATATGCAAAGGGTTTGTTACTTCTTTAGCACAGGAACTCCTAGAATGAGAATTCTTCTACTGCCAAGGACCATGACTTTCTATGGAAGAAAGCTAAATTTAGGAGCTGAATTCTAAAGAGTTGGCTGAGGTGGGAAGGGAACAAGCATTTATTAAGCACCTACTGTGTGTTAGGTATTAATATTATCTCATTTGGTTCTCACAACAACTCTATAAGGTAGATGCTATCGTGATCCCTGTTTTACAATTGAGGAAACTGAGGCAGACAGCGTAAGTGACTTGCCCATCACACAGCTAGTAATAATCTAAGGTGGATTTGAACTTGGTGTTCTCTCCACTGAACCACCTAGTGGCTTTTCTGTGGTAATACTGTTAGTAAATATAAAAAGTGGGATTTAAACCCTTGCACTTCCTTTCTGACAAGACCGGCATTGCTATTTACTATGCCTATCATATGTAATTAGGACAATCTGAATCTGGTTAAATTTTAAAGTAAAGAATTATCAGTGTTCGATTTTTATTTTCTTTAACTCAATCACTTGGTTCCTGAACCTGGGAACTTTTACTCTCTGATATGGTAGGTAAAATCCTCAAATAATTATCTTAGTTTAGCTGATGCCATGAAACTGTTCTTTAGAAAGTTGCAGAATAGAAGACAAGTTCACATAGGTGTGAATAGACAACCTTCCAAGGAATTAAAGGCTTCAACTTGACATTGATTGATAATGTTTCCATATATATATATATATATACGTATATGATTTTATTTTACACATGTGTAACGGTGTCCATCAAACTGTACCTCTGCATTGTCTACTGGGCTGTCCTCTTAGCAAAAAAAAAAATGTCTTACTTCACAGGCACTGTGAACCCCACCAAATGTGGCTGCCCCTTTGCCCTCAAGATGGCGGCCTGCCAACTTCTGCTAGAGATCACTACCTTCTTAAGGGAGACCTTTTCCTGCTTGCCTCGCCCACGTACTGAACCCCTGGTGGTAAGTAAAGCACAGAAATTGAAAATAAGGAAATAGCTTAGAGAGGGTGACATATAGGTTCATATGGTTTCTCAGTTTTTTAAATTTCTCTATGGACAAACATATGAATATAATTTTATAAGTTAATTCAATGCAATGATTCTCATTTAAAAAAAAGGAACATTCTTTTCCCAAAAATCCTATCAAAAGTTAATTTTCTGCTGAGATATCACAGAAGGTAGCATTGCTGGAGAAAATAATTGACCCATTGCTATTGTTGCTACTCTGTGAAGATCCATGAACTAACTGGTTGCCTTTTTAATGAGGAAATGCTGTTGTTATTAATTTTCCAAAATGGCAAATTGTGTGTCATAACTGAAACCCGATTTTGTTTTGTTTTGTTTTTTATAATAAAATCTGTGCTCATGCCTGTTTTTTTAACTCCTATGGGAGAATGTTTCTCCCAATAAACTCATTATTGTTTAAGTCATGAGTGATAATGATAACGACAATGAGAATCCAGCTTTTTACAATAACAGCTGTACTTTTGCTTATGTTTTCAACCCCTTTTGGGAAATGTTTCTCCCAGTAAGCACATTATCATGAGTGGTAATGATAATGCTAACAATAAAAACAACAATAATAGTATTTACATAGCACTCAAAAGTTTGAAAGCTTTACAGATTTTATCTCATTTCATTTTCACAACAACCTGGGAAGGTAGGTGCTATTGTTATCTCATTTTACAGATGAGTAAACTGAGGCAAATTAAAGTTAAATGACTTGTCCAAGTTATGCAGCTGGTTAGCATCTCCAGCAGGATTTGAACTTATCTTCCTTACTCCAGGTCCAGTGCTCTATCCCCTGAGCCACCTAACTGCCTATAATTTCTCTTCTCCAGACTAAACATCCCCAAGTTCCTTCAATTGATCTTAACACGGCATGATTTTGAGTCTCTTTACCACCCTGTTTGCCTTCAAGCTTATTCATGTTCTTCCTCAAATGTGGCATCTCAAATTGAACTCTACTCAGATGTCATCCAACCAGGGCAGAGGAAAGTGGTAATATTACATCCCCAGTCTTGACCACTATGCTTCTGTAGTCTCTGAGATCTTATGCCGATAAATGGCAGGCTAACCACACTTACCCCATTTTGTGAAATTGATTTTTTTTAGCCCAGTTGTGAGACTTTGAATTTATCACTACTACATTTCATATTGTCCTTTTAGATAAAGAAATAGTTCTGGAGTCGGAAGAACTGAATTTAAGACCCACCTCCTTGAGTATTTGTTGTTGTTGTCCACATAGCATTCTCCTGGACAGAGAAAACAGGCACAAAATAGGACAGCAGTAATTACTCTATCATGGTCAACTCATCTGTCTCAAGCAGAGATCTTATCTCTTTTCTCCCCCTTCCCAAAGCTTTTTTTTTCTTACATTCCTCACCAGTCTCATTCTGAGCCTTCACACCCCAACATCCTTTTGAAGGACTGTTTCATATTTTTATTCACTTTTTCTTATCTCCGTCTCCTTGCTTTGGGTCAGCACAAGTGATGAAAATACCAACTCTACTTCTAAGTTCTTCAGTTTCTTACCCCAAACTTTAGAATATATGGCAATGTTTTATAGATTCCTGTTGACAGTATAATTTGTCTTCATATGAATCAACATCTGTGGGTTGTAGGACATAGAACCTTCAAGGTGAGCTACTATAGTTAGGTTGGATGGAGTTTGGATGCAGTCCAGAGACAATAAAACCAAAAGGAGTCAAAGAAGTCAGGGTTGAGTTGCCAGGCTGGAATCAAAAACATGAGACCATGAGAGAAGCAAACAGAGCAAACAAGAAATGAAGTCAGTCACATAGGAAATTGAATCAGATAGACTTTGTGAGATAAAACGAGAGACAGACAGATTGAGAGGGTATTTATTAACTCTTTATTAAGTGCCAGGCACTGCGCTAAGTGCCAGAGTTACAAATGCCATCTATTCACATAGGGGAACAACAAACATAAAATGGTGCTGGAAATGGCTGAATGGGGGTGGGAGTAGTAAAGGGACATCAGGATATCTACATGGGAGCAAGGCAGCTAGTGGGGAGGTGGGGCAGTCCAGAGAATGAATTGAACTGGGGGTAAAATGAACAGCGTCGCTGGGGGTCCTCAAGAAACAGTGATCCAGGATTCACCAATTAAGAGAGCAGGTCTTAAGAAACAGTCATCCCACAGGGCCAAGGCGGGTGGTGGCAAGGTAGAGCAGTGAGGAGAGTGAGTTGAGCTGGGAATGAAATGCGCATCACTTCATTTTACAACAAAGTCACATTGGGAAGCCATGGCCAGAAATCAATCAAATTCTATAAAGATTTATTAAACTCCTTCTATATGAAAGTTAATTTGAGGCTTTGTGTATGCAAAGACAAAACAACACCTTCCCACAAGGAGCTTATATTCTATTGGTGAAAATGGCATGTATATACAAATTCGTACAAAATAAATACAAGTTAATTTGGTTGGGAGGAAAGAGAAGGTGCTAACAGTTGGGGGAAGGATCAAGAAAAGTTTCATGTAGATGATGGTACTTGACCTGAGGTTTAAAGGAAAATAGGGATTCCAAGAGACAGAGATAAGGAGAGTACGTTCTATGCAGAAGTTGGGGGAAGGCAAAAGCACAGAGATTTATATGTGAAAAATAGCATGAAAGCCATATTGACTCAACTATGGAGTGCATGAAGAAGACAAATGTATAAGACTGGAAATGGAGTTTGAAACCAGATTATAAAGGGTTTTTAGAAGCCAAAGCAAGGAGTTTGTTTGTTCCTTGGGGTAACAGGGATCCACTACAGTCTCTTGAGCAGAGGAGTGACTCAATCAGACCCAGGCTATTGGGGCGATCAGTCTGTGAGCATTGAAGTCTTTACTATATGCCAGGCACTGGTAATCACTTTGACAGCTTTGTGGAGGATGGACTGGAGAGGGGAGAAACCTGAGACAGGGAGACCAATTGGGAGTCTCTTGGAATAGTCTGGATAGATGAGAGCTGACAATGGCTTGAACAAAGATGGTGGCTGTGTGAGTCAAGGAAAAGGGACAAATGGGAGAAATGTCATTTAGGTAGAAATTGACAAGACTTGGCAACTCCTTGTACATAAGGGATGAGGGAGAGGGGGGCAGCAAGAAGAATGGCAAGATTCTAAACCTTGGTTCTTTGGTGGTACCCTAAACAGAAACAGGGAAGTTTGGAAGAGGGGTGGGTTTAGAGTAAAAGTCAATGAGTTCTGTTTTGAACATGGATTTGATAATTTTTTAAAATGTAAATTTTTCAACAAATGTGCATGAGTTTAAACTGCATGACTCCATTTAACATTGATGAATGCTCCAAAGCAAAATCCTATATTTGTCATGAAGAGAAAATTAGCATTCTAAACCTGATTAAGCCAACATGAAGGGTTGTAAATGCTTAAAATTGCTTCCTAGGAGATGGTACTGAACTCAGAATGAACGATTGAGAGCTAAGCATAAATATTGCCAAAATGAAAATGTTCTAAAGATTTAATAAAAACGCTTGCAGCAGGAGTGTTTGCAAACCTCTAGTGTATTTTATTAATGTAATAAAATTTTCACAGCACTGGAAACCTACAGTTGACATAGTGTTGGGAATAACACCAATGTCTCTAGAGGCATGGGAGTGGATCAATAAGGAAATTCAACAAGAAGCAGTGAAAATGATGGGTTCCAGAGGCTGGCAGGGATCTGAGCCTGCCAAGAAAGAGGCATATCTGATTAAAAAAAAAAAAAACTTGGCAAGGTCAGTTACACAATAGAAGGCTGGTGTTTGGTTAAAACATTCATTGGTCATTGACTAAAAAGTAAAAGAAAGAGCAACCAAAGTCCTACCTTTAAGGTGCAAATTACCACAAGTGAGAATTATTATATATAATATCATGTAAAAAAGGATATGAGCATGTATAATAAATGTGTGTGTGTTATTTATGCATATGTAAGGTAGCATGGAGGTAACGTGAGATCACTAAATACCTTGGGCATGATGGAAGTGCACAGGAAGGGGCAGCAGATATCGAGTACCAGGAACATTTTTCCTGTTCCACAGTTTTGCTTAGGCTAACACTCTGTATAACCTAATTAGAAGTCAGTTTGGAAAAGAGACTTTGGGATGGGGTTTTTTCATTGGCATTTTAAATAAACCCTGAAAATGGATTCTTATAGTTCTATCCTGTCCACTACTCTACCTCTATATATACATATACATGATACACACACACACACATACACAATCTCACCCACCATTCCCCCAAATCCCAGAAAAGCTAAGTTTTTATAAGATTGTTCATCTGAGTAGGGGAGGATAATTGATATTTTAATTTATATTCTAAGCCATTTAATTTCCAAATAAGACCATCAAAGAAATTCTTTAGAATAATGAGCTCAGTTCTAATTATACTTCTTATAGTCTATTAAAAATGTTCCCAATAAAATTAATTGAATGCATATATATAAAAAAAACAGCAATGATAAAAGGAAGTCTAATAGTCTAATGTGAAAGGCACGAAAGTTAAGAGCCAAAAGATTTGAGTTCATCCTTGGATTGGCCATGTAACGGATTTGCAGATATAGTCAAGTCGCTTAACTTCTGTGAGTCTCAGTTTGCTTACCTGTAAAAAGGGGGTAATATTTAAACTACATACCACACATTGGAGAAGATCCAATGAAATCTTGTGTGTGAAAGTGTTTTGCAACTATAAAGAGCTACATAAATATAAGCTGTATTATTAAAATGCATTAATGCTCAGGAAGCAAGCAAACACCACTCAAATAACAAAGAAAGAAAACACATGTTCATTCAGCATATTTATTCAGCCCTTCTTTTTGGTGATTCACTGTGCTAGACATATGTGTGTACAAGCTAACCCTATAAAGCTAAGCAAAGACTAATCATAAAGAATTATGTGGAACAAATTACAATAATGCAGTCCAAATGCAACCCTAATTTTGAGATATAAGAAACACACAAAAAATGTTTAGCGAGGGGAAATAATTCATATTGAAGCACAGTAATGTCCAATCTTTATTTTGTGTCCACAATAAGGAATGCATACTAATTATCTTTGACTAGAAAATAAAAATTAAATACAAGATTACTTTGTATGTTTTTAATAGATTAATTCCAGCGAGGCAGTTTAAATTTCCAATGTGTAATTCTTATATCCTTATACAGAGGAATAATCATACATATTAAGTATAATATTTTGTCTAACTGAAAATTGCTAAAAGCAGTCAAATTCTATTTGTTACATACTAACAACACTGAGAAAAGAAATAGCTTCTTCAGGTTTTCATTGAAATCAAATACATCTTATTAGATAATATAATACATTTTTCATTTAAAAGCTTATTAAGCATCTCTCAGCAAATCAATCAACAAGCATTTATTAACTGCCTACTGTATGCCACTTACCATGCCAAGCCCAGGGGATACAATGAAAGGCAAAAACAGTTCCTATCCTCAAGGAGGTCTCATTCTAGTGGAGGAGATGACCTGTAAATAATTAGGTATAGACAGGATATATACAAAGCAGATGGAAGGCAGTCTTAGAGGGGAAGGTAATAGCAACCAGAGGAAGAAGAAAGGCCTTCTTGAGAAGGTTGGATTTGAGCTAAATCTGAAAGGAAGTTAGGGAAGTTAAGAGGCAGGAGTAAGTAGGGAGTGCATTCCAGGCACAAGGAACAGCCTTGTGGAATGTTGTGCGCCAAGAAGAACAAATAGGCCAATATCACTGGATGATAGAGTGCATAGAGAGGTATAAAAAGGTATAAATAAGGTATAAAAAGACTGATAGGAAGGGGCAAGGTTATAAAGTAATTTAAATACCAAATAAATGGTCAAATATATTTGATCCTTGGAGACAATAGGGAGCCATTGTGTTTTACTGAGTAAGGGGATAATATGATCAGACCTATGCTATAAGTAAATCTCTTTGGTAGTTAAGTGGAGGCTACCTTGGAGCGGGGCAAGACTTGAGGCAGGGAGATCAAATAGAGGACTACTTCAGGAGTCCAGAAGGAAAGCAATAAAGGCCTAAACTAGAGTAGGAGCTGTGTGCAACGTGGTGGAGAAAGAAATTTCAAGAGCTCGCATTGCCTTGGCTATGTGGAGTGGAGAATGATACCAAAGTTGAGAGGGTGGTGATTGCCTCAACAGTAATAGAGAAGTTCAGAAGAGCATTTGAGGGGAAAGATATGGCTATATTGAGTTTTGGGCTATGTTAAGTTTGAAGTACTTATGAGATATCCAGTTAGAGATGTCAAAAAAAGGTAGCTGGTGATGCAAAACAACAAGGACACTGCCAAAGCAAGGTTTGCCATTTCCTTCTTCAGCTTATTTTGCAGATGAGGAAACTGAGGCAAACAGGGTTAAGTAACTTACCCAGGGTCACACAGCTAGAAAGTGTCAGAGGCCAGAATTTGAACAAAGAGGAGTCTTCCTGACTCCATGTCTGGTGCTCTGTCCACTGCATCACCTAACTGCATTTTACTTGGGGTTTCCTTATATGTTTTACTTTCCCAATTCTGAAGTAGCATTGCCTAATGAGTGAAAAATGGTTCTCCCAGGCAGCATGTCACAATGGAAGGAACTTTGCATTTGGAGTAAGAGTACCTGTGTTCAAGTTCCAGCTCTACCATTTACTACACTATGTGACCTTGAACAAGTTACATTCAGTATCTGGGCCTCTGTTTCATCACTTTTAAAATGAGGACATTAAGTGACAGCTAGGTGGTGCAGTGGATAGAGCACTGACCCTGAAGTCAGGAGTACCTGAGTTCAAATCTGGCCTCAGAACAAACACTTGACACTTACTAGCTGTGTGACCCTGGGCAAGTCACTTAACCCTAATTGCCTAAAAAAAAAAAAAAAAATGAGGAGATTAGGTTACAGTCTCTATGGTCTCACCAATACTAAAATCAAATTCAGAACAAGTCTATGCTAAGTGTGCAGCCAATGATTAGTGACCCAGTGCTGGGAAATGAGATCGGCAGCTAGAACTGTGATGGAGAGCTTTAAGACTATTGTAAGATTATTGGGGGATGGCAGGGTGGAGAGCATTATGCTACAGATTCAAGAATAGGTATTTAAATCTCTGATTTGGAAAGAAATTCAGTCCTAAGTAATGAGATTCTGAATGGAGGCCAGTCTGACCCTTCCAATCCAGTCCTCCTCTTGGAATAGACCTTTAGATTTCGCATGCTGGTGTTTCAGGACCTTGAGAGCTGCCGACTTCGGCTAGATCCTGAGTTAGACCGGCACAGGTATGAAAGGAAGATTAGCTTTGCTGGAATCCTGGACGACAGTGAAGACCTAAAAGACTCCCTCCACAGCAGCAGTCACACCCTCAAGTCTGACACAGGTGTTGAAGAGAAGAAAGGTAGGTAACAACCAAGACATTTTCTTGTTTCAGTATTTCTTTTGGGGGGGGAGGGGGGAGGGGTTAGGCAATGGGGTTAAGTGACTTGCCCAGGGTCATGCAGCTGTTTCAGTATTTCTTGCGGGGCATGTAGCTTGCAAGAAATGTGTGGCAAAAGGAAGCTATGAATGTTCCAAGAAGCTACTGCTTGTCTTTTGGCCTCTAAGACAGAGACCAACGCAGCTTAGCAAGTCATGGGCACACTGAGATCAGGACTTGTTTCCCAGTCATGGAAATAAAAACAAACAAAACCGATGTAAGGCTTTATTCATTCCTAATCTCAGCTGCCCTTTCAAGGTTTCCTCCATAAATCAAAACAAGAGAACATTGCATTATTTCAAAACAATATTCTCAGTGTCTGCTGTGAACCGTAGGGTCCTGGGCCATCTTTGCTATACTGTTTATAAGGGATAACTCTGTTATTTGGGAAAAAAAAGATGGAATTTTTGTGTATATCATAAATAAATATGGTTAGAAGTTGGTGACATACCATAAAACCTACATGGTTGTTGTGTGACATTGTATGGATTTTACACTTGTACCTAAAGGCTCATAAATCATTGAAAATGGGAAATTAAGGTGAGAGGGAAGGGGTGGGAAAGAGAAAATAAAACTTGTTAATTTAAAAAAAAAGAAAATTTAATTTAAAAATAAAGTTGAAGTTAGAGCCTCAACTATATTTGGTAAGGACAGCAGAATGCCTTCCATCTTTTTTTTAAAGCACATCTCATGCTAACTTCTCCATACACTGTCATAATACAAGTGTTGCAATACAAAATGCAGTCAGAATTATTTGGTATATTCTCTTAAAGACTGTATAGTGATTCAGTTAATTAAACTAGATAAAGTAGTGGGGAGGAAGGGGAGGGAAAGACATCCATAGGTAGGCTTAGATTCAGGAGGACCTGAGTTTGAATCTTGCCTCAGACTCTTACTTAATAGTGAGACAATTGGTCCCACTTAACTTTTTTGAACCTTAGCTTTGTCATTTATAAAACGGAAGAGGTGGATTTGGTGGCCTTTAAGGATCCTTCTCTCTCTAAATCTATGATCCTAATATTCTACAATGTGTTTATGTAAATCTATGTAAAGGCTAAGCCATTTTAAAATATTTTTTATTATGGTGGTATTATCTTAGAGATTATTTTAATTTCATGATTTTCATCAAGGACACTAAAACATTATAGATTTTTGCCAGGATGAATCTGCATAATATCTACCCAATAATGATTAATGCCTGTTTCCTTTCTCCTGTAAATTTGGTGCAGTATAGGGAAGTTACTCAAGAAATGACTAGCATAAAAATGAAAAATACATATGTGTGTGTGTATATATATATGTATAATGTAAAAATGAAACTATACATACACATATAAATACACACATAAATATGTATATGTGTACATGTAAATATACACAAATACACACAGACATAAGGAAGGAGTATTCCGTGAAGGTTCTCTTTATCAAGCAGACTACCTGAAAAATGTAAACCTCCATTATCTTATTTTGCAGGCTCTCATTATCAGCTGCTAAAACCAACTTGAAGGTTAAGACCAGAACTCCCTGATGATTTAAATTATTCCATACCATCTGTTTTCTTGAAAGCTAAGCACTGGATAGGATTAATGGCTGAATAAACTGCTTTTGATGACCATTTTGATCCTACTAAAGACAGCTGTAATGGGAGATCCTCTTTAGGGATAAGAATTACCTAAGATTTGTGACTGTCAAACCAGGCCACAGCCCAGAGCTCATCGGGTAATTCCATGTGGTTTGCAATACTAGCCTTTATGGCAATGATTATGATTAATTAGTAGAATGATCAAGAATTAATAACTAGGATGGCCAATCATAAGAAAATTTTGACCATAGAGAGCAAGTCTGTGTCAATGCTAAGTTGGTGGTCCCAAATTAGCTTTGTTTTTGGCAAACTTGGTTTTGCCAAATATCGGCAAACAAAACCGAATTTTGGCTATATTTTTAAAAAGAAAAGAACTCAATGAGCTCATCAAATGGTCCCAGTGTGGGCAACCATGGGCCTGCCCAATTTACTTTGGTATTCTTAGAAAAACAAATTGTTTCAGAACTGCCCACTTTGATTTCCTCTTCTAAGAATATCACCAGCTACAGTTTCCTCTGAGAATAAATGACAGAAAGCTTGGATGGCGATGATGATGTAGTCATATGGTTACTGTAGAACCTTTCTGGTGAGCAACAATCTGGAAGCTCCCAGTCATTCCTGGGAACCTGTCAGTCAGCTCCAATATCAGTTTGTTAGGTAGCATGCACAAGAACATAAACCAGAGGGAAAAAAAATACTAAATTCAGATGATCTGTCTACACATAACTTAAATCAACTAAACCTAGTTAAGAATTCATGGTCAAAGTAGAAATTTAAGAGTAAATTAATTCATTTGTGTTCATTAAGAAGTCCCCTGTATTAACCAATTCCACAAATTCTTCTTTTTCACATTCTTGCTGATTATTTGCTATCATGGAAACAAAAATTAAATTTCATTGCTGGAGGATCATTATCTCTTTTTCATGTGCATTTCAGAGGGATAAAAGAGCGTGTATGCAAGCAGTTCCCTACTTTCCCTGTTATAAATTACCAATTCAATAGTTTGAAATACTTATCTTGGGATGCCTAAGAGTATCCATGTTTATCTTACGAGATATCACCCAATCCTCAAAACAAAGTGTATTTTAATTCCCTTTAAATTATCACAGTGCAGTTTTAAGTTGAGTGAGTCTATGAAATCAAACGAACAGTGGTGGGTTGTTGCCATTATTAGGAATTCCTACAAATCTGCTTGTTTTCTTTCAAATCCACTGTAGCGAAACTGCTTTGATAGACTGAGGCATGTATTAGCAGTGATGCAAATTACAATTTTATTCTGTTTCTCCTTGCTGCAGGTAGGTAGAAACAAAGATGTAGTAATTAAGCCTAAACAAAACTGTGGAAAACATACACTGGAGGGTTTTGTGCTATAATTAAAATGTAGCCTGATGTTATAAAGTCTTCATTGGATGTGTCCAACTGTGCTATGGGAATTATAATCTTCTCCAGCTCTATCCAGATGTGCTAAAGGAGTCCTCCAAAGAATTTGCCAGCTGTATAGAGATGATTTTAGTCATTTGCAAGAATGAATCAGAGAAGAAAATATCCACATTGGCCCAAAGTAATTTCTCTGGCAGGTCTATATGCCAATAAACACGTATATCTAACTGGCACTTTAGTATCAGTCTCATTACATTACCTCATACAATTGCCTATGTGGTAGATACCTGTGGAAAAAATGCTACTTTTCTGACAAGTTCTTTATTAGATCTGGGTTCAACAGAACAATGTGACTCCAAACAGTTAGTTTGTAGTTGTAGATCCACCTCAATAATTAGTTGAGTATCTGGTTCTCCTTATTCCTTGAGAGGAATAACTCATGTCACATATATATGAGCCCCTGATTCAATTATGTGCCATGATTCTAAAAACTCTCTCCTCTAATCCTTCTGAGTAAGAATTAATGATAACTGGGATAAAGCTTTCAAAAGACATACATATAATGCATATGCATATGTATATGTGTGTGTGTTATGTGTATTACACATATACATACATACATTATATATATATGAAGAGAAGACTTGAATGCACAGGTCAGGTTTCAACGTCTAAAATTGTTTTTTTTTTTTTTCCTCTACTGATCAATTTCTCTTACTCACAGAACACTAAAAGATGAATAATGCATGTTCTTCTCAGTACATGTAGACTATAAGGGTGACTCAGGGTGTTGCAACATTTGGACTCACATGCCACCAAGCCTTTTGACTGAGAGGAGGATCATGGGAAATCACTAGGGGCATTGGAAATGGAACCATTTCATATTCATGCTCACCAAAAACACCAGAACGAAAACAGATCCTTTAGCGGCCTTGCTGAAGAGTCAAAGCTGAGACCTACTGCTGGCTTGGAGAGAGAGGAACCACTTGGGGTATTAATTACTTAAGGTATTCCAAAATGAATGGGTTTACATGGCAGCTCAAAGAACCGTGTAAGTCCCATTACAAACATTTTATTTAAAGGTTGTCATTCATTCTCTTGGATAGAACAATAATGATATGTGAATTTACTAAATATCCTAGATAACTCTACTGCAAAGGCACACTCATGCTTGTGAACCTGAGCAAGGAAGAGAACAGGTTGGTCCTAGTATTTGATAAGTACTGTTTCATAGGAAAACTTTTTTCCCAGATCATCACTGTAGACCCTGCCATAAGTCTGATTCACAAAGCTCTTCAGCAGCAATGACTTTGGAGGAAGCCCTTGGCCAAGAGAAAAAGTTCCTTCCATACAGACCAATAGAAAGGGGGCAGGGCAGGGACTAAATGGGGAGGGCAGGGATTTCAAACCTGGAATGGAGAGAACTAAGTGGGGGAAGTCCTATCTTATTCTTTTAATGCAGTTCCCAACAGGAAGATCAGGATAGGAGGTTCCCGCCTGCTCCAGATTAAAGGAACCCGCAGTTTCCGGGTGAAGAAGGGGGGTTCCTTATCCAGTATTCGCCGGGCCGGCAGCTTAAAGAGTACCAAGCTATCACGGCAGGACTCAGAGTCTGAGAATGAGGAGCTGCAGCTGTCCCAGAGCAGGGACACTGTCACTGATATAGGTAACATAGAGGACATGGGTGGACAGGGAAATGGGAGGAGAAAAGAAAGTGTCCTCTAATAACTTTTGGCTAAAGAGATTGCCAATACCCAAGCAATAAATAGCAACAATTTAATAATGGAAGATTAGGCACTAGGCATCAGTCTGAGGCTTTGACTACACAGTTGATCTAGTGTAAGGAAAGGAGAACTACTGTTAACTCATTATTGGACCTCTTCACCAGCTGTTTGATGAAATTCATTAGATGATTGAGTCAAGAGTGGACACTTTGTGCATTGTGTGGACATTAAGGAGATACTTATTTGACAGAAGTTGAAGAACTAAAAGACATAAGGCTTTAGAGTAGTATATTTTTAGAAGAATGTCTCCCTCATGAGTTCCTACGGAGAAGACTGGCCTGGTGAGTTTAGGTGCAGGGTTCATTTCCCTACTTAGCTCTGTTTACCCAGGGATCTGTCCTCCAGTACTGATGGCCATCTGGGGTGATAGCACTAGTCGCAGAAACAATAGCAAAGAGGTAGTGACAAGAACAGGAGCAGCAGCAGACTATGAGGCCACTGTGTGAGGGTTGGTGTTCTTGTTCAACTTCAGCTTGCAAAACCTGGCCAATGAATGACTAATTTGATCACAGTGAGCTCTAATAGTTTGTGCATCTCAACAACACAAGGAATTGGATTTATTTTTGTCTTTCTTCACCCTTTCTCCATATGTGAGCCATGGCCTACCCTTCTGGTAACCATGAACTTGAACTCTCCTTGTCATTGCCAGTCATGTTGGTGGCCAAGAGGGGGAGATCCTCCTACAATCTCTAAAAACAGTGGATTCTCTGTTCTATTTGGTACCCGCTGGGCAAAGGTGGTCTGACTGCAAGTGTTTTCCCTTGGATTCACAAGCATGGACAGCTCTACTACATACACACACAAACATACACGTTCACCCCAACAGGAGAAAAATAAAACATTTTCTGGTATTTTTCTTTTGAAGAAGGGAGCCCCTGGAGTGCAAGTGAGCCAAGCATTGAGCCTGAGGGTCTGAGCAACACTGGCACTGAAGAAAACTACCATAGGAACATGTCATGGCTTCATGTAAGTAAAGTCAACAGGCATTTATTAGGCACCTATAGTGTGCTTAGGCACTGTGTTGTAAGTAGTAGTTCATTTTTTTTAATCAACTTTTTGGACTTCTACTGAAGGGACAGAAATTTCACTAAGATGTTCTGTTGAGTTTTATCACCATCATAGACCAGAGACTGGCAAAAATATGTTATATCTATTTTAGCTAAAGACCAGAGAATAGTTAAAGTTGATGTTACATTAACGTATTCAGCTCCAAGTCAGCTATGACTCTAAGATTAGTCACAGACCAGGATTGTAAACCATCTAGAGCTAATGGGAGTAGAGACTGGGTATCATGGCCAGTGCATATAAGAAGAAAATATACTTTAACAGAAGCATAGTCAAAGACCAGATTTTTCTAGTCTCTAGGGATCCTTTTCTGTCCTTTTTTATTTTTGCTTGATTATAGTCATTTTCATACTTTTTCACATAGTTTCTTCTACAATTATAGGTCATTAAGTGTGTGCTTCAAAGTTTAAGATGTCTGTTTAACAATACTTGGAAACCAGTATATGCATACATACATACATACGTACCCCAATTATTATATATAAATATATATGATATAAATCTATTATAGATAGATTATTAAATGGATTAAGTTTAGGCTCTCTATCAATATTTAGAAACCAGTATATACATATATATACACAATATAAATAATAGTAATAAAAATGATAAATTTATTTTAGATGGATTATTGAATGGATTAAAGTTTAAGATCTCTATTTATCAATACTTGGAAACCAGTGTATACATACATATATACATAAGTAACATAACAAAAATAAAATAATAAATAGTACAAATCTATTATAGATGGATGATCAAATGGATTAAGTTATTGAAGGTCATCTACAAGCCTTCATTTGCTTCTTCACCTGGTTTCTTGGATCAGGTGTTAATGCAGAGAGAAAAAAGCAAACTAGTTAAACAATTATTGAAACTGTGATTCTATATCCAAAAAGGTAGCATGCTCATTAACTCTCTTCCAACCACCTGTAGTTTCCCTTTCCAAACATTCACTGACTGTTGGGAAACATCTATTGGGCTTCTTGTGTTTCAGGTCATGATCTTACTGTGCAATCAGCAAAGTTTCATCTGCACACACATTGACTATTGCCACCCTCACTGCTACCTTCACCACAGTCGTTCCTGTGCTCGCCTGGTGCGGGCCATCAAATTGCTATATGGGGACACCGTAGATTCCCTTCGGGAAGACAACACGGTTCATAATGTGGCCTTTCGGGGCAAGAAGCAAAAAGAGGTGAGAGGCTTAAAACTCAATTAATACAGGATGTGCTATAATTTACATTGTTTTTATAATTAGTGAGGTAGAACATTCTTCCAGATGAATATTAACATATTAAAACTTTGAGATACTACCTCAAAGATTGGCAAAAAATAAAAATAAAGCCAACCAAATTCATTGCTGTTGGGACTGTGGAGAAACAAGTATACTCATTCATTGCTAGTGGAATTGTAAATTTGTAGGACTCTTTTTGAAGAGCAATCTGACAGTACCCAATAAAAGTTATAAAAATGATCATATTCTTTGACCCATTACCAATCTATTGCTGAGAATATACCCTGGAAAGAATAATCAAAAATAAACAACCAAAGAGGAGTTATCTGTTCAAGGATTTCTATATCAGCATTATTTGTAATTGCAAAAACTGGAAACAACCTGAATGTCCAGGAACAGACGAATGATTAAATAAGTTGTGAAACATTAATGAAATTAATTAATGAAATATATTCATGAAATAATACAGAGTGAAAAAAGAAGAATGAGAAGAATGAAACATTTGTATAGTGGTGACATATGTAAATGACAAGAGAGAGAATGAATTCTGGCAGGATTTTAGAAGGAGTGACTATAAGACATATAATACTTTATGCACTGAAATTAATTGAAATGGTTACTAAGCCAGTTTAGTTATTCGTAATGAAGTTCAATGTTACATTTTTAATCAAACACTAAAAAAATTGGCACATTGCAATAATGGGGAAAATAAATCCTTTAAAATAGAGACTCTTAATCTGCAATTCTTGGACTCCAAGAGACCATGGATAATTTTATGGGTTGTGAACTTGCTTTTTAAAAATATTTACCATTTTGGGGCAGCTAGGTGGTACAGTAGATAGAGCTCCAGCCTTGGAGTCAGGAGTACCTGAGTTCAAATCTGGCCTCAGACACTTGAAACTTACTAGCTGTGTGGCCCTGGGCAAGTCACTTAATTCCGATTGCCTCACCAAAAAAAAAAAAAAAATTGCAAAAAAAAAAATGATCAGTTCAATGATTTTGGGGCAGCTAGGTGGCACAGTCAATAGAGCACTAGCCTTGGAGTCAGGAGGATCTGAGGTCAAATCCAGCCTCAGACACTTAACACTTACTAGCTGTGTGACCTTGGTCAAGTTACTTAACCCCGATCACCTCACCAAAAAGCAAAAAAAAAAATTTACTTCTTTGGTATTATTAATGAATACTTAAACTTTTATATTTCAGTATAATTGGTTTCCTTTGTAATCCTACATATTTTATTTTATCCATTTAAAAACGTTATTCTGAAAAAGAATTCATTCATTTCACCAGATTGTCAAAGGGGTCCATGTCATTAAAATGTTTGCGTATCCTTGTTTTAGAAGTTTCTTTAAAAATGAACTGGGATTTTTAGGTCATAACAACAATTTAAATAAAGCTACAATATCTGCATGATTCAGAACAAAGAAAAGTAAACTGGAAAAAGAAGGACAAAATTTTTGTCCTCATTTCCACAAGCAAAAAGAAACCTCTCTCCCCATATCAGAGGGGTGTTTTTCCCATTGTCAAACTGCAAGTAATTGCTTGACTGTTGACTGACAAATGATAGAATGTTTAACGTTGGTTGAGCTGAAAGAAATGCTTTAAAGAGAATGTAATATTCTCTTTAAATATAAATATAAAGAATATAAAGAGAATATTTTCTGAATATTAAACTCACTTTAACACCAAATTTAAGCAGCTGAACTTTTCAAAGTTAATGGAAACTCAAAAATGTTAAGCCTGCCCTTGAGAAAGCAGGAGATCCTCAGCCTGCCAGCCTAGTGGTAAAGCAGCCAATATCCATTGCTTTTTGCCCCTAGCCATCACATCTGCTATTAATACATCTGCATTTGCCCAGTGGCTTCACCAAAGGAATTTCCGTCATTGATTATCCAATTCAATTAATATTTACTGTGCACCTGCCAAGGGTTCAGCCCTATACCAGGAGCTGTGGGGAGTACTTTTAGAAAAGACAGCGCCTGCCTTGAAGGAGTTTATGATGCAGCTGAGAGTGAAAAACACACCCACATCAAGCTATTAGAGCATAGGAGAAAATGAAAGATATCACAGGACAAAATGTACCTAAATTCAGAGGGAACAGAAAACAAGAAGAATAGCATTGTGAGCTACAAATGATTTTCAGGAGCTAAAGGGAAAAGAAGTGTTGTTTATTCCAAAGTTTATACAAAATATGGAGAGATGGAGAGGTTTGTTTGACATTAAACACGTGCATAAACAAAAAACAAATTATCTTCCTGGTTGTTGTTGTTCTTTTTAACCAGTTTCTATCTAGTGATAAAAATTCTTCTCTTCTCTGTTTGTTCTTGGGTGATCAGCCTTAGAGGCCGTGGATTGCTGGTCACCCATATGTGCCTCTCAGCCAATGTTGACCTCAGGGTCATCCTCACAAAGAAAGAGTTGGGCTCCAGGAAACTTGGAAAGGGTTCTAGACCTTTGTTTATGTTCCTGAAAAGAAAACAAAACCAATTTTATTTGATTCTTTTCAAAAGCTGTGGACAGCATTTATTAACCTGTTCCCAAACCAATCCCATATGGCAGTTGTGGTTTTTTGTTTCTCACTTGAATGATATAGTCTTCCCAAATCATGATATCCTTCCTCACAATCTATCTTTTCTCTCATGATACTCTCACATTTACCCATTTTCTGCAACAGCCATAAAAATGAACCCTGGCCTGCATGAGCCTCAACGAAAACAGGACAGCAAAGTAATAAAGCAGTGGGCTAATAAAAATCAGGCAAAGGTCTAATGAGCAATAGATTATTCAGCACTCTGTTCTCATTCTTGTTCCTCTTCAGATGTGTTTGTAGAGCAGACAGTATTTATGAGGAAAATGAGGGTATTTTCTAAGCCATCTAGTTCTGATCACTCCTCTACTTCACGTCTCAGCGCTCAGAGCATCCATTTGTACTACGCTGTCATTCCTCTGGCCATGTTGTTTTACTTCTGTCATTTTATCGGTGTCTGTCACTTATCCAACTAGACTGGAAGCTCCTCAAACACAAGACTTTTTCTTCTCTTTCTTTTATATTCTTGCATAGAGCTCTAGGTAGATAATATATAATAAGAATTAATAACAATCTATTATATATTATAATATATAATAAATACTTATTGAATAAGTAAAAAGACTGTTGGCTCAGTAGTAAGGAGAACTGAATTCAAATCCCAGTTCAGGCACTTTTACTGGCTGTATGAACTTTGGCAAATCATTATACTTATCTGAGCTTCATTTTCTTTATAGAAAAAGTTAAAATAATCCTTGCACTACCCACCTCACAGGGTTTTTGAAAGGGAAGTGCATGGCAAACACTAAGGTGCAGTATAAATATGAGGCAATAGTATTAGCATAGTAATATGGAGAAGGGCTGAAGTTTCTGAGGATTACAAAGGAAAAGAGAAAATGGCACTGGTCATTGCTGGGAAGGACAATTCATATTACATAAATCAAGCAAAATGTTTGCAGATCTAATTATTCTTGAAAATTGTGTATAAAAGCGATTATGTTATCCACATTAGCTCTAAATATGGTAGTGCAGCATGAGTCTCCACTAGTTTTCTTTAATGATTCACTAAAACATACATTAACATTTGTGTTAGAGATGCCCATACCATAGAAGACCAGTATTACTTTTTGCCAGTTACATTTTTTTTAGAAACCAAACTCTTAACTATTAAGACCTCTGCAAAAAAGGCGAAACACAGTTCTCTAAAAATCCCACAATGAGCATTCCATAATGTCTCTTGAAGTATTTGGGAGAAGGTTCCAGTTTGGGGGGGTCTATCATACTCTCCTAATGTGAGATATTGTACCCCCCATGAGAACTTCCTGAAATGGTTCCCTCTGGGCCAGAATCCCATCTGGAAGCATTGCTCCAATAATGTTTGAACTTTGGGCCTCTATTGACATAAATGCTGTCTATAGGTCCTGGGTCTAGGTCATGGCTTGGTCTACACCTGCTATCTTCAGGTTCATGTGACATTTCCAGATGTTCATAGAACCACTTTAACAGGAAACCTTATATCAGGGGTTCTTAATCGTGTGTGTCTGTGTCTGTGTCTGTGTCTGTGTGTGTGAGACTGAGACAGACAGACAGACATGGACCCTTTTGAGATGCTGGCAAAGCTTACGGAAGCCATTCTCAGAATGATATTTTTAAATAAATAAAATACATAGAATTAAAAAAGAAGCCAATCATATTAAAATAGTTATTAAAATATTTTTAAGTAACCAAAATATCTGCTAAAGAATAGTACCACTAATAGAACAGCTAGGGATCAGCTTTTTCAGCAATCTAAGCAGGTGACCTTTCTCTATATGGCTGTTCTACCCTCTTGAAACTCCATTATTTCTCAATATTTTCTTGTTGTTAGTCTTTTAAGAACTTTTGGAAATTATGGGAAAAGTCAAATCAGTAAGCATTTATTAAGTGTGCCAAGCACTGTGCTAAACTGGAAATACAAACAGAAAGTACAAACAGAAAGATAATCCCTGACCTCAAGGAGTTTACACTTTAAAAGAGGAAGATAAAACATTTTTAAAAAGCTGAAAGGGGGAAGGGAGTAGGAAGAGAAAAGTATCCATGTAGACACGTGATGGAGAAAGTGCAGAGTCAGGTGGGGCCCGGGAGAGGAACAAAAACCTGGCAGGCTTAGGCACTTTCCTTAAAATGGAGGTTCTGGGAGGGACTAACCAATCAGAGTAAAGGAATGCAACTTCCACCCTGAGAAGTTCAGGGCCAAAATGAACTTTTAGGGTAAGGATGCTGTGACAAGGTGGAGGAGGCTGATAGAGGGAAGAAAACATGACTGGCCTGGGAACTTTCCTTAAAAATGAAGAAAAGTCATCTGACCTCTCTGAGCCTCATTTTCCTCCTCTGTAAAATGCAGGTTTTATTTGAGAAATGAATGTGAGTGTGGTATTCCATTCCCACCTCTGACACACATTGAATGTCTGAGTCTGGGCAAGTCATTTAACTTCAAAATGCCCTTCAAGGAAACTCTTTAAGACTCCCAGGTTTCAAGGCAGGTGCTAAGCTGTGTTGATAAAGGGATTTGCCTTCCTGGGAGTTCTAAATAAGTTCCAATGAAACCCAATGAAAGCATAGATCTTATCCAAAATAGGCATAATAATACTGTCCTGTCTACCTGGTATTGTTATGAAGAAAACACTCTGTAAAGCATAAAATGCTATATGGAGTGTCCCAAAAGTTTTAAGCTTTAAGAGCTTAAAACTGTAGTAAGACTTTTGGGACATGCAGTATAAATGCAAGTTGTTATGCTGTTGTCATTATTACCATTATTCAAAAGTGAGGCTAATTTTCCCCTGGCACTCCTATGAGAGGAATGACTGACCTTGTATATACAGATGGTTTGAAAGCAGCCTCCAAATTAACTTATGTAAGCACACGCTTTATACTACAAATTGCTTTTGCATTCCCAGAAAAAAAAAAGCAGTACATGAATCTCCTTTGCACAAATTATAAATGTTCTGAAGTCTGCACCTGCATTCTTTTTGTCTTTAGAGAGCACGGCATGAGCTCTGACTCACTTGTTTCAAAGCATAGTCTTTAGTAAAGATGGAACCATCCTATTCACAGAAACTCAATGCTGTAAGCCCTTGGGGTCAAACTCTTTAAAGACTTTTCTGGAACTCATGGGTAGTCTCAGTGTTAGCTCTTCTCTCAATAGCTCTGCCTGCAGCCCCATTCAAGAGTGAACCAGAAGCATAACCCTCCCTTGGCGTGAGTTGAAGAAGCGGCCCTCTTCATCCCACGCCAGGGCAAAGAATGAATACTGAAACGACCAGCATGTGCTGGCTCTGGGAAGGGCGAGTTATTTATCCTCTTCCCACATGATGTAGCACCTCAAACATGGTTGAAGGTCAGAAAGACTTAGATCAGGGTAAATGAGTGTCTGTTTTCATTCTGGAACAATACCTCCAGCAGCTTCTCTGATTTCAGTAAGGCCAACAAACAATTTTTTTTTAAAAAGTTAAAAAGCTTAAACCAGTGATTTTTCTACTGATGGAATAAGAAATAACAAACAGCAACAATAACAACATATGGAGCTTTTAGGTCTTCACGGAACTTTACATACATTATTATTTTACTTTACATACTTTACATTACTTTGCATACATTATTATTATATCTCGTTTGGTCTGCACAAATAAACTGGTGAGGTGGTGGTATTATTATCCCTATTCTATCAAAGAGGAAACCAACTCAGCAAGATTTAGTGACTTATCCTAAGTCACACAGCTAGTTTATGTGACTTGCTCAGGGTCACAGAGATAGTTTGAATCGTGCCTCAGACTAGCTGCATGACACTAAGCAAATCATTCAGCCTACATTTCTTCATCTGTAAAAATGGGAAAATAATAACACCTACTCACAGGGTTGTGAGCATTGAATGACAATATATGTGGAGTGCTTTGCCAACCATAAAGTGCTCTGTAAATGTTAGCTATTGTTAAATGTCTGAGGCAGGATGGAACCCAACTTGACCTGGGTTGAGGGCTTGCTCAGCAAGAAAAGAGGAGGAAGTGTTTACTACATTCTACAACCAGGTTAGAACTCACCTAGATGTGATAAATAGAGTGAATCTTAAATGGCCTTTTTGTTAATGAAAATGTCTACTCTTGCCTTTCAGGAAATTTTGAACTAGAAGAAAATCTGAGGGATTCATTTATATTGGAGAATGGCTTTACTTTGTTTCCAGATGTGTGTGCACTTGAAATCCTTTCCTTTTTTAGCTTAGATTTCTCATTGTTTTCAGTGCTCAGATAAGTCATGCCTGAGGACACCCTCACTGAAGAAGAGAGTTACAGAAACTAACCTAGAAGGCAAAAAGGACTCTGGGATGTTAAAATACATCAGACATCAGGTATTGACCAAAGCATCATATTCATTAGTAACATGTTTACAGTCATTCCTAAATTAAAATACACAAACATATAAGCATACATGCAGTCAGTCAATAAGCTGTTATTAAGCGCCCACCTTGTAGAAAGCACATGAGAAGCATTGGGGATATAAAAAGAGGCAAAGGCCTCTAAACTCAAGGAGTTCACAATCTAACTGGGGAGTCAATAGATAAACACATATGCACAAACAAGCAATATATAGCATAAATAAGAAATTTTTAGAAGAGGGAAGGCACTAGAATTAAGAGGAGTTGGGAAAGGTTTTAGTTGGGACTTAAGGGAGACCAGTAAGCAGACATGAGGAGGGAGAGTATTCTAGACATGGACAACTAGAAAAAAAGCCCAGAGTCAAGAACTGGAGCGTCTTGTTCATGGAACAGCAAAGAGATCAGTGTCACAGGATCAAAGAGTATGTGGTGGTGAATAAGGTGTAAAAATACTAGAAAGGTGGGTGGGGGGAGTTAAATTATGAAGGGCTTTGAATATCAAATAGAGGATTTCACATTTAATACTAGAAGTGATAGGAAGCCATTGGAGTTTATTGAGTACAAGGGGAGGGTGATATGAGCTCTGACTCACTTTTTTCAGAGCAGAAGAAAGCAGGTGACTGAATGGATGAATTGGAATGGTAAGAGACTTGTGGCAGGCAGACCAACCATCAGGCTAGTGTAATAGATCATAAGGGAGGTGATGAGGGCCTGTATCAGAACAGAGAACAAGGTATATTTAAGAAATGTGCAAAGGTGAAATCATCAAATCTTGGCAACAGATTGAATATGGGGGATAAGACATAATGAAGAGGTGAGAATGATGCCTAAGTTTTGAGCTTGGAAAAACTGGGGAGATGGTGGTGCTCTTAACAACAATAAGGAAGTTTGGAAAAGGGGATGATTTAGAGGGAAAGATAATGAGTTCAGTTTTGGACATGTCCAAAAAACCTCAAGTTTTTTTCTGTAAAATATGAGGCAACGTTCTCAGCTGAGAGGATGGAAGAAAGGAACCATGGAAAGCTTGAAAAGGGATGAAAAGGTTTAGAAGAGCCAATGTGGAAAGTGGTATGGTGAATGGATAATGGAGGTGTACAAAAATTGCCTAGTAACAGTGAAGGCCCATTTGAGGTTGTATAACATAAATTTATAGTGGACCCAGTCAGAATGATTGCATGATTTTCTCCACCTTCATTCAGCAGTACATATGTAGGAGCAAAGGTGGAGGATAGTGGAAGTGATCCAAAGCTAAGGTTTGGCAGGGCACAATCAGCAATATAATAAGGGGGCCAGGGATTCAAGAGAAAAGGACAGTGTAAAGTTGAACTGGTTCATTAAGGAGTCAAGATGGGGAAAAAGGAAAGAAAAGAGCAAACATACATACAAATGGCCACCTCTGTTGGAGTCAAAGGCATTCCCCTGCCTACCCACCCCTTCTCTCCTACTGACTAGCTCAGGATAAATATCTTCCTTGGTTTATGGCTAGGGATCTCCATGCCACTGAAGCTACAAGAAAAATATTGCACTGTGGGTGGTAGGATGGAAAAACTTGCTTTTAATGCCTATCAGAAAGGGAATCCAAGCTATAGGGAAAACTAAAGGTAAAAGATGCATTTTCTTTCCATGGAAACAATGTTCTAAACTGTGATTAAATTCCCAGGCTAGCCCATAAAAACTTACAGAACAGCAGAAATGGTAACTGGTGTTAAATGGGATTTTATGGGCTACCCTTGGTACCTAATTATAATTTATAATTTTATTTCAATGGGAAAATACATTTGGAACCCCAAAACTGACATACAGCTAACATTTCATTTGTTGGAGACAGCCTGTATTTTTAGAAAATGAAATATATTCATAGAATTACGGAATTTAAGAATTAGAAAGACCCTCAGGGGCCTACTAGAACAACCTATATACAAATGGTTGTCTAACCTCTGCTGATAGTCCTCGAAGGGAGGAGGGAAGCTGAGGGGAACCCGCTGCACCTTGGGGCAGTTCATTCAACTCTTTGGACAATTCAAATTATTAGGAAGTTTTTCCTGACATCAGCTTAAATTAGGCTTCTTGTAACTCATACCCACAGCAGTTGGTTCTGCCTTCTGGGGACAAACAAAACTGGCCTGATTCCTCCTTCACATGATAGGACTTCAAATACTTGAGGATGGCTATCACGTTGCCCCACCCTGAGTCTTCTTTGCTCCAACCTAAATATATATATGGTGGTTTCAATTGATTCTTTGGGCTCAATTTTCACCATCTCTCCTCTATTCTCTCTCCAGCTTGTCAATAACCTTCTTAAACCATGGTGCTCAGAATGGGGCCCAGTATTCTGACAAGAGCAGAGTACAGTTGGACTCTCATCTCCCTTCTTCTAGTTCTTCCTCTCTTAATGAAGTCCAAGATCTCGTTAGTTTTTTGAGGGTTTTTTTTGGCCACATCCCACTGCTGACTCATATTGGGCTTATAGTCCAGTTAAAATCCCCAGACCTTTTCAGCCAAGTCAAAAATTATTGAGTGATTACTATTTGCCAGGCACTATACTAAGCATTGGGAACACAAGCACATGCAGAAAGAAAGATAGTCCCTGCCCTCAAGGAACTTACATTCTAATGGAGGAACACCACACATATTAGAGAGTTGAGGAGGAGAAGGTTTGCAGGAGTATGATAGAGAAAGTCCTCTGGAAATGAGTTGGGAGTGCAGCAGAAAAACTGCTCTCTACCACTCCCACCCAAACCCATCTTATTCTTGTGAAATTGATTTTTTTTCACCCAGGTGTAAGACTTTACATGTATCCCTGTTGAATTTTATCTTATTAGATTCTACCCACTGTTCTGGCCTGTCAAGATTCTTTTGAATCCTGATATTTTCATCAACCCTATTAGCCCTCCCTTTCAACTTTGTGTCATATACAAATTTATAAGCGTGTCACTTAATTTTTAAAGCCATTGATTAAAAAATGTCCAACAAATAAGGCCAAGCACAGATTTTTGAGGGGTACCACATTGGAGAACTCCTACCATGTTGATGTTGGAACAGGAAGACAGGGAGAACTATTCTTTGCATCTGACCATCATTCCTAATATTCTGGAAGTGTAGTAGTATGGTACAAAACTGTTTATAACAGTTCAATGCACCCTGACCAAAATCAATGCAAAATTTGGACATGAAGAGGTATTTTTCCTCTTACTGTGCATCATTCTACTAACCAGAAAACAGTTTATTGCACTGGCTCTGCCTTGGAACTTTGAAAAGAAATAGATCTAAAATGCAAATTTATTTTTAATCAATCTGCAAATAACTAGTCACTTCTTGGGATGATAGTGAGTCCTAATATACTTCATCATTTAAATAGCTTCTCTTTTAGATGATTCTTTATTCTCATTTAGAGAAAGAAGGACTAGGAAAAAGCAAATCAGCCTGTCAAATTTGTGAGACTGTCATATTCACCCTCATTTAAAATGCTTTTGAAATGCTTTTTTTAAAAATGCTTTTCTTTTTTTTCCCCCAAGGTTATGAGCCTGTCCCCAGCTCCCTTGTCTCTGCTAATCAAGGCAGCACCAATTCTGACAGAAGAGATGTATGGAGACATACAGCCTGCAGCCTGGGAGCTACTGCTCAGTATGGATGAGCACATGGCTGGAGCTGCAGGTAACACAAGACAAGACCCACCCAGGGAGTCATCTGTTGTGGCAACCCATATTTTAAAATGAGAGTTTTATGAATTCATGTTGATTGACTAGATCAAACAGATAGTGTGGCAGATTGTTCTAGATACAGCAGTAAGCTGAGAGATGGATCCTAGGCTCTAGGAATTGTAGGATTTTAGTGCTAGGAGGACCTTAGAAATTATGTAGTCCAACTCTCTTATTGTAGAGAAGAGAAAGCTGAAGTTCAAAGGTCAACACTTATTCAACAATCATATGAGAAGTAGATGGCAGTCCTAGGGTTGAAACCCATGCCTCTGGAGGCCATGATGTTATCTACCAGCATAAGGAATTGGCTTTCACTTCTGGGCTGTCGAAGACATTCTGTAGATATAAAATATGATTTTTCTTTTGGTGCATTTTTCATATAAAATACAATTCTAATTGATTTTTCTTCTCCTGTATCTACTGTGCAGCGGCAGCAACATCAATGGATATTTAGGGTGCCTAAAGGCAGTGTGCTAACCACTTTTTTTACTAATATTATAATATTTGATTCTCACAACAACCCTGCAAGGTAGGTTCGATAATTATCCTCATTTCTCCAGCTGAACATCCCTTAGCTGTCCTAGTTGAGGAAACTGATGCAAAAAGAAGTCAAGTGACTTACAGGCCAGATTTGAATTTAGATCTTCCTAACTCCAGAACAATGCTCTGTCCACTGTGCAACATAGTTGCCCCTAGCATAGATGCCCGGAGTATTACATTGAAAACCTCCTGCCATGTTGACATTGAACCATTAAGAACTATCTTTGAGTTTGGCCATCCATTCCCAATATTTTCTTTATGTATAGAAATAAAACAATAAAGTAAGGTAGTAAATGCTAGGTGATAGATAATGGTCAAAAGAAACAAAACAGGCATTCAAAAGAAGTGATTACTTAGGAATTACTTGGGAAAAATGTAAATAGATGACATAGAATTTGACCTGAGTCACGAAGGAAGAACAGGACTTAACCAATCAAAGATGGAGAAAACGTTCTAGGTAGGGGAACCTTGTAAGCAAAATGGTAGATAGAGGCAGGGGTGTATATAGCATGTTTGCAGAACGATGAGAGAGCAGGGGGATAGGTAGGGGAGTAGTAGGAGATAAGAGAAGAGTCAAAAGTTTTAAGCCTGAATACTTGAGAAAAGAATGGTACTACTGACATAAAGAGGAGACTCCAGAAGAGAAATTGATTTTGGGGGAAAGATGATGACCTTGATCTTAGACATGCTGAATTTAAAGTGATGACTGGGTAGATTTAGGGAGCAATGTACAAAAGATGGTTGGAGATATAGAGCAGAAGCCCAGAAGAGAAGGCAGGAAGGGGAGATATATTGAGAAATCACCTGTCTGTGGGTGATACTTGAAGCCATGAGGTTGGATGAAATCTTTCCTAAAAAGGGAGATAGGGCTAGCAAGAAGAACAGAGCACTGAGTATTCAAGCATAGCCACATAGAGACATATTCCTTCTGTGGGATACCAGGAGGAGCAAAGGGAGTTGGGAAGAAAAGAGAACGGGTGACTGGTCCCCTAAAGAGAGATGGCATAAGTAGCCAAGGAGGGAGAGTTTCAAGGAAAAGATCATTAAGAGTGTTATAGACCAGAGAAGGCAAGAAGAATGAAAAATGGAAAAGGATGGGTGATTTCTTAATACACAATGTCTCTTTCAATAAGAATATTTTCCTTTTTCCTTCAAAGAAAAATAATATTTATTGATATTTTTTGTTTTATTCCTTTCTCTATCCCTCCTCAAGTGTCATGTCTTATTACAAAAAATACAAAAAGAAGTTTGTAAAACTAACCAAGACATCAAAGAAATCCATTATTTTCTTTTTTTGTGAGGCAATCGGGGTTAAGTGATCTGCCCAGGGTCACACAGCTAGTAAATGTCAAATGTCTGAGGCTGGATTTGAACTCAGGTCCTCCTGACTCCAGAGCCAGTGCTCTATCCTTTGTGCCACCTATCTGCCCCCCAAAATCCATTATTATTCAACACCTTTAGTGCACCTACCTCTGCAAAAAAGAGATGGGGGTACTTTTTCATAGTTCTTCTTTGGGGCTTAGCTTGGTTATTATAATTTTATGACATTAAGTTTTGTTGTTTTGTTTTGGGTTTTCATTTCATTATTGTAGTCATTGTGTACATTGTTTTCCTGGTTTTGTTTACTTTATCTTATAGCAGACTTATATATGTGCTTTTCTGCATTTGTCATATTCATCTTTTTCTCACAGTGAAGTAATATTCCATTATATTCATGTACCATAACTTACACATGAGGAACCTGAGACTGAAAGAGTTTACATGACTTACCCCGGGTCATAGAGCTAATAAGCATCAGAGGCAGGAGTTGAGCTCAGCTTTTCCTGTCTCCAAGCCCAATGCTCTAGCCATTGTACCATTTAGTGGCCTCAGAGGTATAGATAAAAAGAGGCAGCATACTCCAGGCATTTGGGATGGCCAATACAAAAGCACGGGGACAGGAGATGTTATATGATAAACAGAGTGAAGGCCATTTTGGCTGCATCTCAGGGTGAAGGATGGGAAACAATTTCCAGTAAGGCTGGAAATGTATGTTGAGGCTAGGCTATCAAGATCTATAAAAACTGGGGCAGCTGGGTGGCGCAGTGGATAGAGCACCGACCCTGAAGTCAGGAGGATCTGAGTTCAAATCTGGCCTCAGACCAAACACTTGACACTAACTGTGTGACCCTGGGCAAGTCACTTAACCCTAATTGCCTTTTAAAAAAAAACTGTAAAAACTAAGCAGAGAAGCATATATTCTGGCCTTTAAAAAAGGTCTGAAAAAAAAAGATCAAATAGGATAGTCACATCGTCAGATCAATGCTTAAGGAAAGTGACTTTGGAAGCAGTATGGAGGACGGACTAGAAGCACCAGAACCAATTAGGAAGTTGTCTTACTTTTCTAGGTGACAGGTGTCAATGGGCTGAAATAAAGTGGTAGCAGCCATGTGAGTGGAAAGGGCCGGATGCAAGGGATGTTGTAGAGGCAGAAATACCAAATGTTTGCAACTGAATTGACGTGTGAGTTGGGCAAGTGTAAGGAGCCAAAGATAATGCTAAGGCTATGAGCCTAGGAGCTGGAAGGCTGACGGTGCCTTGGACAGAAGTCTTGAAGTTTGGAAGAAGGGAAGGACTAGCGTTGATTTTGTTTCCAGCTCTTTGCTACCACCAAAAACATGCCACTATGAATATCTTGGTGTGTATAGGACCTTGGAAAGAGCATGCTCCGTGAAGCAGTTAGGACAGAAGTTCTGCTGCAAAGGAGTGACAAGTCAAGGGGTGATGGGAAAGTGGTAGCAGAGAATGGAGCTTGTTTCAAGAAGGTGAGAGGTACTGAGATCTTTGGCCTCTACCCAATAGTCTGCTGCTAAATTTTTTTAAACGGTTCTCCAGGAGAAAAATTCATGTTTACAGGACACATTTTAAAGTTTAATCTGCATTGTTAACATTTTCTCAATCACTCTCTGAAGTCTAGACAATTAGACAATAAGTCAAGACTTGATTTGTAGCATTTGCTCATTTCTGAGGTGTAATTACTCACACTGAAAATTTAACAATTGGCTCTTGGGAACCAGGAAGAGCTGTCTCCAGCACACCTTGCCTCTATCCCAAGTGGAATGGGAATCTAATATTTGACTGCCTAGTAATAAGAAAATTTAAGAGCTAGAAGAGACTAGATTCAGAGAATTTTAAGAAGAGGATCACCTAATTTAATCACATCATTTTTCAGGTAAGGAAACTGAATCTCAGAGAGGGCATGTGATATGTTCTAGGCTACATAAAAACGCAGCAAGATAGCAAACAGTAAAACCCGAATCTCTTGGCTCCCACTATAATTTTCTTTCTAGTACACCACACTAAGTCATTCTCCTAGAGCTCTGGGGCATTATCCCTTGGCGAATGGGAACCGAACTTGTAAGAAGCTTAAATAAAAAATTCTAGTAAAATGAGGACACTCAGAATAAGCCTTCCCTGATCCCCCCAGATAAGGTCCCCTGCATTCCCAATCTCTTATGCTTATCTGACCTCAGACCTGAGTTGAAATCCTGATTCATATGCTTGCTAAATATGTGACCCTGGGCAAGTCATTTAATCTCTCTCTGTTTCCTCCTATATAAAATGAAGATAATAACAGCATCTACTTCACAAGGTTGTTGTGAGGATCAAATGAAATAGCATAAATGGAGCTTTAGATAAATTCAATCTGTTATTGTTGTGCATAAATTCAATCTATTATTGTTATGTATAAATGACTTCCTAACATATTTATTTGTGTATATGTTATTCTTGTGCTTGACAGTGTGTGCCTTGAGAGTAGTCAATGTTGTCTCAGAATGACAGAATTTCAGAGTTAGAAGAGACCTCGGTGGCCTCTTAATCCAGCCCAGATTCTAACCAGAATTCCTACTGCAACACATCTGACAAGTAGTCATCCAGCCTTTCCTTGAAGACTTCCACTGAGGAGAAAACCACCCCTTCCCAAGGCAGCCCATCCCCTTTTTGGATAGCTCTGGCTTCTAGGAAACGTTGCAAAGCATCAAGCCTAACCTTTCTCTTTTCAACTTATACCCATTATTCCCTGTTCTACCCTCTGGGGGCAAACAGAATATATGTCATCTCTTTCCCACTTGGCCTTTTAAGTACTTGAAGATAGATGATATACCCACCCACTTTATCCTTCTCTCCTTATTCACCAGACCTAGTTCTTTCAACCAATTCACCCATGGCATAGACTTTTAACTCTTCATCACTCCGGTTGTTTGTCTCTAGATGTTCTCTAATTTATTAGTGTCCTTTCTTAAATGCATTTTTCAGAACTGAACACAATACTCCCAAAGTGATCTGACCAGGGCAAAGCATAATGGAACTATCTCCACTTTATTCCTGGAAGCTGCGCTTCTCTCAAGATCACATCGACTTTTTTGGCAACCATGTCATGCCGTTGACTCATATTGTTCTTAGAGTTCAATAAAGCCCCTGTATCTTTTTGTGGCATTTAAAAAGATTTGAGAGACATAGTTTCTGGGTAACTTAATCATTTTATTAATAAGGCCAGCATGTTTATTGATAAAAGAATGGTCATTTGGCCATCTCTCTTAGACCAAAGACCTCTCAGGGCTGTGGGTTCACAGTTGATATGCCCTTCGAAGAGTAGGTATTCCTCAGGGTGGCAATCAATACTGATTGGTTAACAATTAATGAGAAAATGAACATTACAATTAAGGTCTTGGGGTTCATGATTTGGATCACCCAAATCTTGGTCAAAGAGACTTATGAATTTCCATTTCCCAGGGTCACACAGCTAGTAAATGTCAAATATCTGAGGCTGGATTTGAACTCAGGTCCTCCTGACTCCAGAGCCAGTGCTCTATCCATTGCGCCACCTAGCTGCCCCCCAAAATCTGTTACTATTCAACACCTTTAGTGCACCTACCTCTGCAAAAGAGAGGTATGACAAAAGAGAGGATCCACATTTTCCCAGACCTATCTGAGCAAACATAATGAACAGAAATGTACCCATTAGCCCGAACTTAGAATCTCTTTTACTGTCTGATTAGACCTCAATCTGGGTAAATCTTTAAGAGAGATTTCCCACACTGGTTGATTTCTGGATAAGGAAGTAGAAAAAGGGAAAAAACTCGGTCCTAATACAATCATTAGTTATTAATGCCAGAGAGAAATAATCATTGCTCACATTTTACAGTTAAATTGGTATCCAATCGTGCCTCCTCTATTTTGTACTGGGTGGGAGGGGAGAGTTCTTGACCCCAAATGTAAGACTTTTACATTTATCCCTATTAAATTACATTCTATTAAATACATCCCAGAATTTCAGCCTGCCAAGATCTTTTCAGATTCTGACTTTGTCATCCGTTGCATTGGCTATCTCTCCCAGCTTTGTCTCTAGAAATAGAAAAGGATGCCATCTATGCTTTTATCCAAATCACTGATTTAAAATTAAAATTCAATAAAAAATTAAAAATTATTAAAAATAAAAATATTTAAATAGCACAAGATGAAGCACAGATTCCTGAGGCACTCCACTGGAGGTCTCTCAAGTTGACATCAACCCATTCTTTAAGTTCCAAGTTCATGTAATTATACTATAATCCATTCCATATTTTTCCATCTTTTTCATAGGAATAGCATGCAATAATTTATCAAACATTTTGTTAAAATTCAGGTAATCTATATCTACAGCATTCTCTTGATTTACCAGTTTAATAGCCCCTTCCAAAAAAATTTTAAAAAGGAAATTGTATGAGGCTGTCATGATATATTCTTGATTAAGCCATGCTGGATCTTTGTGATCACTGCTTCCTTTTCTAGTTATTTACCACCATCTCTTTAATAATGCATCCTAGAATTTTGTCAGGGATTGAAATCAAGCACATGAGCCTATAGTTTGTAGGTACTGTTCTCTAGGCTTTGTTGCAAATTGGCTTCCTTGCTCCTGAGATTCCTCTCCCTTTATCCATGTCATTTCTCAGAAATCACACTAAGTAGTTCCTTTAGAACCTGAGGATGCAATTTGTCTGAACCAAGTGACTTGAATTCATCAAGGATAACTATGTCCTCCTGCAATCTCTTTACTTATCTTGGGTATCAACTCATTACTAGCCATTAATTTTTTTTATCCAGTTCAAAAATCACTGTATTTTCACCTATTTCCAGTCCCTAGAACAGTGCCCTGCAGATATATGATTCATAAATGTTGCTTGAATGGGGAGGGGGAGGTAGGGTGAAACAGAAGTTTAATTATAGAAGAAAAACGCTATAGATTTCAGAGCTTAGAGTCCCTCATTTTACAAATTAAGAACCTGAACCCCATAGAAATTGAGTTGTCCTATGATCCTACAGCATTCTAGTCACTCAAGTTGTAAGTGGCAGCTCCATTATTTGAAGAGAGGCCTTCAAATGAAGTACTCTTTCTATCATTCCAGAAGAAACATAGGTATCAAACCCATGTCAGACATTAACTAGCGATATAACAATGGCCAAGTCAACCTTTTTGAGTCTCAGGTCCTCATCTATAAAATGAAATTGTAGCTATTGAGGTAGAAGAGTCAAGGGAAAGTTTCTTAAGATAAGCAAAATCTGACAACAGTTGTAGGTGAAAAGTAAAAACAGCAGAGTTGGCAAATTCTATTTCCACCATAGCCACAGGTTCCTTCTTCCAATCTGGATTTATGTGATTCATGATTTATCATCTGATATATGGTAGCATGGTTCATGATCTTATTTCTGATCACTGTTTGGCTTTCTTTTAGATCAAAAGCCACTACTAAGACTCACAAAATCTCTTTCAGCATTTCTCTCTCCTCATTATTTGGGAATAATAGTATCGCAGTTTGAGAATTAAAAGAGACCTCAGAAGTCATTTAGTCCAATCTGTTCCTGAAAAGAATTCTCACTACAACATACCTAATAAGTGATCATGTAGCCTCTGCTTGAAGGCCTCCAGGAAAAGGAAACACACTACCTCACAAGACAGCTCATTCTACCACCTTTGGATAGTTTTAATTATAAGTTTTCCTTTATCTTCATAAAATCTGAATTAAGTTTGAAATGTGGATTTTTAAAATATCCATAAAATTTGATGTATTTTTTAAAAATGTACTTCTTCACTTGAAGGACAGTCTCATTAAAAAATCTCATAAAATTTCAGCAAAGCTATTTATTTGAAACAAAATTTCACTTTGGATCAAATGACAAAAACAGAGGAATCCAATTTGAAAAGAAATAGCAGGTAAAAGTTTGTTTTAAGTAGGTCAGTGGCTAGAGTTATTTAACTGGAGCTCAGAGACTACAGTAGTTTTAGCAAAAGTCACCATTATTTGACCTTGTCAAAATGTCATTACACTTAGAGACCATAAATTGGAAGTTGGTGGGTGGAATGAAAGATGGTGCTTCATGCCCTTGTCTGAAACGAGGTCCTTTCTTGCCAACATAGTTGGACAGGTTTTATTTCCCCTAAGGGATGTTTTCACCAGAGCTGGAGAGTTGTTTTCCAGACACTAAGCCCAGTGACATGTCCTTGATTAATGCTGGATTGCTTTTTTCTAGCTGCCATGTTCCTGCTATGTGCAGTGAAAGTCCCAGAGGCTGTGTCTGACATGCTGATGTCAGAATTCCATCACCCAGAGACTGTGCAACGGCTCAATGCCATCCTCAAGTTCCATACACTCTGGAGATTCCGCTACCAGGTGTGGCCTCGAATGGAGGAAGGAGCTCAGCAGATTTTTAAGGTAAGAAATGGGTCAATTATGGGAGGTACATTCCTGGGCCCTAAATTTTATTTTAAGTTTTCCTTTTCAAACCCACCTGATATAACCTGGAGGGAAACTTCTCTAGTGAGCAGAATAAAATCATTTCAAGCTCTTTTGATGAAATTATTTCAACTTTTTGATGAAATCATTTCAAACTTTAAAAAAAAATTTCAGTTCTATTTAAAAAATGGTAGGTCATCTGCTGAAGTTGGTTAAGTGGAGCAATTTTATATGCATTTTTTATTTTTATTTTCAGTTCCAAATTCTCTCCCTCCCTCCACCTCTTCCCCTACCCATTGAGAAGACAAGAAATGTGTTACCCATTATACATACGAAGTCATACAAAGCATTTAATGGAGTAATTCTTTTAAATCTTTTTAATGGAGTAATTCTTAAGAATTCTAACTTCCGGACACCTGCTAATGTAAAATAATGGACTATAAATAGAACTTGGCTAAACAAGGCTTTTTCATTAATAATAATAATATTCATATAGCACTTAAAGGACTGCAAAACACTTTCTTGTATATTATCTCATGTTATCTTCCCAATAACCCAGCAGCTATTATTATCCCTATTTTACAGAGGTTAAGTGATTTGTCCAAAGTCATATAGCTAGTAGTATAACTCCAGGTCTCCCCCTACTCGCTTTCTATCATGCCATATTGACCGCCATTAGTATATTGGTGCTGATTTCAAAGTTGTAATTACAGAGTTTTCCATTACAAAGAGCCAGAAGGCTGTAATCTCTCTGTGACACTCAGCTATAGCCAAAATTATCTTCTTGTGTCTTAGTGAGGAGAATTTCACCTGGAAAATCTCTTTTTATATCAGAAACCACTGCCCTCTGTAATATGGCTATAAATTCTGAGTTATAAAGTAAATTTTCAAGGGCTTCCTTTAAACTTTTAAAGATTGTAACTGCAGTAAGCTTTTTGGGACACCCATTACATGATGAGTATGTGTATATGTACATGTATGTGTATATGCGTGTGTGTGTATGTGTGTATATATATATACACATACACACACGCATACACCACGCCTATACATGCACACATATATTCATACATATATATATATATATACACATATATGAAACTAGAAACAAAGTGATTTTTTTTTTTGGTGAGGCAGTTGGGGTTAAGTGACTTGCCCAGGGTCACACAGGTAGTAAGTATCAAGTGTCTGAGGCAGCATTTGAACTCAGGTCCTCCTGACTCCAGAGCTGGTGTTCTAGCCACTGTACTACTCAACTGCCCCCAACAAAGTGATTTGATGGAAGAAAGTGCTATGAGTTAAGGGAATCAGAAAGAACTTCTTATAGAAGGTAGAAGAGTTTCTTGTATAAGAATAGCTGAACCTTGAAGAATACTAGGAACTCTGAGAGACAGAAGTGAGGAGGGAATCCATTCCAGGCCCAGGAGACAGCCCAGAACAAAGGTGCTGAGGTGAGAGTTGGTGTTTATCATTATGTAGTTATTTTATTATTTTATATTTATTTCATTTTAATAAATAATAAAAAATATATTATTTTATAATCATTTTATATGATATATAATAGTCATCATATGTAATTATAAATATATAATAAATAAATAAAATCATGTTTTATTATTATGCAGTTATTATTACAGGGCTTTACTAAAGTGGGGTTATATTTAAATGCCATGTTTATGGAGCCTTCCAGAGCTCTGAACAAGAATTAAAGCATCTTAGAATTAGAAAGGATCTTAGAGGTCATTTGGTCAGTGGTAGTTTGGCGTAGTGACCATAACAATGGACTTGGAGTTGGAAGACCTGAGCATGAGTTTCAAATCTACATGCTGCATGACCTTAAGCAAGTATTGTTTTCTTGCTTTTTCTTCTTCTATAAAGTAGAGATAATGTTGATTCTACCTACCTCACAGGGGTAGGGAAGATAAAATGAGACAAAGGATAAAAAATATTTCATAAACTACAAAAATTTATGCAAAGGAAAGGTGGCATTTAGTCCAACAACTTCATTTTACATTGGAGGTAACTGGGCTCCAGGGAATCTAAATGTCTGGTCCAAGATCGCAGAGCTGGTTAACAGGGTTGGCACTAGAAACCCATCCTATGTCTAATGATGCTGTGTAAATATGTTTCATTGTTACCAAAATCTCGAAGTAGCTGGGGACCTACAGCCTCACCACCATTGGACCCCTAGAGGCTACCGTTACAACTTTGCCTCTTCCTACAATATTTTCTCTTTCTACCTAAGAGTCTCTATTTATGTCTCCTTACAGATTCCTCCTCCTAGTATAAATTTCACCCTGCCCTCCCCAGTACTGGGAATGCCTTCTGTCCCCATGTTTGACCCCCCATGGGTACCACAATGCAGTGGGAGCGTACAAGACCCGATTAATGAAGATCAGTCGGTAAGTGACATAGAAATTGGTTTCTATAGCTTTAGGTGACACTCATAAGGACACTACTGAAAATGTAAACTTTGCTAATGTGTTCCTTTTTTAAATTAAAAATGTCACATTAAGCAATGCAAAATAAGCATGTGAAGTCTTTTATTAATTGATTTTTTGTTATTGAGAGTATGAAAGACTAGTGTTGAGTATAGAACTTGGGAATGTTGCACATCAGTTTTCTTCTAGTTAGACACCCCAGAGAACATGTTAAAAGTATATGGCTATAGATTTGATAGCCATCAGGGAGCATCATTATTATTTTAAAAGTTTCTTGAGCTTCCACTATGTAACCTTAGGTCTTAATTCTGCTCTGATAGAGTTATATGTCACAAAACACATGTTTGGAAAACCATGCAACTTGGAAAGAGTACAAATACATGTGTGTATGTGTATATATATGCACACTCATACACATGTATATACACAAAAATAGGTATATGTACATATGTGTGTATACACACACATATACATACATATATATGTATATTTTATATATATATATATATATATATATATACAGGATGTCCCAAAGGTCTTAGTGCAGTTTTAACATTTAATAGCTTTTGGGACATCCTTATATATTAAATTAGAGGGGCTTTTAAAAATGCCTTTTTAAATTTTAAATTTTCAACATAATGGTTGGTTTGATTTCCTATTACAAAGTTGATTGTCCCACAGACATGTTGGAATGCTCTTCCTGGCTTGCCTGGTTACCTTTCAAGTCTTAACTAAAATTTCACTTCCTACAAGAAGCCTAATTCTACTGCCTTATCTCTACTAATTGTTTCCTACATATCCTGTTTATAGCTTGTTTATACATATGTGCTTGCTTGTTGACTCCCCCATTAGACTGTGAACTCCTTGAGGACAGAGACTCTTTTGCCTTTCTTTGTATCCCCAGTACTTAAAATAGTGCCTGACACATAGTAGGTGTTTAATAAATGTATATTGACCAATCCTAGCCTTAATCATTGAATGGGTGTTGCCTCAGTCAAACTGAGATCTGTTAAAGACCTTAGCTTAAAAAGGCCAAGGTCTCCCACTGCATCCAGGGCCATCTCCAGTCATTCTGATCTATATCTCGCCACAGGACCCAGATGGCTCCAGAGGCAAAAATGAGCCTTCCCTCACTTAACACCAATTCATTTGCATGTCATGGCATCACTTCCCTGATGTCATAGTCCTCTTCAAGAATGAAGGACAAACAACAACAAATTGACTGACTACTCATATCCCACACAGTTCTCTAAGAATCTAAGTCACAGAGAAGGTAAGGTTCTGCATTAGTATAGGGAGATTGCTTTTGGTCACTAGGAATTTCACCTATAACAATGAAATCATAGATCCAGTTAAAAAAAAATCAGAGAGAGACAGGCCATAGAATACCATTGTGCCTCTTGTCACGAGAAAAGTTTTCTTCTTATAATTAAGGTTTCAAAGGTTGGTAGGAATAAGTCCTCTAAAAAGTCAGCCAGTCAAAAAAGAATTTATTAAGCCCTTTACTATATGCTATGCACTGTTTCTAAGTATGAAAGATACAAAGAAAGGGAAAAAAATCCCCCCCCAAAAAAAACAGTCCTTGCCCTCAAGGAGCTCACATTCTAATGGAGGAGATAACATATCCATAAATAGGTACCTACAAGATGTATGCAGAAACAATGAAAGGTAATCTCCATGGGAAAAGCATCCTAAAGAAAGTGAGATTTGAGCTAAGTCTTGAAGGAAGCCTGAGAAATAATTGCCTTTAATTTAATTAAAATCTCAGAGGAAAATAGAGTAGATGCTATTACAAAATCACAAGCATTCCTAAAGAACTCTTCTGGAAAGAACATTGGATTTGGAGTTAGAAGACCTGATTCAAACCCAGGCTAAGCTACCTACTGGTAACCTGTGTGACCTTGGTCAAGTTCCTTAATTCTAGTTCCTCAGTGTCCTCATTTGTAAAATGATATTGGATTAAATAACTGTTAAGGTTGCATTTAGCTCTGAAATACTACAGTGCTAAGTAGGACAGCTTCAGCTGTATAAAACCTAGAAATGTACTTAAAAGAAAAATATGAGACAACTGAAGCTATCACTTTAAAATCTCCCAAGCATGGCTATTTTGTTTATGTGGTTCATTTGGACTAGATACCTACCATTTATTCCTTTGTGTGAAACCCTGATTTATGTTTTTGTTCAAACATATTATTCATTGGTGTAAGGAACTCTAATTAAGGAAACTCCATCTCCCAGTGCAGATCAGCAAGTGTTCTGTAATTTATAGTCATAGAAAGTTATGTAGGGCACTGAGAGTTTAAGTGGTTTACCCTGGATTACATAGTGTGTGTCAGACACAAGGCTAAAACTCACATCTTCCTGACTCGTGGTGTACTATCTATTTACCTTTCAAAACTCTTATCAATAGCTGTAAAATAAATTTTTTTCTGTCTTCATTTACCCTCAGAAATCTTTTTCTGCCCGAGCTGTATCACGGTCCCATCAGAGAGCAGAGCACATTCTCAAGAACTTACAACAAGAGGAAGAGAAGAAACGACTCGGTCGAGAAGCCAGCCTCATTACTGCCATTCCCATCACCCAGGAGGCTTGCTATGAGCCCACCTGCACCCCCAATTCAGAGCAGGAAGAAGAAGGTGCGCTTTAGTTTCTCTTAGAAGTGCAAGACTATGGGAAGAGATTCATGGGGGGGGGGACCTTGATTAAAAATGGTTCACCATTTCTGACTACTTAGGTAAAGGTGAAAGCTAAAGTATCAAATCCTCTGGGGCAGCTAGGTGGCGCAGTGGATAGAGCACCAACTCTGAAGTCAGGAGGACCTGAGTTCAAATTCGGCCTCAGACCAAATACTTGACACTTACTAGCTGTGTGACCCTGGGCAAGTCACTTAACTCCAATTGTCTTAAAAAAAAAAAAAGAATCAAATCCTCCATTCTACTTCTTCATCCATTGATACCTTCAAGAGAAATGGAGGAATTTTTAAGGACACAGTAGTTCTGTTTTAAGTGAAATATATTATCCATAATGAAGAAACCAATCAATTAAATTAATTAAAATTTTCATGAGGTTAGAGGAGGATTCCAAATCCTTCGAGGAGCAGTGGAAAGCTTACGTCACTGTTTGATGGAAAACAATGTAGAGCTAGTCTTAGTTAACATAGTTAACTCATTTGATGGTAGTCTTATGATGATGACCAAGTTATATACAGGATTTGTAAACCCAGAATGAACCATTTCAGTGCACATGGAGCAAACACAAACAATGACTTATTGCTAAGAGATTTCCTGGTGAAGAAGAACCCCCTTGAATTTGGGAATTTGAGCTCCTACAAGCTCAACTATGCAAGGCATCTGGAAATAACATGTAGGGAATAGTCTGGCAAATGGCTCCAGGAGAACAATTTCCAAATTACTCTTAAGATCAGTGATATTGCACAGAGTTTTTGGAAGAACTCTTTTGTCTTTCAATCTAGATGGGTCATTATGTGTGCATGTACACATGTGCATGTTTTCCCCAAAAGGGCAAACTGAGTCACCTGAGTCTTGTATTGTGGAAAGGAAGGATATTATAAAAATGAAAATCCTAATCATTGTAATGTTAACGATACTAGAAAACCAAAATTTACATTCTCTGGTTTCTCTGTCAGTAGAAGAAGTCACTAATCTGGCATCCCGACGTCTTTCTGTCAGTCCATCCTGCACGTCAAGTACTTCCCATAGAAATTATTCCTTTCGCCGTGGCTCTGTTTGGTCAGTGCGTTCAGCTGTCAGTGCAGAAGGTGAGCCCTGCTGGAAATATACCTTCTATTTTACTATTCTTCATAATGCTCATAGATTAAAGTATTTCTCATTTAATCTCTTTCATTTCTCATTATTGCATTTTCATAAAGAATATTTTTTTTCACATTTTGGCGATCTAGAAACAATGACATAAGATACTGTGCTATAAGATTATTTCTCATTCAAACTGACAATCACCCTTTACAAGTGGAGCCAGTTTTTAAAAAAATTATTATTACAGGTCTCAATCCCACTACTACATTGAGTGCCTACCTCTGCTAAGGGCAGTTCCACAACTACCATGCCAACTTCTGCTGAGAAGGATTTGCTCTGGTTTTCTGTTTTGGCATTGTTTTGCATTTTTTTAAAGTCAAACTTAGTTACATTTCTATTATGAGACAGGCCCATAGAATTTGCATAGCTTTTACGTCCAATGGATGGAAAATCAAATAGTGGTCCGATATTCATGTATTCTGGGCTCTAGTAAGCTGACAACTAATCTGTAATGTGGTCACCAATAATATAGGCAGAGCTTGTGTACCTAGGAGCTTCACTCAGCCATCTAAAACCACATAGATCTAGTGGGCAACTAGACCTTTCTGGCTTCTGAGAGTCACACAAGGCAGAATTATGAACCTCAAAAGATGTACACATGGTTGTTATTAGCATTGAAGCTATAAGAAAGATTTCCATTTCTATTTTTTGGATCTCATTCACCTTGGGTCACTCCTATGAGCTAACCTCTGCTCACTTAGGAATGCTTCCAAAATTATTTATACATGCATCCCTGCTTCCATCTCTGGAAAAAAAAAAAAAAAGAAGAAGAGTTCTTACTACTAGGTGCTTTGTTAATATTTTTCCTATAAACCTTTGAAAGATGGAAGTTGTTACAATCTGATGTTCTTTAAGTTAGCACAGAATTACACTGCTTTAAAAATTAGAATACTTTGATTTCTGAATTGTACTTTAAGAATAGAATAGCACTTAGAGATTCAGATATATGGATATAGACAGATATAGATGTAGATATATAGATATATGTAGATATAGATAGATACAGTTTTGGCTGTAAATGTAGATGTGGATATAATATAGATATAAGCACACACACACGTGTAATGTCCCTGCCTCCTTCCCTCAGATGAAGAACATACTACCGAGCACACTCCAAACCACCATGTGCCACAACCCCCTCAGGCGGTATTCCCAGCATGCATCTGTGCTGCAGTGCTGCCCATTGTTCATTTGATGGAAGATGGAGAGGTTCGGGAGGATGGAGTAGCAGGTACAATTTGGAAAATTATACTATTACAGCCCCTTAACAAATATGCTAATGATCCACCATGTTTTCATCCTTTCTTGCACAAATCATTTCCTTTTTTTCTTTAGAGCTTGCTCTTGATTTCATGTAGAACTCTTCAGCGGAAAAAAAATGCTATTCTGACCTTCAGCCAAATAGTCAATAATCACTGAGTAAGCATTTACGATGTGCCAAGCACTGTGCTAGGCCTAGGGGATACAAAGAAAGGCAAAAATAGTCCCTCAAGGTACTTATGTTCTAACTGGGGAGATGACGTGTAAATACGTATGTACATACATAATACATATAAAATAGATGGAAGATAATGTCAAAGGGGGAGGCAATGGCAGCTGGCAGGACCAGGAAAGATCTCTTACAGAAGGTGGAATTTGAGCTGAATCTTGAAGGATGCCAAGAGGTCCAGGTCAGGAGGGAGAACATTCCAAGGATGGAGACCGTCCATGCAAAGGAATGGAGATGGGGGGTAGAGTGTTGGGTTCCAAGAATAGCAGATAGGCCATTGTAGCTGAATTGTAACAACACCTGGAAGTTAGCAAAGTATAAAAGGATCAAAAAGGCAGGAAGGGACCAGCTTATAAAGAACTTTCATTGCCAGGAAGAGAACTTTATAATTGATCTTAGAGGTAAAAGGGAGCCTCTGTGGTTGAGTGATTTGTTGCGGGGTGGGGGGGCAGTTAGATGATTTGGTCAGATCTGTGCTTTAGAAAAATCACTTTTGTGGCTGAATGGAAACTAGATCCAATTGAGGAAAAACCTGAATCAGGGAGATGACATAGAAAGCTATTGCAATTTTCCAGGCAAGACCATAAACTAGGCTGGTAGTTTTGTGAATGAAGGGATGTGGTAGAGAAAGAAATGACAAGATTTGACAATGACTTGGATATGTGAGGTGAGCAAGAGGGAAGGGTCAAGGATGATGCCCAGGTTATGGGCCAGAGTCACAGTAATACAAAAGCTTGGAAGAGGTAAAAATGATCTATGGATTCTATATAGCAGCTCTGAAAGTCAATCATAAAGAGGCTCGAATTTCCCAAAAGGTAGTTGACAATCATGCTACCATTCATCATAAATTAAGGCAACACTCCTAGCCTTGGCTCCATAACCTGCAGACTATTTTTGTTGAGCTATTGTTCTAGGGCATGATGGTGATAGATTTGTACTGATACATCCTCATTTCTGAACCCCATGCTCCTTTGAAACATTTGTGACTGGGATGGTTAGAGTTAGAAGTCAGGTTTACTTGACCATTTGTCTAGCCCTCTTTTTACTTAATCAGGCTGCTTTTCCCCAACGTTCTTCATTTTCATTTATTAAAGTTATTTCTTAATATTAATGTGTTAATTTGATTTATTAATCATTTTCCAAAATGATAATACTTGATATTCATATAGTGCTTTAATGTTCGCCTAGTACTTTACACGTTATTTTGATTCTCACAACCATCCTAGATCCTACCAATATTATTCCTATTTTACAGAAGAGGAAACTGAGGCTCAGTAAGGCTAAATGACTTGCAACAGTCATACAACAAAGAAATGTCAGAGGTATAATCTGAAGCCCAGTCTCCCTCACTCAGAGTTTAACACTCATTCCACTCTACTACAATGCCTCTATGACACATCTTTAATAAAAACCCAGAATGCATATGTTCCTGTATACATTTCATGTAAAAAACAATGATCATACCTCACAATAGCAGTCACGCAGTTTGTTACCTATTTTCTCCATGCAGAAGAATATGCACGTCCACTTAATGGTGAGTAAACATTCTATAGACCTTTTCAAAGGCAAAAAGAAAACTGGCATTATGTCATAGAAAGTGTTCATTATTTATAATCTTAACAAGCATCTCCAGATTCCTCCCTTAGATGATGCTTTTTTTTCTTTAAAAGTGAGCGCTGTAGCCCAGCAGGTCCTGTGGAACTGTCTAATTGAAGATCCTTCAACAGTCCTTCGACATTTCCTAGAAAAACTCACCATAAGCAATAGACAGGTAAATTAATCTTCTGTTATTTTTGTAGAAAAGGAAATATGTTATTACAAAGTTAAGTTCACAAGTGGTGTTAATACAACCTGGGGTTCCCCTTAACATGCTACTTTGAAAGTTATGTCATCATTTATGGTACTGTTGGGATTGTTATCTACTAAAGAAAAAAAACGCACAAATCCAAGTACTCAATGATATATCGTTTTATCCTACCCCAAGCCAGATACTGCATAGATTCAAAGCAAAGAGCATTTCTTTAAATGGTATATCAAGGTAAAGAGCAAGAAAAGAAAAGCTGCTCAGAGTTGCTGCTGACATGAATTGCTATAATGATTCTGTACTACAGTGGTTCTCAAAGTGTGGTCCAGAGACCCTTGAGGGTCTCTAAGACCCTTTCACTCTGCCCATGAAATCAAAACTATTTTTATGATAATATGTCTCAATTTCTAATATGATAAGTATTGATAACTGTAACCTACATAAACCAAAGCTCTTGGGGGGTGTCCTCAATTTTCAAGAGTAAAGGGGTCCTGAGAACAAAAAGAACAAAAGGTATTCATCTCCGTTTAGTTGCTGCCGCCCTTTGTTGCCAGTTGTTTTCCCTACTGAGCTGCTGGTGACATCTACTGCTAGACTGCTGCTTCTTCCTCAAAGGGAGCGCTAGGACTCCTTTGAGATGCATACCCTCCAAAATTGACTTCTATCTATACACTCTCACTCTTGGTGATCTTACGTACTTCTGTGGCTTCAGTTATTGCCTTTATGCAAGTAACTACTAAATCTCTATCTCTATCTCAAACCTATCCCCAAAGCTCCAGGTCCATAATTCCAAATAACTGTTGGATAGCCCTAGCCTAGATTTTTCATTAGCACCTCATATGTCCAAGATTGAATTACTGATCTTCTCTCACCTCCTAGAACTTGCCCTTCTATCTAACTGCTATTTCTGTTGATGACCACATGAGTCATAGAAGTTTCTAAGGCATCACCAGAGAAATATTAATCTGTATTCTGTATACTTTTAATCTTAGGTACTTTTTTCAAATGTTTTTGAAAATTTCCAATATACCTACTCTGTACAGTCTATTGTAAATCTCAATTCAATTCAGCCAACATTTATTAAGTAATTTGTCTATGCAGGACACTTGCTGTGCTTTGGGGATTCAAAATTAACAATAAAAACATCTTAAAAGTTTATAAAGCATTTTCCTCACGACAGCCCTTTGAGATAGGTAATAGACAGTTTCCTGTGCAGGGGTGTTCAATATTAGTGATAAGAAGCTATTTGTTCATTGATGGGTGGCAATAACTGTGCCTGGATTAGTGCATTTGGTTTCTGAAAAGCAGTGAGAACCCAAGAGCTCATATCCTTAATTAACCTTTCTATGTGGCCATGGAAAAACAAAGCCAAGATGACAGAATTCAATCCACCTGGTTTCCTAGGACCTTTTAACCCACATGAGTAGAAGAAAGTGTTGTTTCTAATTATGACAGTAAATTAACCATACTACGTTTTATTGTTCTAGTTTGATTTATCTGTAGCATAGCCTCAGTTAACTTTTACATATTAAAATGAAATAGTCTATTTACCTCTGGTGGTTGGTTGCTCTGAAAAATTAGCTCCTAGAAAAGGACCAATTCTATAGAAGACCTAAATATTATTTCATGACTATCAAATACTTCTCTATGACAGGTAGTACTATATAGCATTGGATTCAGGAGACCTACTTCTAATACTCACTAGCTATATAACCTTGAACAAATCCTTAATTTCTCAAAGCCTCAGTTTACTCACTAATAAAATGAGAGTTATGTTTCCCCTACCAATATCAAAGGAAGTTCATGAGGGCATGCCACACAAATGTAAGTTATTATAATTTTAAGAATTCCTTAAATGAAAGCAAAATTGTAACATGGGCAAAGAGTAAGGAAGAATTTCCACTGAATTCTTTATAAAATTGTTTCTTAAAAGTTGATATCCAGAAGAAAGATAATCAAATGTATTTGGACAACTTTATGTCTTTCAGGATGAGTTAATGTATATGTTGAGAAAACTTCTCCTGAATATTGGAGACTTTCCGGCTCAAACATCACATATCCTATTTAACTACCTGGTAAGTTTCATTAGTGAAGTAGCATGTGGATGCCAATTGTCCACTAGGAAGCAGCAGCATTTGGGTCCAATAAAGATGTATGTACTTGAGCTCTGGCCTTGGAGTCAGGAGGAACTGAGTTCAAATCCTACCTCAGACATTTGACACTTACTAGCTGTGTGACCCTAGGCAGGTCACTTAACCTTGATTGCCTCACCCAAAAAAAAAAAAAAAGGAAAGAAAGAAAGAAAGATGATGTATGTACTTTTAGCATTCAGCATCAATACGCTCGCTTACTTTGGTGATTTTCTGTGATTTTATGTTTGGGAAAAATCATGGATTAACCTTCAAAATATAGATTATCATGGAAATCTATAATGTCTTTCACATTGCTACTCTTTTTAGTAAATGGAAGGGGCATGTCATAAGAAAGCTAATGACAATTACTGTTAACCACTAATAGGGAAAATATGGTAGAGGGATTATCAGCATTTTACAGAGAGTTAGGGGTATTCTTAGCAGTTAAAGTGCATTACACTTATGAAAAATATATAAACAAAGAGGAAAGGAAGTATAGTTAATGGATACAGAGCCAGCCTTATAATAGGTGCTTGAGGCAAGCAACAGGAATTGGGCTCTCAAATCAACTTTGTAATTTATGATATGAAAATTACACATAAAGTAATTGAAGATAACTTTTTGTAATTCATTTGAATGGTGATAGGAAAATTATACCTAAATTAATTGAAGATAATTTTTTGTAATTCATTTGACTGGAAAGGTAACTAATAAAGAGAGACAGACAGAGTTGGACATCAAATCAGTGGTACAGGCAATGACCTTGAGCAAGTCACTTCAATACCACAGATTCCTCATAATTACAGTGGTGATAATATTTACACCACCTATTGTGAAGAAAAAAACACTTTGAAAACTTCAAAGCACCATAGAAATGTGAGATATTTTGATGATTATGTCAAATAAATGTTATTTTTATAGATTCCTTTCCTCCACCATCACTGGTACCCCTCCATTGTCTAGCTGCTGCGTTCTCACTACCGAAAACAACAACTCTGCTTTGCAGTAGCTGCATGAAATTGGGCAAATTGATTTCCTCGTTCCTATGAAATGAAGGCATTGGACTGGATGACCTCTATGGTTCCTTCTAACAATTTATGAATCTATGAAACCTATATAAAGAAATGGAGGTAATTGGTAGGAGGGGAGACAAGCATTGAAGCTGGTATACATTGGGGAATAAAGGAAACTGTACTGGTATCCTTTTTTCCCATCATTTTTAGCCAGCATTAAGGGAGAATAGAAGTATAATACCAATATGATGCTCCCATCTGATGCCTGAAAATCAAAAGCCAGTAACAATAGTAGTTGATATTTGTATACTTCTGCAGTACTTTGCTGGATCTGAGCATTCACAGGTGTGAGAACTCCCACTCCTTCCAAAAGTGCAAGTTTTAATCTATCCATTTGGTTTTGTCCTTTGGAGGCAACAGGACACAGTGAAAGGTATTGACTCTGGAGTTAGAGGAGTTGGGTTCAAAGTCTGCTTGTGCTTGTTACTACTTGTGTGACTTTGGCCAAGTCATTTAACCTCCCTTGGACCTCACTTTCTTCATCTACAAAATTAAGTGGTGAGATTAGATGATCTCTAAGGTCTTTTCCAGTTTAAAAAGCTACAACGCTAAGATCTCATGATGTCTTTAATATGATTCTATGACCCTTGTCATAACAGGTCCATTCAATATACTGGGGACTTTTCTTTAGGCCAGGGGTTCTTAAACTTTTTATGCCATAGACCCCTTTCACAGTGTAGTGAAAGAAGCCTTTAGACTCCTCAGAATAGTATTTTTAAATGCATAAAATAAAATACATAGGATTACAAAGGAAACCAATTATATTAAAATATAGGTACCAAAATATTTTTCCCATCCAAGTTCACAGACCCCCTGCTCTAGATGTATTATATACTATGAACTCTATGTAGCACTTTATATATCAAATCTCATTTGTTCCTCACAGCAACTAGTGATGTATGTAGTACAAGCATTATTGTTTCCATTTCGCAAATGAAGAAATAAAGGCAGTAAGAAATTAAATGATTTATCCAGTATTACAGAGCTATCAAGTGGGAGCACTGGGAGTTAAATCTATGTCTTCTGATTCCACATCCAAGGTTTTTACTCACTGTATCACGCAAGTTAGAGATAAGTTACTCCACACGTATGGCAAGGATGGAGAAAAGAAAAAATAAGCAACATTAATACATTTCTTCCAGATCTTATTGGAAGGTAAGGGGTAGTTTGGGGATAGGGGAAACAGAAGGAGACATTAGGAGCCACTCTTTGACACTACCAGTCAAAACTGTTCCAAGGATAGGCAGATAGACACAATCTGAAATGCAAGTCAATTCAACAAGAATTTATTGAACATTTACTTTACTGATAGTGTCTAGGCAAATATGGTACACAAAATATATATCAGCAGCATCTAAAATAACCTTGTTGTGACATGGAAATAGAAAGTTCTACTCTTGTCTGAATGATTTCCTCTTTCAATGTTATATAGAAAAGTATTGATTAGTTCTAAGATCAGTTTCCCATTTACCAGCTCACTGGAGTGCCATCATGAAATCTGCTACTAAAGAAATCATAGAACAAAGAGTTTGAAAGATACAAGAAGAGAGTTGTTTTATTGTGAAGGACGGAAGAAATATTAACATAATCTGAAGTCAGTCATCTAATCAGAACTAGTATCCATAGCCACAAGATTTTAGTTTTCCTGGTATTGTTTTTACCAGTGAGATCATAATTAATAGAGAAGAAAAAGCAGAGACTCATGGCTTGGATGGCCACAGATTTATGGATTTTTTTTTTTACCATAATTACAATCATTGGTAGAAGACTACAGTTTGTGTGGGTTGGAGGACTACGCACATCAGTGAAATCATTTGATGTGTTGCAGAAGGTCCATAATGACCATGTAAACTCTTTGCATTCTATGCCTTCCAGGTAGGATTAATCATGTATTTTGTGCGCACACCCTGTGAATGGGGAATGGATGCCATTTCAGCCACTCTGACTTTCCTTTGGGAGGTGGTAGGATATGTGGAAGGTCTGTTCTTCAAAGACCTCAAACAGACAATGAAGAAGGAGCAGTGTGAAGTAAAGCTGCTGGTCACAGCCTCCATGCCAGGTAAGCCTTTCATTCTCAAGTAATCAATCAATATTTATTAAACACCAACTATGTGCCAGGCCTTGTGCTATCACTGGAAATATAAAAAGAGGCAAAAGACAGTGACTACCCTCAAGGAGCTTACAATCTAATGGGAGACAACATGCAAACACTTATCATATGTATCATATATACATACTGCATATATATATATTTTTTCTTTTTTTAAGATTACATCTACTCTGTTTAAAGAGCAGGTTCATCAACCATGAGATTGGAAACTGTAGAGAGCACCTTTCATGCAAAAATGATCCAAATCTTATCCCTCTGGAATCCAGTGCATTAAAGAATTCTTGTTTAATACATTCTAGGGAACGACAACAGTATCTTTGAAAGATCAGCAGCTGCCAGATTATGGAAACATGAGAACTAAGATCCGTGTGAATCAGTCCTTGAGGACCTGCTAATTTTGAACATTTAAAAGGTCTATCACAGGGCAGCCTGCTGAATTTGAAAGGCTTTCTGACTAGAATTTTGGCACTAAAAGGAGTATTGTGTTCATGGCAGGGATCCCACAGATTTGTAACCTGCATGGGCAATTGCTCAATGAAAAAGGAAAAGATTAATAATCACAAAGAAAGAAACAGTTAGAAAAGAGTGAGGAGAATGATCTAAACTCTAGACTTCTAAAACATTGTGGATGACTTACTTTTCTGAAGTAGTATACAAAGTGTTTTTACACTAACACAGTGATTATGAGATAAGTTGGAGTAGAGAAATAAAACATCATTTCTAATATTCTGACTATTAATTGTCAGTGAAAACGATCAGTTAGAATTATTGCAGAGTAATCTGTAGTTATCGACACTTTGAATTATATCATGTAATTATGAAAAATCAAACATCAGCAATTAGAAAGTGGAAGTGCATTGGCATAACTTCATGAACCAAGCAAGAGAGAGAAAACCTAGTTTGAACTCTTTCAACTCCTTGGTTGGTAGAAGAGCTTAGGTCTGGTTTTGTTTTTTGTTTCTGTTTTTGTTTTTTCAATTTCTTAATACTCAGGTTTCTACATGTGTTAAAGGATAGGTTGTTTATCTCAAGGACTTTAAAGTATAATGTAAGTACCAACAATTAAAATAGCCTTTCTCAAGAATTGATTACTATGAGTGACTAGAGTTCTCTTGTTGATCTTATGCACATATATGGAAGAAATATCCCATTTCTGTCATGGAAGTGACAGCATATGAAAATTTTTCTTTTCCGTAGGTACCAAGACTTTGGTTGTACATGGGCAGAATGAATGCGATATCCCAACTCAGTTACCTGTACATGAAGATACGCAATTTGAAGCTCTTTTGAAGGTGGAAATGACTTACTGACAAGTGTATAATGTCCTCTTTATGTGGGTTAATCATCTCAGTGAAAATCTAGTTTAGAATTCCATGGTGTCCTTGCTACTTCGTACAAATCTCTAAATTCATTTGCTTTGGGAAAGAAAACACTGTAATGTTCTGTGCACATTGCTTTTCCTTACATATGACTTTTTGCTGATATTTAACTTTAAATTAGAATGTTAGAACTTGTACACACTCTTAGATGCAAAAGCAGCTTGGCAACAGTGAATCCAGAAACCAAAATATGACCGCATAACCACTTTGGTTATACTAAGGCCATCAGATTAAATTCACTGAATTCAACAAACATTTTTAAGTGACCAATATATGTGAGACCCTGTACTATATACAGGAAATACAAAAACAGAAACATAAAAGGTAACGTCCTCAGGAGTTTGTATCCCACTAAGGGAAAACACAGATAACTAATTACTTTAGACATAGTCATAGATAGTTAACCCAGACTCTCCAATTATAATAACTATGGGCTCATAGACTGGGTCCAGATCTGGATACTGACCCCAAAAGGGTCACTTTTCTTCCTTTGACTCATGGCCCCCCATGTGGAGTTACTACAGGAAAATCTCTTATAATATACTAAAGGCATACTTTATATCTTGTTTTCCCAAAATATGAGTAAAATAGGTCTTCCTCAAGGAAGCACGTGAGAATTGGATGTGAGATAGCCTATATTTCAACTCACAGGAAAAAAATGCATTAGATACAAAAGACTCATTGGAGCCCACAATATGAGAGGAAAGAGATGGAGGAAGAGATAGAAGAGAGAGGGAAAGAGGAAGAAAGGAAGAAAGAAAAAAGAGAAGGAAGAAAGAAAGAAAAAAGAAGGAAGGAAGGAAAGAAGGCAGGAAGGAAGGAAAGAAAAATTACTGGGAGAAGGGAAGGAAATTTTTATATCTTTTCTGAAATTATTATATAATTTATACTCTGATTTTTTAGAGTTCTTCTAATTGGCTTTCCTGCTTTGGTCCTCTTCTCTCTTCAATCCATCCTCTGCATGACTGCCAGAATAGTCTTTCTAAGTCACAGGTCTGACAACGTCACTCCCTCACTCAAAATCATTCAGTGTATCCAACCTACCTTTCCAGTCATGTTTCTTATTACTCCCCGTTAGCCTAAAATATGTACTATTATCTCATATCTATTTCTTAGAATACTTATATTCTTTCTAGGCTCAGCTCAAGTGCCCCTTTCTCCTTGAAGCCTTATCTTATCACCCTGGTCCTGAGGACTCTTTCTAGTTCAATTTAGTCTGTATAGTCTATTCTGGATACATATCATACCCACTAAAGGAGTGTAAATGCTTGAGGGCAGTAATTGTTTTTTTGTGTCTTTGTATCCTGGTATAGTGGACTGGCCACCTAGTAGATCTTTGTCAAATTGAATTGAATTCAACCAAGATTAAACCCTATGTACAATAACCCTTTTTTTATCTAGATATCAGCTTGCAGGCAACTTCAACCAACGTACAAATCAGAATTAAAAAATAGCAAGGGATGGGTAACGCTCTTGGCCAAGGGGAAAATAAAACATGTATTTTACTTCATTGGAGAATTACGCAACCACCATCAGTCCTTCACCCAAACAACAGTATGCAAAGCACAACACTGGCTTAGAAACAGCAAGGAAACACTGAGTCTGAAAATGTGATGGCATTCAATAGCAGGAGACAGAAACTATAAAAAGCAGACAGAAAAGCAATGAGCACACAACAGCGTAGAGGCAGTTTGACACTTCTTTAGCCTCTATATTAAAGCCCATAACCATGCATGTTTATCATGAAAGTGCTGAATCCTCTAACTATATTCTCATATACTCATTATATTTAGTATTCTATGTTTAATCAGTCAATTAACAAATATTTATTAATCACTTACTAAGTGCCAGGCAATACTTAGCTGAGGATACAAATAAAGGCAAAAAATAGTTTCTGCCCTCGGGGACCTTACGTGGGGGAAACAACACGCCAGTAACCAGGTACATGCAACATATATACACGATACACAGTTAATTTTATATTGAAGGTCTCTAGGAGTTAGAGGGACTGGGAAAGGCATCCTATAAAAAGTGTCATTTGAGCTGTTTTAAACGATGCCAGGGCTTCTAAGAGGCTGAAGTGAGGGGGGAGAACATTCATAGCCCAGGGGACAGATGGTACAAAGGAGTGGAGATAGGAAAGGGAGCATATGTTTTAAAAAGATTTCAAGTCATTCATCAAGTACCTACTATGTGCCAGGCACTATACTAAACTTTCCACAAAAATATTTTTTTAAATATTTATAACTTAAGCCTCAGTTTTCTGGAAAATTCATCTATGTGAAATAGCTTATTGCTCAACCATATAGGACAAATAACATGTTACTATATATAGTTTTCCTCAGCATATGGACTAGTAAATGAGTGACTAAAATATATATTTTTTTTATTCTAGGAGTGTCTAGAGTTTTTTAACATACCAGAAACCCAATCAACACATTATTTTCTCATGGATAAACGATGGAACCTTATCCACTATAACAAGGTACAGATGGCTGTTATAAGGCTCATTTTGAACCACGTTTAAAACTTCTCATATCTCATCCTTGTGACCTACCTTCATCTAAGTGATAAAAGAAATGGACTAAATATTAACTTGTGTAAATTTATTCTACTGTGAAATTCTTATTTGACTTTCTTAAGCCATTAAACTCAAATGCTTCCAACAAATGGGCAGGGGAAAGCCACCGGGAGATGACTAACATGTGAATGAAGTGAATCTCCTCTTTTGGAGATGATCACTTAGTTAATTACCTACCTCTTTGGGTATTTCTGTCCCCTAGCGACCTGGATAAGCTGATCCAGCTTACTCCAAGAGGGGACCTAAAGTGTTCTGGCTCATTTGGAACAGGAAGAATCTAAGAAACAGGAAGACAAAGAAATGTGCTTTTTTGTTTGCCTGACTTTCAGTTTTCCTTTCTCCTTAATATAGAAAAAATAACCTTTCGAAACTTTTTTATTTTTTCTTTCTTATGCTCCCACTACAGACCTATGTGCGTGACATTTATCCTTTCCGGAGGTCTGTATCGCCTCAACTGAACCTTGTACATATGCATCCGGAAAAAGGCCAAGAGCTCATTCAAAAACAGGTCTCCTCAACACTATAGTGTTCTTCTATAGTCTAAGTATAAAAGTTGTCACCTATTTTGATCCTTTATAGGGAGTTACATATAAATTTTAAATATATATATTTATATACACACATATATATGAGATATATATATATGTATGTATCTATGTGTGTGTGTGTGTGTGTGTGTGTGTGTATATATATATACATACATATATATGAATGATGGCTGCGGGGTAGAAACTCAGAGTTACTCTAACTTGACTTTTTCTACTACTGATTTATAAATTATTTTTTCATATATCTGGGCCTAGAGTCTGGAAGATTTATATCCCTGAGTTCAAATCTGGCCTCAGACACTTACTAGCTGTGGGACCCTGGGCAAGTCACTTAACCCTGTCTGTGTCAATTTCCTCATATGTAAAATGAACTGGAGAGGGAAATGGCAAACCAGCTAGTATCTTTGCCAAGAAAACCCCAAATGGGGTCATGAAGAGTCAGACACAACTGAAAAAACAACTGAACGTGATAGTTTGTATTTCTTTCTTTGAAAATTGCCTGGTCATATCCTTCCACCATTTAGCAGTTGGGAAATGACTCTGAATTATTGTAAATTTGAATCAGTTGCTTATATATCTTGGAAATGAGACCTTTATCAGAGAAATGTGCTACAAATCTTTTCCCCATTTAATTATTTTCCTTCTAATCTTACTTAGCTGCATTGGTTTTCTTTGCATAAAAACTTTTTCAATTTTATATGATTAAAATTAACCATTTTATCTTGTGTTAACTTCTTTAATCCTTGTTTGGTCATGAACTCTTTCCCTATCCATAGATTCAAAATATAACCTTTATTTCTCTAGTTTGTTTATGATTTGACCTTTTAAATCTAAGTCAGGTATTCATTTGAAGCTTATCTTGGTATGTGAGGTGAGGTATTTCTTATTAACTGAAAAACATATAAATATATACAAATCTAATTGAAAAGCACCAGAAGCAGCCCAATGAGGTTGGCTTTCAGTGATTTTTTAATAGCCCGTTAACTGATCTGCAGTGGATCAACATAAGTGAAAGAGAAAAAGAAAAGAAAAAAAGACAGGGTGGTGAGATGGAAAAGGAGCAATGGACTTGGAATTTGAAGACCTTAATTTTAGTCCCATTCTTGCCGCTGACAAGCTGTGTGACCTTGAGGAAAATCACTTCCTTTCTCTGGGCGTCAGTTTCCTCATCTATAATACTAGGTCCTTTTTCAGCTCTTGGAATCTATGTGCAGAGAAGAATACAATAAACATAAATGATCCCAAATCAGACTTGAATATGAAGCAAATTTAATGTTCTGGTAATATAACTGTGTTATATAACTCTAACAGTGAACCAAAGGTTATTTTTAATAAAATTATTAAAATCAGCTATTTAAGCATCATTGCTAACTTGTTTTGACACCCAGAGTATATCATTGAAATTTAAAACTCAATTAAATCTCCTGGTCGTCATATTGATTTAACATTAATAAGAGCTATGGTCAAAATTTTTTTAACTTTTTTTTTTATCACTTTTGTCATCCTGTGAGTATAAAGGACAAGTTAGTTGAGTTCAAGCCAGAGCATCAAATACAGGCCAGCTTTAAGGGGGATTTCAAAGAGACTTGCATGATATTAAGTCAGTCTCTGCCCTAATTATTAGTATGATCACCATTAATTTACATAGTCTATTATTTTTGAAAAGGAAAAATGAAAGATCATCCAGACACATATATTTCTATGTAAGTATGGGTTTGTAGCTTACACATGTTCTTGAATAATATGAAAAATTTCCAAGACTCTTAACCTGCAAGTTATTCAGCAAAAAATTTCCTAAAACTGTCATTTTAGTCCATGTTTCTAGTAGCAAAATGACAAGATCCATAGGTGTTCACAATGAAAGAATTGCTTTAATTAACTTTTTACCAAAAAAAAAAAAAAAAAAAAAAGGAAAAAGAAAAGAAAATAGCCAGAAGACTAAGCACTCAAGATAAGATATTGTCAGGGAAAAAACCTCTTTTTTTAAACCTAACCCTATGTGGTACTTTTACAAACTGTCATATTTGTTTCATGCACCGATTTTGCTGAACTATTTTTTCCTCCTTTTTTTGTATACTTTATTATAGAAGCTGGTTCTAGGGGGAAGGCTTACATACATGGTTTTCCAAGAGTCTTATGCAATTTGAAACTTTAATAGCTGAAATAGTTTTAATAACCCCACTTCACTCCCAATTTACCTATTTCCTAAATTTGGATTGTCATAGCTTATTTTTCCTTAAAGCCAGAATACATATAACTCTAAACAAGAAAAGTCAGTCCAATACAGGAGATAAACCTAGGTGAAAAAGAAAAAGAGGCAGGGTGGTGAGATGGAGAAAGAGCAAAGGATTTGGAATTAGGGGGCCTTAAGTTTAATCCCAGCTAAAGCTTTAATAGCTTAAAACTACACACTGACTTTTGAGACACCCTGTATTAGAAAAAATATTAACAAAATTTTTTAAGTAACCCAAAATGGCACTGTGTCAAAATTCTACATTTTTGATGGCATGCTTTTTTAAAAAAATCTTCATTTTATAAATTATGGGCCCTCATTCTACATGTAAGTCAACTGGATTCTCAGTTTTTTTCACTTGTTCCTTCAAACTGAGTGTCACAAAATAAAGTCAAATGTGTGATCCAAGTCCTGAAATATGATAGATTAAGGAGAGGAGATGAAAGAGCTTCTGCATTTCTTTTCATTGCTGATGCTGAGCCTGGAGACTCCATTTATCAAAAGAAGGGGAGCTACAGAGGAGCAAGATACTTTATTTTTAAATTTGAAATTCATTTTTTATTCTCTCAAAGACAATTGTACACAACCTGTATCTTAAAAGTACTGAAATCTCAAAGAAAAACAGGCAGTATGTTTTGCCTCTTATTCATTCCTCAGGTTGGAAGGAAATTTTTTAATGGGACAAATAGTTAGTCATTCGTCAATCAATGGGTTTAAACTTTGTTTCCAGTTATTTGCTATCCAAAGATTTTTTCCCACTCAGCTACTTCACAAGATTTTTTTAAGGCAAAGAGAACCCTAGTCCATGCGACATAAATTCAGAGTGAGAACTGTACTTCTCTGAAGGTCACCAAAGACTTTAATAGGTTATGTGGTTTATTTATTGATTATGGGTTGTTACACTGATCCCTTAGGTTCATTTATGTAAGAAAACAGTGGTGAGCATAATAGGCAACAGCAGAAAGAATGAGAAGAAAAAAGGGCAAATGTTGGAACTACTAATCAATTCCTACATGGAATCCCTTATTTCATAACACAGAAGCAAAGAACAAAGAAAAAATGCTCTATTTCAAATGACAGAGACAGATAGAAAGACATATATACATTGAAATAGAGATAGAGAGATATATAGACAGATAGATAGAAAAGAAAGCATTCATTAAGCATATACTTCATGCCAGGCCATGTGCTAAGCACTGGGTATACAAATACCAGCAAAAAAAAAAAGGTCGTCCTACCCATAAGAAGCTACTACTAGGAGACAACATATAAAAGAAAGCTGGAACTCTATACTTTTAATGTATGCTGCTGTACTCCATAGGAGTTTGAAATATATAAGGAAACCCTCTTCTATGCTAGAGTAATAGAAGAAAGAAATGAGTCAATACAGATACTCTTTAACCTCTCTGTACAGTAAGGAAAAAAATGTTTCCCCCTTGTTTTCACCAGGATCTTTTTATTTTTTTTCTACTTTGGGCTTTGACATTTTGGGGCTTTTAACTCTGGTCATCTGGCTTTTCTGTTATTTGTTTGAGTAGGTGTTTACCCGGAAGCTTGAGGAAGTAGGACGTGTCTTGTTTCTCATATCCCTCACCCAAAAAATCCCTATCGCCCACAAGCAATCCCATGTTTCAATGCTCCAGGAGGATCTTCTGCGCCTTCCTTCCTTCCCTCGAAGTGCTATCGATGCTGAGTTCTCACTCTTCAGTGATCCTCAAGGTACAGGGGAGGCCATGGTACCCTCTTTGTTCTGCTTCCCACTTTCTCTACTTGATATCAGGGAGCTTCTTTATCACGGCTCTCGGGAAGCTCACTGTCTGTTCAACAGTGCATGGTGCATGAGGTTATCCTGTAGAGAAGAAAAGCTGTTGGTATAGTGGAAGGGCAGCTAGGTGGTGGAGTGGATAGAGTGCCAATCCTGGAATCAGGAAGACTCGCTTCCTGAGTTCAAATCTGGTCTCAGACACTTACTAGCTGTGTAACTCTGGGCAAGGCACTTAACCTTGTTTACCTCAGTTTCCTCATCTGGAAAATGAGCTAGAGAAGGAAATGGTAAACCACTCCAGTATCTCTGCCAAGAAAACCCCAAATGGGGTCATGAGGAGTCAGACACAACTGAAACAACTTAACAACAATAGTAGAAGGAGCCCTGGTCTTGGATTCAGGTGATGCAAATTTGAATCTTGGCTCTACCACTAATTAACTAGATATTAGAGCAAATGAATTCACTTCTCTCTGTGGCTCAGTTTCCTCATCTGTAAAATGGAGACAATATTGCCTACACCATCTACTTCATACACATGATGTGAGGAAAATAGTTTGCAAGTCTAAACTTATTTTTTGGTCCAAACCTGTGATTTCATTGCTGTTAGAAACCAATGGTAAGAAAACTCTCTGTACTAATAGAGACTGGCAAATGTTCTGCAATTTGTAGTCTTATAGAGTCATCTGCGGCCCTGAGAGGTTAATGTACTTTCCCAGTCATGCACAAGCAGAATATGTCAGAGGTGGAGTTTTCTTCCTAACTCCAAGGCTGAGTGACTGTCTCTCCACCATCCTTCTCAAGCTGACTGCGCTAGCACATTATTCTGTCTCTATTGCCCTCAACAGCTGGAAAGGAGCTATTTGGTCTTGATACACTTCAAAAGAGTCTATGGATTAAGCTTCTGGAGGAGATGTTCTTGGGGATGCCCAGTGAATTTCCCTGGGGAGATGAAATCATGCTTTTTCTCAATGTATTTAATGGAGCCCTGATCTTACATCCAGAAGACAGTGCCTTGCTCCGGCAATATGCAGCCACTGTCATCAACACAGCTGTGCACTTCAACCATCTTTTCTCTCTCAGCGGATACCAGTGGATTCTCCCTACTATGCTGCAGGTGATTCTGAATCTTCTCATCATTCCCTTTTCAGTTTCAGTAGAGGAAAATATCTTTATTTGATGATGAAGCGAGAACTATGTTCAAGGCTTCCAATTGCTTAACTTTGTTCTCTTGCTGCATCATAAGGTATCTTACAAAGTTCTCCTGATAATCAATCCATCAACCAACAAGCATTTATTACTGTTTACTATGTGCCAGGCACCATTTTAGGACCTGGCAAAATACACAGAATGAAATAAACCCTACTCACAAGATGCTTACATTCTGATAGAGAAGTGGGGGAACATAAGAACCTAGATAAAGAGAACAGAATAAAAGAGAAAAAATCCAAATAAATACAAAGAAGTTAAATTCATGGTAGTTTCAATGGAAGGGCACTAGTAGCTATGGGATGAAGAAAGGCTTCCTTGGTCTCCCCTAATTGGATTTCCCCCAGCCTTAGCTGTGTTTTCCCATTTTCTCTTGATAGAACTCTATGTCTTTGTTTCCCATCTTTAATAATAAACTGTTATAATGTATGATGGGATATGAGTGCTAGATTTGAAATATGTAGATAGTACAAGTATTTATTATTCCCATTTTATAAATAAGGGAAAGGGAGGTAATAAGTATTTATCTAGCACCCACTACATATCAAGGCAGCTAGGTGGCACATGTATAGACTGCCAGATCTGGAGCCAGGAAAACCTTAGTTCAAATCTGGCTTCAGACACTTATTAGCTGTGTGACCGTGGGCAAGTCACTTGATCCTGTTTGCCTCAGTTTTCTCATTTGTAAAATGAGCTCGAGAACAAAATGGCAACCATTCCAGTATCTTTGCCAAGAAAACCCCAAATGGAGTCACAAAGAGTCAGACACGACTGAACAACAACATGTAGCAGGCACTATACTAAGTACTTTTTACAAATATTGCATTTGATTCTCACAACAATCCTGCAAGGTAGATGCTGTTATTATCCCCATTTTACAGTTAAGGAAACTAAGGTGAACAGAGGTTAAGTGACTTGCCCAGGGTCACACAACTAGTGGGTGTCTCAAGCCGGATTTGAACTCAGATCTTTCTGACTCCAGGTCCAGGGCTCTATCCACTGGGCCACTAACTGCCTCATAAGACTAAGAAAGGTTAAGGTACTTACCCAAAATCCCACTACTGGCAATTGGCAGAACAGGGACCATAACCTTGGTTTTTCTGATATCAAATCCAGTGTTCTTTACACTACAGATTGTAATTTATTACAAGCAATTATTTTTGTCCTTTTACTTTATTCAGGTATATGCTGATTATGAAAGCAACCCACAGCTGCGTCAAGCCATTGAATTTGCCTGTCATCAATTCTACATTCTTCATCGAAAGCCATTTGTGCTACAATTGTTTGCTAGTGTGGCACCTCTCTTAGAATTTCCTGTGAGTAAAGTCTCTCCCTTTCTTTGATCAGCAATAGAATAACTCCTTTCTGCTTTATTCAGACAAACATATCCCACATGAATAGCCTAGGTTGGCTTCAGTTGTACCCCATCAGGTTCAAGAAGGGCAGTTTCTCTTTTTTGGTTTTCATTCTGTAAATGAAAAAATAACCATAAGAATATGTTTCAAGGGCCAAAGACTCCAACCCAACATAAACAAACCATCAATTATTATGAAAAGGGAATTGGTCAAAAAGTAAAGATGTTTCTGACTATCCATATTTCTAAAGAAATTTAACTGATGAAATAATCATCACAATGAAGAGGTTGAAAGAGCTGAGAAGCTGCTCTTCCCATCAAACACATGAACTCTTTGTCAAGCAGAAAACGGTATTTAAGAGCATCACTGGTTTAGAGTATGTTTATTTGCAAAACACCATGATAGCGACAAAAATCGATGTACGATATCTCATAGAACAACAAAAAAATTATTAAGGAAAAAAATTATTCTATAGGCAGCTTAGAATGAGACTCAATAAAACTAAGCCATCCCAAGAGCATTTTGTGGATGAAATCAGAATCAGGACAACTAACAGATCAGAAGTAGAACAGATCTGCTAATATTTCTTCATAGTGATCTATCTCCTCAAAAGTTATTGTGAAGTCACTAGATTTGATTTGTACAACCTCAGTACTTGATAAACTATGCGAAACAGTGGCATTTCAGAATGGCACCTTTAGAAGAGGGAGAAAAGCAGCTGAATATGACCAAATATACATAGAAGAGATACGTTCTTGAGACATCATAACTCTTGGGTCAGTTTTAAAGATATCTCAAAGAGAGGAGTATCCTAAATAATGGAAAAGATGAAAAGCAGTGCTTTCTGCCCCTTCCCACCTCCAACAAGAAGGAGAAAACTAAGAAAACATCAGTAACTACCTATTCAAAAACCTACAAAGTCTTGTGAGTAAAGTTCACACATACTTTGAGGAATCTTTGATGAAAGCATGAGATTAGTAATAATAGCTAATATTGATGTAGTATTAACTGTGCACCAAGTACTGTGCTAAGTGCTTTACAATTGTTATCTCATCTGATTCTTATAGGAACCCTGTAAGGTAGATGCTATTATTACTCTCGTTTTGCAGACAAGTAAGGCAAACAGTGGCTAAATGACTTGCCTAGAGTCAAACAGCTAGTATTTGAGTCCAAATTTGAACTTAAGTCTTCCTGACTCTAGGCCCAAGATCCACTCCATCACTTGTCTGTCCCATATATTCAACCTTTGTATATGAATTTGTGTAGCAGACCACAACTTTATGGTTGGACAAAGATGTAAAAAATATAAAATCCCTCTGTGCTTATTGTTTATGTTTCTACAAGAATTATAATCAGCAGATCAAATTGTATTTTCAAAAGCTCTCCTCAAACCAGAGATCTGCCATGAACATTGCAAAGTTATAAAAGACTGCAGCAGACATTACCAAAGAGATAACTTAGTTCAAGGAGCTTCTGAGTATTGACATCAAGTGAGCTATAAAACAAGGAGATGTACACTCTAAAGGCTGATATCAAGGAGATTGTCTTACATCAAGTTAAAATAAAAGGATTCTCTTTTAATAGTTATGCTCTCCTAATGATTTTATTCACAGATCACATTGTAGGGGTTTCATTGAATGTCCAAGTGCTACAAAACTCCTTACTGTAATCTACTACAGTACAAAAGAGATTGGTCTAACTACCCACAAGTATAAACAAAGTAGACTTTAAAATGTATATTGCTTGAATTTCCCAGATTTAGATAAACAGGTAGACTGGTAAGTTTGTCACTACATATATGCATGCATATATACATACACACATATATACAATATATATGTATGTACATTTACAAGTATATGTAAATATATGTTTATACACACACACACATGCATATATATATATATATCATATAGATCATCTTAGGAGCAGCTAGGTGGCGCAGTGGATAGAGTGCCTGGGCAAGGAGACCTGAGTTCAAATTTGGCCTTAAACACTTATTAGCTGTGTGGCCCTGGGCAAGTCACTTAACTCTATTTGCCTCAGTTTCCTCATCTCTAAAATGATTTGGAAAAGGAAATGGCAAACTACTCTAGTATCTTTGCCAAGAAAACCTTTAAAATGGGGTCATGAAGAGTCACATACAACTGAAATGACCGAACAACAACAAAAAATATCTTCGGGGCTACAGATGTCCACAAAGTATGCCCAGCATTTAGGAGAAAAATCAAACTAGGTCACATTTGGGAAACAGTACAATACTTTCAGTGACTGCTACTAATCACTGCTCACTGCCCAAAAAGATCATTTCAACACCAATATTTTCTTAATGGTGTTACATCACCGTGGATCACAGAACACTAGAAGCTTGAACAAATCAAAATCACATGTGACTCGGAGGGCACATTGTGGGTCTAAGTCAATTGAAGCATTCTTTACCAACTTTGACTTTCACAAAAAATATCAGTAAGGCACTAGGATATCTATGACTGGAAAAGAAAACAGGCCTTTTCAGTGCAATGAGCATGAAAGAAGGTATGTGGGTAACCTGAGTACCATACTAGAAACTCAGAACTTTGAAAGAATCAGAACAAAGTCTCCACCATATTACATGGATCTTGTAGGAACAGATTATTGCAAGACATGGCCAAGAACTGCACAGAATAAGGGGTTGGGGGATGACAATCTGCATGAAATTCCAGCTGCATCAAAGTGTCAATGGACAGTGAGTAGATTTATTTTTATGTAGCCTTCAAATTGTAAATCAGGAACTTCATTCAGTCATTCTTGCAGATTATTCCAGAGTAGTTAGTATAAATGTACTCTTTCTGAATTAGGTTTCAGTTTTCCACAATTATAGAAATCCCTTTTCTCTCTTATGTTCTTCATACCATTCCCTGGAACCAGAGAGATAAGGTAACCTCTTCCCATGAAGTCTCCCTATGAAGGTATATAATTTTTTTTTTCATGATAACTATTTGGGCAAAGTTTTGTGTTCAACTGATTTCTTTAAGAGAAAAGGAGAGATCTTTTTTTGTAGTAGCAAAAAATTGGGAACAAAGTGGATCTCCACCATTTGTAAAATGGCTAATGAAACTGTGGCATGTGATTGAAATTATGAATGTGAAGAATACAGAGGCACATGGAAATATGGACATGAACTGGTGCAAACAGAAGCAAACAAAACCAGGAAGACAATGCGCACAATGATAATAATATTTATGAAAAGAACAAAAACAGCAATCAGAACTTGACTTATAATGACCAAGCTGTTTCCCAAAGATGAGATGTCACGATGGGCCTCCTCCCTTCTTTGCAGAGGTGGGAGGCTCTGGGTATGGAACACTGCATATAATGTTGGATCTTCCTAATGTGCTGGTTACTTTTGCCAAACTGTTTCTTTTTCTTTTTTCTCTTCTTTTTTTTCTTTCCTATAAGAGATAACGCCCTATCCCTGAGAGGATGAGGCAAGAGATTTACTCACTGTCATTGGCACTCTGATGCCGCTGCAATGTCATGCGGATTGTCATCCCCCACCTCTTCTTATTCTGTGCAGTTCTTGGCCATGTCTTGCAATAATCTGCTCCTACAAGATCCATGCAACATGCTGGTGGCCTTGTTCGATTCTTTAAATTTGGAGGTTTCCAGTATGGCACTTAGGCTACCTACGTGTCTTCTTTCATGTTCATTGCATTGAAAAGGCCTGTTTCTTTTTTCAGTCATATATGTCCTAGATAATGCCTTTTATTGACATTTTTTATGCAAGCCAGTGTTGGTAAAGACTGCTTTAATTGACTGAGACTCACAATGTATCCTCTGAGTCACATATAATTTTGATTTGTTCAAGTTTCTGGTGTTCTATGATCCATGGCCATGTAACACCATTAGGAAAATATTGGTGTTGAAATGGTCTTTTTGGGCAGTGAGCAATGATTAATAGCAATCACTGAGAGTACTGTACTGTTTCCCAAATGTGACCTAGTTTTTTTTTTTAAAGAGAAGTACATAAAAGGAAAGGCTATAGCTCCCAAGCCATCTTGCTGCTTTATTTTATATAGAAATGGGTAAGCAAACATACATGGTTTGGGTTTGTTTTTTCTTTTTCATTTGACATTTGAATCTTGATTAAACTGTGCAAACAGAGAATTCAATATGAAGGTGGAAATCCGTGGTTTAAAAAAAAAAAACTTTTGTCATTTACACAGGATGCTGCCAATAATGGGCCTAGTAAAGGTGTGTCAGCACAATGCCTGTTTGACTTGCTGCAGTCTCTGGAGGGAGAAACCACTGATATATTGGACATCTTGGAACTGGTAAAAGCAGAAAAGCCTCTAAAATCTTTAGGTAAAAAGCAAATCTCTTTAAAATCCATTCTTCCCATAGCACCAATTTTTTTTTATTTAGATTTGGGCATCAAGACAGCCTGAGACATATAGGCCAATAATGTGAATTGGATGGGGAATTCCACCTCTCCTGTATTCTCTTGAGTGCCATGAAGTACCACCTCTAGAAGGTTAATAAAGCCTGTACCATGAAAAATGCTCTATGAACTATGCAATATGAATTACTAGGTAATAGTGCAGTGTATACAAAACAAAGATCACACTGGACAATACTTTGCTTCTTTGTCTTTTGAACCATCTTCAAATGTTTGTTTTGAGGGAATATCCCTGTAAAATGTGTCTTTGTTATTGTCACAAAGTACAGTACCATCTTGTATAAAGGAGGGTTCTTAACTTCAGTTTCATGAACTCGTTTTTTAAAATATTTTGATGACCATATTCAACATAATTGGTTTTATGTGTAATCAAATGTATTTTCTGCTTTTAAAAAATACTAATCTGAGAAGGGGTTCATAGGCCTTACCAGACTACCAAAGGGATCCATGACACAAAAAGGGTTAAGAACTCCTGGTTCAAGACCATTGTAAACAGTAACAGCAATATTATATGATGATCAGCTGTGAATGACTTAGCTATTCTCAGCAATACTAGGCTCCAAAACAATTCCGAAGGACTCATGATGAAAAATGCTATCTATATCCAGAGAAAGAACTGATGGAGTCTGAAAGCAGAATGAAGCATACTATTTTTGACTTTATTTTTTTCAGGTTTTTTTCTCTTGGTCTGTTTCTTCTTTCACAGCATGACTAATGTGAAAATGTTTTATATGATTGCATATATATAATCTATATCAAATTGCTTACCATCTTAGGGAGGGGGGAGGTGAAGGAAGAAGGAGAAAATTTGGAACTCAAATTTTTTTTTAAAAATCGAATGTTAAAAATTTTATTTACATGTAATTAGGGAAAAATAAAATATTATTTTAAAAAGAAGTGGTTGAGAGGAAGGAAATTATTTCTATGATTAAAAGACAAATCATCTTTTCTTCTTATCCTTAGACTTAGAGAGATAGGTTGGAATAGTAAATAGATTGCTGATCTTGGAATCAGGAAGACCTGGAATCAAGACTTGCCTGAAGCACGTATTTTATGTGACAATAGGAAAATCACTTAATTTCTCAATGTGGTAGGCACCTCTCTAAGACTACAAGTTATAGATGAGTAGTTGTCAATTTGAATTGGCTCAGGGAATTCCACACTAGGAATTTCCTACACTGATGAAATAATAAGTACAGATTCTGCCAGACCTTAGACTTGCAGAATGCCCAACAGTGTCATCTTCCATTTCTAATCCATACAGAAATAATTAAAAATAAAAGAGCATCTAATCTGGAGAATTGTGAGACTGGTAGGGTGAAGAAATGAAGGAATGCTTTCTTTTAAGGACTAAGACCTAAAAGACATGTGGCATCCAAACAAAACTATTGAGATTAATCTTCTGTTAGAAAAACAAACTCTTCTTTATCACCAGCAGAATTCACTGAGCTGGCTTCCTTCAACTTTTGCCTCTTCAGATTTTTGCTATGGGAATGATGATCTGACTTTCTCTATCAGTGAAGCCATCAAGCTCTGTGTCACTGTGGTGGCTTATGCTCCAGAATCATTCCGAAGGTAACAACTGTTTATTGTTATTTCATTGTTACTGTTCATTCTGTGTTTTGTGCCAGGTGCTAAGGTCATCTGAGGAAGTGTGGAAAGGTGGAAGAAATGATGTAGGAGGCATGATGCTTAAAAAATGGAGTGAAGAAGTCAAGGTTATATTTAGGAATAACAGAAATTGTCACTCTTTGGTATGACATGGTAGTGGAACCTTTACATTTAGACTCTACTGACTCAAAATCTGGTGTACTATATACTGAGGAAAATATTTTTTTAAAAACCTGATGTCAATTAGGTGAATTATCATAGATTCTAGTAATACCTCATTCATTAGAATGCCCCTAATTTGAAATTTGGAATAATTTAAAGGGACGAAGTGAAGTTCTTTCACATAGTAAAAATTACTAATATAAATAAAATTACTTGGAGGATAATTTAAACATATACAAGAGAAACAACTATTTTCAAACACATACAGACACAGACACAGAAACATCCATTCACGTATAAATAACTGGCATGCTAATAAAAGAAAACCATATTGGCTATTCATTTTAAAAGATCTCTAAGAACAAAGCAATCATCTGGATGAATGAACTACGCCAACCTACTTTGAGTTACTACATATACTTCAAAGAAATGGGGCAAAGAAATTATACTTTTTATATATTGTGAAGGAATGCCTCAATCAGAAATTTTGTTCCAAAACCAAAAAGTTGTACATTTGTTTAGAAAATTATTTGCATTTGAATATCATGTTTCTGAGCTTCCTTTTGCATACTTTTCCAGCTCTCTGGCCTACTATTCTCCTCACTATTTTACCCCTATTAAACTTGTTCGTATCACAAACATACACCTCTTCCTCCCTTTGTTCTCCTCATCATCAACTCCTTTTTCATTTCTTTTGCTTCTCTACCCAGCCTTCATACATGCCATGAAGAATCACTCTTAAGGGGCAGCTAGGTGGCGCAGTGGAAAGAGCACCAGCCCTGAAGTCGGGAACACCTGAATTCAAATCTGGCCTCAGACCAAACACTTGAAACTAGCTGTGTGACCCTGGGCAAGTCACTTAACCCCAATTGCCAAAAAAAAAAAAAAAAAGAAAGAATCACTCCAATTCTGTACTCATTAGCAGTCTTCATCAAATGAACAACTTTTACTCCCAAATACCAAAAATATGATTTAGACCTCATATCTTGGATAATTTTTTTTTGTTTTTCCTTTGTCTCATGGCATCAAAACTCCATTACAAGTTGTTAATTTCTCATGTAAAATCAGAATACCCAGTTTTGGGCCATGCACAGTGTCGATACAGATAAAATAATGCTAAATTGGTCCAAAGACACTCATTTATGGAAATACATAGGATCATAGGTAAAGAAGGTTGTATGTATTGTGAGAAGCAATGGAAAGAGCATTGGTTCTCGAGTCAGAAATGTGAGTCCAAAACCCCTTTGTGGATGCTTACTAGCTATGTGACCTTGAACAAGCCAAGGCCTCCCTAGGCCTCAGTTTCATATCTGTAAAATATGAGTTTGGATTAAATGTCCTTTAAGTTTCCTTCCAACTCTAGATCTATGATCCTAAGGACGGATTATTAGGGTCCCTTGCACTGCATCATTCTTGTGTATTTTATTTTTCCATGACTTTAACATAGCAGGTATATGAAAACAGAATGTGAAAGGTAATTTACTTTTCTTTTGATGAAGCCTTCAGATGTTGATGGTCTTAGAAGCCTTAGTTCCATGTTACCTACAAAAGTTAAAAAGGCAGACGTCCCAAGTGGAAACAGTGCCTGCTGCCCGAGAGGAGATTGCAGCCACAGCTGCTCTGGCTACGTCCCTGCAGGCCCTCTTGTACAGTGTGGAAGTTCTCACCAGGTAATCCCATTGACAGAAATATCCCTGCCTTAAATCATGTTAACAGTAGGTAAGAAAATGCCATGAGACAATAGGGGGTGCTGTGGACAGAGAGCTGGGCCTGGAGTCAGGAAAATCTAAATTCAAATCCAGCCTTAAACGCTTCCTACTTAGGTGACCCTGTTTTTCTTAGTTTCCTCTTCTGTAAAATCAGCTGGAGATGGAAACAGCAAACCACTCCAGAATCTTTGCCAAGAAAACCCCACAGACGTGTTCATGGGGCCATGGGTGACAAGTAGCCCACGACTGAAAAACAACATGTGACATGACTCAAAAACAAAGCACAAACTGTGATTCATTTCTAGATATCCAAGTTAATGGAAACTTGGGTTTTAATAGCTCATGGCTATGAATTTTTTCCTTCACCTATTTAGATGAACTAAAGTTCTACTCAAGCATCTTCATGGCTTAGAGATGATTCTGGGTTTTCAGAGGTTATGCCAGTAGAATACAAACTCTGGCAATTTATTGCATGCATAAAAAAGGAAATGAACAAGACAAAAACAGGGTTTTTAAAACTGGGGGCACACAAACACAAAAGATCATTGTCTTTTCCTATTGATGTATTCCTTTTACCTTTGAGGTATCAATTCAGAAGGAAATCTTATTTAGGTTTGTAAGTAAATAGTAAGAATGAAGTAAGTAATTGATGAATCATTATACTCCCTAAAAGTGCCTAGGTTGTTAATTTGTTATCATTTTAGAAGGTTCACTTGTCCCAGCTATTTTAGATATGGCCTAAAAGAGCAGAAATAATTGACCACATGGTGGTTCTTCCCTGACTTATTACTCTGTAGTCATTTGTTAAGGCAAGTGGAAGAGGTGAGTGTAGAATGGATGGCTAGAGTCTCCTACATATATTTTCTATTTCTTGTCTAGAGTCATTGAATTTGGAGTTTCCGTAGATTTCAATTTTTAGCTCTCAAAACATCTGCGATAAACATTTATGTTCGTTTATGCAAATCTTACTAATTGTTTTAAAAATTCACTATTGTTTTAATAATCATGGTTTATAATTGAACCCAAACGACATAGTTGTAAAAATTGCAGAGTTCTCATAAGGTAGAGATTATCATCTTGCCAATATGGAAATAAATGCTAACAATAACTTACATGTATATAGCATATTAAGATTTTCAAAATGTTTTTTCTAGTGAAGTAGGTACAGTAAATATTGTCTCCATTGCACAGACGAGGAAACTGAGTTTCTGAGAGGTTATATGACATTTATCCTGGATCACACATTTGGTAAGTGAATGAACCCCAATTTAGGTCAACTGAGAGTGCTGCAGTTGGAGTCAGTGCAATTGGAGTCAGAGGACCTCGGTTTAAATCCCAACTTGGCTACTTGTCACCTACGTGCCTGTGAATCAATAAGTCACTTAATTTCTCTGAGACTCAGTTTCCTCATCTGTCAAAAATAGGGGGGTAGGAGAGGAGACTGGCTTAGATGGCTGCTAAGGTTTCTTCCAGCTCAAGTCCGTGATCTTATAAGTTCATCTCAAGTCTAGAACATTCTCCACTATAGCCAGGCTCCTTCTTGGTTGTAGATGCCACTCACAGGTTGTGGCTTGATCTTTTCAGGCCTATGACAGCCCCTCAGATGAGCAGGTGTGATCAAGGCCATAAAGGGACCACTACTGCTAACCACACTATGTCATCTGGAGTGAATACAAGGTAATTCTCACTGGTTTGTTCTTCTCCTTTGTTTTTACTGACCTCTCTCACCATTACACACTATTTGGTTTGGTCTAAATTACACCCTCCTGCTCATTAAGTGGAGTTATGGAAAAGTGCTCATGTGAAGAACAGTTCTTGGCACATAGTAGGTATTTAATTAATATTTATTAAGTCCACATGACCTTTATAAATGTGCATGTATGGCATGAACTGGATGGTTAGTGTATCTCCTTTCTAGGCATATTTCTCTTGCCTCTCATAGGCAAAGGTTAAGAGACAGAAACATTATACTTCATCCAAATATTGATTCAGCTTCTTAAGGCGTGCTTTCAAGTTTACTGGCAGCTTACATTTTATTTAAACATTTTGTTGATAACTCAGACACTCATACCACTGTCCCATCTGCTATTGTTTTGATATGGGTTTTTTTTTTTCACATTTTTATTGCTCTCTTAAAATCCCTGGAGATTCAGATAACCTGATTAACATGGGCAGTCCTCTTTTATTGAATCTAATCAAGCTGATGTATTTGAGGGAAGTAGGTAGCCTCCAGGTGAACAAATCAGGGGAAATTGGGTAGGGGCAGTGGAAGAGTATGTCCCCCAGGATGTCAGTACCTGGAGGGATGCCCTTACCAATGAAAGCAAGTTATGGTTTGTCCACTTCCCCTTCTTAAAAAATGGCAATTATTTAGAAAGATCTGCTTTTTTCCAGCATGGAGAAAGTGACAAGGGAATGGAAATAAAGGGAAATGGAAATTCTCTAGATCTCTCTCCTAAGTTAGGTTTTCATAACCAAAGGTTTTTAGATGTAGGCCTGGAAAGTCCTCATTGGCCATCTACTCCAACCCTCCTGGATATGGTACTGGACTTGAAATCAGGAAAACTTGGGTCCAAGCCCTGGCTCAGATATTAACTATGTGTCCTGAGGAAGTCATTTAACCTCTCGACCTTAGGTTTTTTCATCTGTTAAATGAGAGGATTGGACTTGGTGGCCTTTAAGGTCCCTTCCTGCTTTAAATCTATGATCCTATGATCTCTCATTTTATAAATGAGGAAACTGAAGGCCAAAGAAGCTAAATACCTTTCCCAAGGTCACAAATGTCAATGGAAGGATTTGTACCCAGGTCCCCTGTCTTCAGAGTCAGTGGTCTCTTCACTGTACCACGCTGCCTCCATGTGTGACAACATTATTTTGTATGACAGAAGTGTTATACACGGTTAATTTTCTAAACATCATATATACCTATATCCAAACATAAGTATAAAAACACATTTACAAACCAAATATAAATGACATTCAAATTATCTGATATTTTAGATAATTCAAAGCTTTGATCTGTTCATCAGTACAAATAAGTTTACTATAATTTAATATTTTCAGGAAATCTTTTGGGAAGCTGTGGCTGAATGCAATTTTGGGGTTTTATCTGAGGAGAAAGATTTCCTCAGATGTCGCCACTATCATCTGCCGGTGAATAAAATATCTCCAAAGCAGTTTTCTTTCCCTGCAAACAGAACGCCTTGTAAAAAATTCTTCTCTTAGATATACTTTATTTGCAAAACATCTCAATTGCCCTTCCCTCTGGCTAAAGTTGCCTGTACCATATTTATTTCCAAAATGTACAGATCTAGTACAATAGACAGGAATTAGTAGTTGCCATCCGCAGTCCCCAAATGAGGCAGTTTTAACCTTTCCTAGGTTTAATAGATGTGCCATTGTGTGTGTTAATGAAGATGTATGCACTGATGAAATTCTAAGCTGCTCCATGGGAAGGGCCCTGTTGTTCCAATAATGATTCAGGCTACATTTCTCACTTCTCAGGTACCAGGAGCAAGGAGCAAAGCTACACTTTATCAGGTACAGTAAGACCTGTATCCTATCTCACCTCACTCTGCCATCACAGGATGAACTCCTCTGAGCTATATTGCAGTACGTCGGATTTCAATGATTTGAGACAAGGTAACACCTTTCCTGGTTAAACCCATGGAAGGTGTCTAAGACAAGGAAAATAGAACTTCTCAGGTTGGAGTGACCTTCATTTCCTAAGCTTTCTCACTTATTTTGCTCTTACAGAAAGGGTATCGCTTCACAATTATTCTCTCAGATGTGGTTCTATCAGTTCAGCAGGAGGGGGTCATCACCATCTACTCTTTTTGGCCACCTGCAACTGCCTGCTCCACAAAGCTCATCCCACTCTGCCAACTTTTTTTTTTTAATTATTATTATTCCCTAGGGAAAACCTACACTTGTTGGAGGAAGGGCAGGGTCTTCCCCGAGAGGAGCTGGACGAACGAATTGCTAGGGAGGAGTTCCGGAGACCCAGAGAATCCCTGCTAAATATTTGCACCGAGTTCTATAAACACTGTGGACCAAGACTAAAGATCTTACAGAACCTGGCAGGCGAACCTCGGGTCACTGCCTTGGAGCTGCTAGACGTTAAATCCCATATGAGGTACTGTCCTTACTGTCCAAGTGAGCTGTGTCTCTAGGGTATGTGAAACTCCAGTGTGACAGACTGGGGTAAAAAAAGAAACAAAACCATGATTTATTGTCTTTCATAAGACGATTTGGTGGGGAAATCTTATTGTTTGGGACACTAGTTATCTTGCTAGGCTTTTTATGAAGTTATGCTTTACCCCAGCAAAGTGTGAAGATTCCTGCATTGGGAGAACAACATATGAGAGGGAAAACAAGTTCCTGGGGACAGACAATCGGGACCCAAATTCTTTATTAATGAATCTAGAAAAGTAAGGTACAAAAAAAATGACATTTTTCTAGATTTCACAATCATCATCACAGTCAGTGCCCTAAAGGATATGAAAGAGAGGTGTTCAAAAATGGACGAGACATTTTTCAGCTATTCTAAGAATTGCAAAGGAGCAGCTAGGTGGCACAATGGAAAGAGCTCTGGCCTTGGTGTCAGGAGGACCTGAGTTCAAATCCGACCTCAGACACTTGACACTTGCTAGCTGTGTGACCCTGGACAAGTCACTTAACCCTGACTGCCTCACCCCCCCCCCAAAAAAAAAGAATTGCAAAAGTGCAATCCTTATTATCTACTATGAGCTTTTCTTTTTTAAAGTAGATTGGGTAAATATCAAAGCAATGATCATCAAAAAAAAAAAAAACCAAAAAACTCCAAATCAAACTTCTGTTGGACTGGTGTCTATGTTTTATCAGCAATGTTCTTAACTACGCATTCTCATTAAGCCATAAGGCAGTATAATAGACATAAATCTCACAAAGAAATATTTGTAAAAATCATCAAAACCATATTAATGACCAAACTTAAATTCTTAATGTCTTCTGAAAACATGGAATATAACAATTACTACATAGGCTTAGGTAGCCCTAGACTAATCCATTATGTATGATAAAGAATCAAATGTGAAAATAGTTTGAAAAAAATAAAGTTGTTGATTTCAAGAAAAATTTTCCTCATCATTACCATCATCAATGGAATTTATAGTAGTAGACTTAATAGTATTCAATTGTGTTGAATCTTTTTCGTTGATATTCTAGAATTGTAGGTGTCACAAAGAAGTGCAGAATGATTGAAACGAAAAAAGATTATGAAACTTAAAATAAGTTGAGAATTAGATTTCCTATATAAATACATGTTGTTTCAGTTCCATCTGTAATATCTAAATGAGTCTTATTTAATATCAAATAGCCAAGTAAGGATTCCTGTATTATAATTCATTAAGATTCAGCTTATCACAATTCAGCTTTGGTAGGCTAGAGAAGGAGACTTTTGTGACATCAACCATTTTGTGGTGAGCTAAAGTAGAAGAGACTTACAAAGAACTGGGGGGGTGGGACATAAGAAATCATACAAAGGCACAATGAAATGTAACTCTTAGGAATAGTGTAATATGATTTAGCTGAGCAATGATATTATATCAAAAGAACCTGGGTAATACAGCAGCTCAATTTGAGCCAACTTCTTAGGAAAATTACTAAGTCACCTGGTCTTCCTACTTTAAAAAAAAAGTTTAATGGACGGATAATGGTCTAAATAGAGTGAAAATACATGATGTGAACCTATTGAGACAATCAGTACTCACTGTTTTCCCACAGTGTTGATCATTGGATGTAGAACCAAAAGAGATCTTTGAGATCATTTATTCCAATTCCCTCAAAATGCAGAGGAGAAACCAAATCCAGTAATTTGGCCAAAATCACATTGGTCATCAATAGCAGAGATGGGATTTGAAGCCAGGTCATATGGACTCTAAATATGATGTTCTTCCCATTAACACCAGCAGCTTGGGTACATTTGCAATTAGACAAGATTGCTGTCCTAAAGGAACTTATCATCCAATACACCCAAGGCAGTGCTGCAAAAAGCAATCACCAGAAAGAGGATTCCGTGTTCTCTCAATGGAGATAGACTGTATGTCTTCTCATCCATGTCCATGCAACAAAGGACTAATACCTTTTACATCGTCTAACCTTAAACACATGCACCATTCTGAATTATTTATTTCATTCTGAAACTCAAAACACATTATATCTTGAAACATGCCTAAAAGCTGAAAGAAATAAGGCAGTGATCCTAATGAAAACAGGATCAAATAGAGATTCAGAAAACTTCCCTCCACTGCTCTGTTCTATTTTTTTGTAGGTTTTGTTTTGAACATTCTAGGCTTTATTTTTTGATAGTAATGAGAATAGATACTTCATTTTTCAATGAATAGTTTTGTTTTGTTTTTTTTCTGTGGAGGAAAAGGGAATTGTAAACTTGTCAAAAAGTTTAAATAATTAGAATTTTGTACACATTACTTTTATGAGAAATTAGTATTGAGCAAACAAATTAATATCCAGAAAATATTTATTTTAAAAGTGATTTCCAGAGATTATCATTCATAACCTGGCCTTAGCAAAGTTATGGATTAAAAAAGATTTGCTTTTGCCATTCTTTCCTTCTTGAACCATTTCCTCTCTTTCAAGCCCAGTCTCATCCTCACTCCTACAACTCCTACCTAGTTATCCAAGTTTTTCCATGATCATATTCCACTTGTATGAGCCCTCCCAGACAGCTTTGGTCCTTTTCTGGTCACCTTCCTAAACAAAATTTGCCTACCTCATGCCCAATTTGCCAAGGGCCCTACTAAGTAACTTCTCAGCTAGTCACACATCCTATTTACATCTAATGATGACAATGTGCGTAATAGAGGACTTTATAACTCAAAAGTGTTAGATATGTAGAAATTTTAGATATTATGCAAGTTCACTCCTCAGTTAAAGTTGTTTAGGAAAGGTTGGATGACCACTTATCAGGTAGGTGCTATTAGAGCCTCAACCCTCTCACCAAGTGGCCCCTGAGACTACTCTGGATACTATGATTCTATAACCTGTAAGAGAAATATTAGGATGGAGGAATTGAGGTAAAGAACAGGAAGGCATTTTATTGCCCCTCAGATGGTATTACATAGGTGACTGCCTACTCTACCTATGACTAATACCAACCTAGAGTATTCAACAGTCATGTGCTAAGCCCCCAATATATGCTAAGTGCTGTGAGGGATTCAGAGATGAGTAAAACACAGTTCCTATTCTCAAAAAAGCATACATTCTACTAGAAGAGAGATGTGTACCAACTCTATAAGACAAAATAGAATATAATATTAAATGAATATGATAGGTAGCTTCCACCCACCCAGAAAAAAGTGCTTTTAACTGATACATTGAGGAAAGAGATTTTTCCAGCTGGCTGAGATTAGGAAAAGCTTCATGGAAGTGATAGTCCCTCAGCTAGCCTTTGAAAGATGGGTAGGACTTAGACATAGATGAGACAGTGAGGAAAGTGGAATGCATTCCAGATACAGGGGCCACATAGTTCAACAAAAGTGGCATGAGTTCAGAGAATGAGGAATAATTCATGTCAGGATCATTACAGTATATAAACAGGAAAAGTAGGAGATAAGGCTAGAAATGAATGTTGGAGCCATCCTGTGGTAAGTCTCGAATGCCACACAAAAGTAACTTAGGCTTGATTTGGCAATAGAAACTATTATCAACTAGATCAGTGGCACTGCAAAATCCTACCGTGAACTGTGGGCCAACAACATCAAAAAATTCAGTAATGTTCAGCTATATTTTCATCTCATGTTTTTCATTTAATTCAGGTTATGTTGAATAATTCATCCATGTTCAACTCTCAGCTAATCATAATATTAAATTACCCAGAAAAGCACATTGCCAATCATTTTGGAGAATAAGAATTTGCTATATTAAATTATGTATGCTTATTCTTTGAATAATAAATATGATTTTTTTTACTCAATGAAAAGCAATATTACCTGGATACAAGTTCGTGCATATGGATTTTTGTACATATTTATATGCTCGTGCTTGTATATTCTTATAGGTACAAACACATGTATGCTATGGTATATGCCTGACCTATTGGAAAACACAAGAAAGATTGGGATGACATAATCATACAGATTGATGGCATATTGTTAATTCACTTAAATCAGCCATGGAAAAAAAAAAGTGGGTGTTCCTAAAAGGTGGGTGGTTATCCTGCTGCTCTATGGAGACACACTGTGGAGTCCCATGCTTCCTCTTAATGGGCAATAATTTTAGGTTGGCGGAAATTGCACATTCCCTTCTGAAGCTGGCACCTTATGACACCCAAACAATGGAAAGCCGTGGGCTCCGACGATATATCATGGAGATGCTGCCGATCACTGATTGGACTGCTGAAGCAGTGAGACCTGCTCTTATCCTCATCTTAAAGAGATTGGATCGTATGTTTAATAAAATTCACAAGATGCCTACCTTGAGGTGAGCAGGTATAATGGAAACAAATATTTGGTCTGTCCCTAGTGTTACAAGCTTTGACGTCCAAGCATGTTATTTTATTGATGTTGATGTATTTCACTGAATTGAAACAATGGGTCAAATGTAATATTGCTGGTATCTTATCATATACTGTTATTTTTACAATTGCCTTAGTGACAGGCTCTCATTTGCAGTGATGGGAGAGAAAATTCTTAAGGAAGCAAAAGTGGTAGTCTTGAAATCTACTTTCTTTACCTCTTACTCTTATTGGTACAAAGAAAACAATGTTTTAAAGAAATGAAGCACACTATATACAAAATTACACTAGGAGACAGACTGAATCCTACACTAAAATAACTGCACATGTGTACATTTAACCACATGGATGAAACTAATCTGAAATTAGAACCACTTGGGTACCAGTTCAATTTCAATAACAGATATGTGTTAAACACCTACTCTGTGTAGACCTTTGTTAGTTACTGGGGGAGATATAGAGTGAAAGAAACACAATATCTTCCCTTAAGGAACTACCAGCCTAGTTGAAATGGTAAGACAATTTGGGGGTGGGGGGGCTGATTTGTGATTTCATTGGAATTCCCAGTGTGGAAATTCACACCTCCAATGCAGATCAGCATCTGCTGAGCAATTTATAGTCTTAAGAGTTACCTGGGGCTCTGAGAATTTAAATTATTTGCCCAGGGTCACATAGGGAGTATATCTCAGAGATAGAGCCTGTACTCAGGTCATACTGACTCCAAGGTCATCTCTGCCTCCCATCTACCATACTGCCCATAGTATAATACAAATACTAAATATAATACAAAAAACTATAATAAGTATAAATACAAATACTAAGTATAATACAAAAAATAAAATCCAAGTATAATACAAATGAGAGTATAAGTACATAAGGTAACTATAAAGTTCTAGGCGATCAGATGAGGGAAGCATCACTCCAAGTTAAGGGGAATCCCTTCCAGGGTTGAGGAATATTTGATCTTTATAAAAACTCTCCAAGCAAAGTTTAATGAAAGTATTGAACATGTTATACCAAATGATAGTACAGGGTATCCCAAAAGTCTTAGTGCAGTTATAAGCTTGTAAATTTGCAAAGTAATATGTAAAGAGAGGTTGACTCTCAGAAATGGTAACAAATACTTTGTCCTTTGAAAAATCAGTTCGCTTTGTGGGATTAATATCTCTGGTACCAAACCAAACGGAAACCTAATTCTTCCCCAATAATCCTATGCCCTCATGTGCTGAGAGTTCAATTAACCAAGCAATGCATCAATCAGGCCAGGATCATGGACATGGAAATCACCCTGCTGATTTGGCAAAACTACATTGAAGTTAATGAGTGCCTTTCTCCTCTTTTCTAACTAACCCAAAGGCTTGCTCAAAATTTAGTGATATTTTTCATGTTCCTCCCATTCTCTAGAGTTACTCTAATTCAGGTTCTGCTATCCTCCACTTAGGTAAACCTTTCCTAATCTTTGGAATTTGTCCATTTTCTTTACCTACCATATCCCCTCCTATCTCACTTTCTTGATGTTCCCACCTTATTTACTAGAGTGGCTAGACTAGAATTGGTCTATTTCACTAAATCAGTAATGCCAATTCTTAAGTCACTTTCTGGGTTTTTCCCCCTCTATGAGTCCTATTAACCCACTGTTGTCCTAGCTTGCTCCTAGATCTTGTAAGGGATGAAACTGACTGTGTTGTTCTTTGTGGGTCCCCAGCATGCTTCAGCTTCCACAGATGTCAGTTTTAGCTCTTTCACAAGGTATACGTTTCCATTTCAAGTCAGACAGTCAAATGATACTCTGATTATTTGAGGAAGGAAAAGACAGGTCATGTAACCCCACTTCATGGAAACCTCTGAAACTGATATCGGTTTTGGCAAAGCCCAAATTCATTTATTTTACTGGTGGCAAAGTAAAAGAGTACAAAGAATAAATTCTTAGTCCTGTAGCATTATGAAAACTAGTCTTATCAAAACAAAACAAAACCAAAAAACCTGCATGAAGAAGTTAGCTTGTATAACTCCCTCCCCCCAAAAAAATATTTTTATGAAGACCAAAAAAGAACAGTTCTAAACTTAACTGCCTTTGAATATGATCTTCATGCTAACTGGAGTTAATATGTACCCTAATACATAATGCCCTGATGTATCAGCCAGTAGTATCTGTCCACATGCTGTCTGACAAGACTGGTTCTATAACATACATGCAGATAGGTTCCCCTACAATGAATGACTCACTCTCTGTGATGGGAATTCCATGATGACATTCTCAGGACCTTTTTTCAGAACAAAATATTAAGAACTTAAAATGCAACCCATTCATCATCTTTGTTTTTTTCTTCAATAGATTTTGTGTCATTAGTCAAGTGAGGCAGGAGTGCTTCTGCTACGTTTCCAATATCTTCTTCCCCTCCCAGTGTGCTCTGTACTTTTGGAACAGCATGGGTAAAATCCATCCCGTGTAATGCACTTTGTTGTCTCAGACACCCATCCTGTCTTAAAACGGCTCCTCCTCCCATCAGAACCACTGTGTCGAATTCACCTTGTCTCCAAGCATCTTAGAAGGAGGAACAAGGAGCTAATGGCACCTACTGTTGTATTCCAGGCGACAGGTTGAGTGGGAGCCTGCCAGCAATTTGATTGAAGGGGTTTGTTTGACACTTCAGAGGCAGCCAATCATATCCTTCCTGCCTCACCTTAGGTCACTGATCAATGTCTGTGTCAATCTGGTGAGTAGCCAAGTGGCAATCTTATGAAACTTTACTAAACTTCACTCCGCTATTGACTTCTTTGGACTGAAGATTACAGATCAATCACTTTGCCCATCCCTGCCCATCCATGAAAGCAAATTGCTCAGGTGACACTGTAAATGATGAGGGACATTTTCAAAATAGTGCATGGGGAGATGCTAGGACTGATCCCTGTGGTGATGGGTTTCAGGCATGTTGCTTCCCACGCACTACTTTGAAAATCTGCCTCAGTATGTTGAGCTGAGAGTTGAGGGCTGCGAGTTGGAGAGTGGGGTGGTGGAGACTGCACAACTGGCTAATACTAGGATCAGAAAGGATATTTCAAATCTCCAGAGGAATTTCTTTGGGGGGAAAAAGTACAAAATGGCACTGTGAGTTGGCCAGGCTAAGGTTTATATGAATGAAACCAATTACTCTACCAGCTAAGTAACATCTAGAGTCTGGTCCTGAGGTTTTGTGCAATGTGTAGATGCCATATTAGAACATTTCATCAGATAAGAGCACATTAGATTAGCTTGTTGCTTAATTTGTAGAGTAATAAACTCTGCTGGAATGCCTGATGCAAATAGATCAGTTGCCATTATCACCTTCATCAGTACATCCACCACAAAAAACATTTTGAATGGCTTTGAATTAAGGAGTAAGTATGACCAGTCTCCTCATTATGAATAATGAGATGGCTTTTCAATTCATATCTCATTTTATATTTAGCTGGATCTAAACATTGTACAATACTTAGGATGGACTGAACAAAGTAAATGAACCAGACTCCAGACATTACACACTATAGGAAGAAAGCAGTAGAAAAGATTGAAAGCAAAATGTCCAACCTTGTAATTATATTTTTCCAATGAATTTAACCCTTCAACTGTAGCTGCATGAACATGCAATTGTCAAGGCTGGTCACGTGCTCTGTTTGTATTTCAGGTGATGGGAGTAGTAGGACCTTCCAGTGTTGCTGATGGATTACCCCTTCTTCATCTCAGCCCTTATCTCTCACCACCTCTGCCCTTCAGCACAGCTGTTGTCCGGCTTGTAGCATTGCAGATACAGGTGTGACTGCCTGGCCTGTTGTCAGGCTCATTAATTTTTTAGTTGAGGCACCAGATCATGAGTGCTCTCTTTTTTGCTGCAAAGGCTGGGCAAAATCTGTGGAAAAAAATACATATTTAAATACTACCCACCTTATGTAGGCTTAAAGCATCAGCCCTGAGCTTAGCCCTCACTTGTATTTCTTTCATTCTTCAAGAAACAAAAAAAGCAGAATGATTTGAACCTGTAAACACTACAGGAATCCTTTCCAGTATACAGATTTCACAGGAAAAGAAAATATCACTCACAGATAATCAGCTCACAATGTTTATTTTTTAAAAAGTCCATTGTTTCACTAAATATTGAAAGTCTGGCAAAAAGATTCAAAGATAATTACAAAATAAATCTTCTTTTTGAGATTGTCACCAGACTTTGAATATTTTAATTTTCTTTAATAAAAGTTTTTTGTCAGTTGAGTATCTGCGTGTGGTTGGGATTTTTATCCCTATTTATTTCATCTCTACCAGAATGGCAAGCTCCTTGGCTTGTCTCTGTTTCATTCAATTACAGAGAGGTCAAAGTCATCATCAAGGAATACCGTGTCCTAAAGAAGTGTGCAACCAATAGCTAACAAACCAATGTGAAGGAGGTGACTGGTCCATCCATCATCCAGCAACCACCAACTTAGAAGTCACCCAGAACATGTATAGATTTTAGAGGAGAGGTTAAGCACAGAGATGTGATTGTCACTTAGAACGGGATAGACATCCCTAAAATGATGTGGTTTCAATGACCAGTGTAAAGATATTATCTATTTTTTCCCATGTTGCTTAGCTCTTTCTGACTTGAAGAGTGCCCTGTTCAGGGGTAAGAGGACTTTTTAGTCAGACCTGACCTGAATGACTCTCAAGTGGCAAGTTCTCATTCTCTTCCTCTTCATTCACCTCTAAAAAGGAGGGCCTTGGTGGGGAGAGAGGGAAAAGGAAGGGGAAAATTAGTTTAATCCACACCATAAATATTGTTTTCCATACCATTTTCAAAGTTGTATTCCTTGCCACTCTCTTTTTCGTCATGTTAACACTTATTATGGCAAGTCCATGGCCAGATTTCAATTTTGAGCGAATCCAGTGTCCTGCGTAGACCACAACCGTGCTCATAGTTTACAGGAACAACAGGGAAATCACCACCTGTGTTGTGTTGTGAAAAAAGAGGGGGCAGAGGTCAATTAATATCTCTTTTTCTTATTATTACTGCACAGGCTTTAAAAGAAGATTTCCCCTTAAGCCATGTGATCTCCCCATTCACCAATCAGGAAAGAAGGGAAGGGATGCTTTTAAATCTACTCATCCCATTTGTGCTCACAGTAGGATCTGGAAGCAAAGGTCTGATTAATTTAATGAAAGGAGATACATTATTGTTGTTGTTTTTATTGTTGTTATTGGTGTTGTCTCCCTAAATGACCAATATGTGAGTTTCTTCTAAGGCTTTCACTGGAGGTTGCCTGAGGGATTTAACCAAAGATACCTTAGGAAGCATTTCCTTTCTTTTCAGTAGAGTCAATATGGAATAACAGTTGCTCCACTTTCTGGATGAGATTTTTCCCTTTGGAAATGATTCAGTACAGCAAAAAGTCAGGAGGATATAGTTAAACTTAACTAGCATTGACTGAAGATTTGTATCAATATGGGAAAAGCATTTGGAGGGTGGGGTTTTTCTGGGGAAGAGACTGTGAATTGATGCTTTTGCTACCAAGGAGTTGATTTAAAACCTGGCAATTGTCACATAATCATTCTGCATTCTCTCTCTCTTTCTCTCTCTCTCTCCTCCTTCCACTTCTTATGGGGATTTGCCCCTATTGGGAAAGAGTTTATTTCAAATGTAGGGGAAACAGTCATTGAGTATATGAAAGGAGAAAACAGGTAATTTGTCTGAGACCATTGAGCCTTTTATGTTCTGCTATGAAAAACCAATAACATTGTCTTTGTCCATAGGAGAAGCTGTGCCTCACAACTTAATGAGATGGAGGATGAACCCTCAGTTATAGATGTTCTCATTTGAAATTGGAAAACAGAGCTGAATTTTACTATGTGTAATGAAAAAAAAAAAAGCATGCATTTTGATTAGTTTTCTTTCCATTTTCCCACCCCAAATTCTGCCCCCTTCAGATAGCCCATGGTTGGAGCAGCCTGAGGTCCTTCTGCTGCTCCAGACGGTCATCAATATCCTCCTACCTCCTAGAATCATTAGTACATCTCGCAGCAAGAACTTCATGCTGGAGAGTTCCCCAGCCCACTGCTCCACCCCTGGAGATGCTGGGAAGGATTTGCGCAGAGAAGGTCTGGCTGAGTCCACCAGCCAGGCTGCATATTTAGGTGAGTAAGAAGCTTTACCATGGCAAAAAGAGATTTGGCACATTGATAAACAACACTTAGAATAAAAATGAAAATAGTCCAAAATGCATGGTTTTTAATAATACATTTACTATTAATTCCTATCTATGAAATTTACTATTACGATCAATTACTATCCAGTTACTATCTATGAAAGTGTCTTCAATGATATAAGGCCTGGTTTGCTTGATTTTTAAAATGACATTTGGAAATGTAGGAAAGGCAGTTTAAATAAGTCCCCCTGGCCCCCATCATGCCTGAGCAGTGAATCACAAATGAGAATCAGCTATAGCTTGAATAATATGAAATCTCAACCTAATCTAGAATATAAGTTCATTTTTAGCTGATCAACCTGCCTCTACAAACTCATCTCTCTTCATGATCCAACACAACTCTTCATTTTAGGGAAACCACTTTACCCAATCTCCCACCACCTATGCCATGCTATTTCTCTACCTCTCTACCTTTGGTAATGTTAATACTGATAAACATAGCAATGAAAAGCCACTATTATGGATTTGTCAAGTGAGTTCCATGGCTGAACAACTCAGCTATGTATGGAAGCAAAAAGGAAGATTGGCAGGCAGGAAGTAATGGAAAAAAAAAGAAGTCTTAAGAAGAGAATAGTGAAATAGTGAAGGCTGCTGCATCCCCAACACTTTTCCTCCTGTAGCTTTTTCATTTCCTGGGGCAAAACTTGGTGGAAATAAAGGAATTTATGGAAAGGATAAGAAAATTGGTGGTTGGGGCAGCAGAGTGGGAAGGGCTACAATGGTAGAGAATATTTGTGGTAGGTATACTTTGGGAAAGAATATATTTGGCCACCCATGCTCATGGACCCCTGATGAAATTATGCTTCCTTCCTCTTCACAGAGAAATGATGGACACAAGGTGAAAATTGAGACATATTCTTTGAACATGCTTAACTATTCATGTTTCTTACAAGGATTTGGGGTTTTTCCCCTTTTTTTCAGTGTGGAAGAGAGTAGGAGAGGGAGAAAATAGATTTTTTTAATTAAAAAAAATTTTTTTAAAAGAATATGTTTGTAGTTGATAATTAAGGAGAAAGAAGAAGTGTGTATAGGCAGAACTAAATAGTATTGTTGACTCAGCTGCCATAAAAGTAGAAATATGTAATTCAGAATTGGAGGCAAAAACCACCAGTTTTCAGCTGAGCTGGATTCCAATCTGGTAAAAGAGGGAAGAAGGAAGTAAATATGGAATTTTACTCACCTAGTGGCAATTTTTGCAGAGAACACTACAAGAAAAAGCTCATCTCACTCATTGAAATGGATCTTTTCTATACTTCAGTTGAGAAATCTGAGCTAGATAAAAGCTAACCTCAGAATTGACTAAAGTGATTGCTTCAGAAATAAAGAGGAAAGAATGGCTTCAACAGTTGGTGCACAAGGAATCCTTGAGTACAGGGACTGTTTCATTTTTGCCTTTGTAACAGTCAACCAATCAATAACCATTTATTACATTTATTAAGCACCAACTACGTGCTAGATAGCAGGAATACAAAGACAAAGGATTAAAAACTCTCCTCTCAAGGATCTTAATATCCCCAACACTTTGACACAATGCCTGGTACATAGTTGGCTCTCAATAAATAAATCTCAGATAAATCTTGATTCATTGATTAAATAGCAATAATCGAGCTAAGTCTTTATTAAGTGTTTCTATGTGCCAGGCACTATGGTAAACAAAAAGAAAATCTCTACCCTCAAGGAAATTATATTCTAATGAGGGAAGACAGACAGTACATAAAAAGGAGCTGAAAAGATGGGCAGAAGGCACGGTAGTAAAATCCAAAGAATGAAAGAGGGCTGGTCTGAACCATTCCTTAGAATGGAGGTCCTGAGAGGAACTCACCAGTAGGGGAAGAAGGGCTTCCAGGACAAAAGATCAAGGCAGATGATACATGCTGGCATAGTCCAGAGGGTAAAATATGACTGATCTGGACTCTTGCTCAAAATGGAGGTTCCAGAAAGAGTACACACATTTTTGCTTTGGAGGTCAATGATAATATTGCTATTTGTCACAGAGCTTCTCTACAACTTTCAGATAATAAAAGACTACAAATCATGTTTTGAAAAATCCCCTTCTGTTCTTTCTCTAAGTTACTTTCCTCTGGGTCTTACAAAATTTTGGCTTAATGTTTCAGAGAAAAGTATTTGGGTGATCTTAGTGCAAAAATTAGAATCTGGTTCTCCTGCTTGCGACATTTATAAAAGGCTTGACCACTTACAAAAGAGGGAGAAAAAAAAATCTTCATCTGAAGTTCCTGACTTTGTTGAAATGCTCACGAGTTACTTGGTAACTGTGGTTGCTGTAACCTCTTTCTTGTCCCAATAGCAATTCTAGATAATCATGCCATTTTTTGATTTTCCCAACCTCCAGCTCTGAAGGTGATTCTTGTTTGCTTTGAGAGGCAACTTGGCAGTCAGTGGTATTGGCTGAGTCTACAAGTCAAAGAGATGGCATTAAGAAAGGTGGGAGGGCTGGCCCTGTGGGACTTCCTCGACTTCATCGTTCGAACTCGGATTCCCATCTTTGTTCTCCTAAGGCCCTTTATTCAGTGTAAGGTGGGTGTTTCTCCTCCTAAAGTTGATCACCTTATCAAATGGTGCCTAACAGTTGACTATTCATTCTCTATGGAAAAGAATGTTACTAAACTGTTGCAGCTTTTACTACAATGATTAGATGAAGGAGTTATGAAGACATACAGATTTTGCACCATATATCCACAAACCACCCATTATCACAGAGCCTGTAAGTCTCTAGCAGATCCAACTGCCCGAAAGGAAAGCCTGGAATGATATTATCCAGGGGGAAGTTATGGACCTGGGTTCAAACCCCACATGTGCCATTTGCTATCCATGGGACTTTGGGCAAGTTTCTTCCCGTTTTGGGACTCTGTTTCCTCATGTACAAAATGAAAGGTCAAATGACTAGCAAGCTTTACCAAAGAGGTGAGGCTGAGACTGGAATTTGAGCCTTCTGATTCCTCAAATAGGACTCTTATCCACTCTAGCTGGGGTTCTTAACCTTTTTTATCTCATGGACCCTTTTGTCACTCTGGTAAAGCCTAAAGAAAGCCTAAAGAAAGTCCTTTCTGAATAATGTTTTTAAATACCTAACATAGAATTACAAAAGAAACTTATTACATTGATATACAGTTATAAAAATATTAAAAAAGAAACAAGTTCATAGACCTTAGGTTAAGAATCCTTGAACTATAAATAGAGCACCATAATATATGGAAGTCTAGACTTGTAGTCAGGAAGAGCTGAGTTCAAATCCTGTATTACTAGAGATATGACTCCTGGCAAGTCATTTAACCTCTATAAACTTCAGTTTCCTCAACTGTAAGATGAGTTAATAATAGCAATCTACATCACAGTTTATTGTAAGGGTCAAATGAGATCTCTGTAAAGTACTTGGTAAACCTTAAAGCACTACATAAATGAGAGCTAGTATTAGTACATAATTACCTTATTTTAAAGTATTTATAGCTTGAAAACACTTAGTAGTAACTCATTTTCCCATTCTCTCTATACATAACTTTCCTGGAACAATGATTCAGCATTAGGAATGGAGAAGATCCTGTCGCTTTTTTTTCCCCTTCAGCTTTTAGCTCAACCTGCTGAGAACCATGAGGAGCTATCTGCCAGACAACACATTGCTGACCAGCTGGAGAGACGCTTCATCCCTCGGCCTCTGTGCAAGAGCTCTCTCATTACTGAATTCAACAGTGAACTTAAGATTCTAAAAGAGGCTGTGCACAGTGGGTCAGGTAAGGGGGTTTGGTGTGAACCACTATATTTGGCCATTCTTTGGCCATTCCAAAGTATCTCTCCATCTAGATGATCTAATTAATTGGAAAAAGGTCTCTTTAGGTTCAATATTCTACAAACATATATAAATTATGTCAGGCACTTCCTTTTCACATAGTTCAACTGAATAAAGAAGGTTATTGTTCTACAATTTCCTAAGAATTCCCTCCACGCCCCTAGAGTTGAACCCATATGAAACATTGTTTTCTGTCAATAGGGGGCACCCATAACCTGCACATGTGGAAAGTAAATGATACATTTGTGCCTTCATTGCTCAATATGACAATGTGGTAAAGAAAAAAAAATGATAATCCAGGCTTGCTGACATAATAGTCTTACTATTTAAATCTTTGCTATAAAGATAAAGAGACCAAAAGGGGATTGAGGGATATTAAATTAATTTTCTGGAAAAAAAAAAAGTGGAAGTTGTTCTTAGATTTTGTATTCTTTTAAATGTAAGTTGCATTGGAAAACACAAATTTGAACATATTTTTATCAAAGTATATAAGGTAAACATTGGCAAAGTGGCAGCACCTATTTCACACCAACCAGAGAAAAAGAAATACAATCAGTCAAGAAAGCAATATGAAAGCATTTTCTAGATAATACCATAGGTAACCTGTGCCAACTTCACTTCATATACTTGTAAGCATATTTTATCCAAGATTGATTCTTCATATTCCCACTCATTTTCCTACTTATATTTTTTCTTTTCTACTTACATTTCAATTCAAGCTTTAACGCATTATTCACCTTTCCTAAGCAACACGCTTGAGTGGAGAAAACCTTTGAAACTTACATTGTGTTTTGTTTTGTTTTAGCATTTATAAATATGCATTTTTTTACTTTGTTTCCCATCCCTACACAGCCTACCAAGGGAAGACGTCCATTAGCACAGTGGGCACCTCTACCTCTGCTTACCGCTTGAGCCTGGCCACCATGTCGCGCTCCAACACTGGCACTGGCACTGTTTGGGAGCAGGACAGTGAACCTTCCCAGCAGGCTTCCCAGGATACCCTGAGTCGGACTGATGAGGAGGATGAAGAAAGTAAGCAGCATGACACGATTTGGAAAATGAGGTTTTTTTTTTTTTAGGCTAAATAATGAAAGCAGGAAGGGGATGTATTGACCCTTGTGTATTTTCCAGCTCGTTTCTGTGGATGCTTCAGGAATGCTTTCATAATTATTCCAACACAGTGATCAACATGTAATAACCCTACTGTTTCTACCATTCTTAAGTTGCTCCAAGTAGTTAAATTCTAATTTTTCAATGGTAACTGTCCAGGGATGCTATACATAAATAAATGCTCTGATAGGTCCCAAACTGCATTTTTGCTCACAGTCTCAACCTGTTCCACCAACCATAAGTTTCTTTGTACTAAAAACAAAAATAGCAAAGTAAATGATTTGAATTATACTTTCTTTCCTGAAACACTACGTATAATATAGTGGAAAGAGCACTGAACTTGGGAATCAAGCACCTTAGGTTTGAGCCCTCCTCCTTATACTAACTAGCCATGTAAGATTGGCCAATTTCATTAACTTACAGAGCCTCAGTTTCCTCATATGTAAAACAGCAATAATGATACTTACACTATGTAGATCACAGATGCTATGAGGCAAGCACTTTATAACTCATAAAAGGTTGTATACGTGAGCTTTTATTTTCAAATGCATGTACCCCTGCAAAACCACCAAAATAACTCCAAAGTAGGCAAAGGAAATAAGGAGGTGGAGCCAGGGGGCTGGAAAGTAATCCCTAAATAACTGGAGCTAACAATACTGGTTGTAACATAAGATACCAGCAAAGAATTGGAGGAGTAAAACCTCAGTTTGAGTGGGAGATAATGCCTTAAACAAGGACATGAAAGTGTCTTTCTGTAGGTATCACAGATGCAGAATAATGAAGTAGGTTGATCTATCTCATGTGTACATCATAAGGGATTTTAATGATAAGCAGAAGTGTGAAGGTAAATATTTAACAACTGACTTAAAAAGAATGTATACATGACACATTTTAAAGTTTAGTCTGTATCATTAACATTTTCTCCAATACTTTCTTAAGTCTAGAGTCTAGACTTAACAAAAGAATCCAGACAAAACAATAAATCAAGGTCTGATTTGTAGCTTTGCCCAAAGTGTAAAAGTTCACCCTAAAAATTTAACAATCAGTATTCTCAAGCCATTTTGAGCTTGCTCCATCATACCCCTAGGCCTAAGGATATATTATAGGCCACTACATGACACTCAGTGTGAAAGCTTTGCCTGGAAATGTCATTGTAACAAAGCACCAGAGCAGAACATAGAACACTTTTTTTTTTAAAAAAGCCTTTTCTGAATTTAGGGATAAGGATTTCATTAAATTAGGAAACACCATCTGCTAATGTAGGTCAGCTGCTTCTCTGTAATTAATGGACTTAAAATGTTGCCTAGAACAGCGAGAGGTTACCGTAGAGGCAACCAGTATTATGTCTCAGAGGCAGATTAAGCCCAGATCTTCCCAATTCCCTCTCTATTCACTAGGCCATTATGACTTTTGTGGATTTAGTAAAAACTTTTTAAATGGGGATTCTAGATTGAATTTTGAATAACAAATATAAATTAAGGGTGTTTGATAGGAAGATATATAGTGTTTTATATATATGATCCATATTTTGAAGTTGTACTTCAAAACCCAGTAATAGATGTTATCAGGACTCCTCCCAAAGTATGATATTTTAATGTTATAATAAACCAAACCTGCGGGTGCATTTGTTTCTGAAGTACTCAAGCAACTGACTTCTAGACTGATAATAATTTGCTCATGGAAAAACACTGGAACTCTAACATGAAAGACCCTGACAAAGCTACTTGAGGCTAAAATTGTCATTGTCATTATGTCAGGGAGATGGGGCACTGAGGGGCACACATAGGCAGAATAGTTTTTCCTATGATGTTCCTGAATGCCAAGGTTGTTGGAAACATCCAAATCTCATATCTGTTGATTGCACCAGCATTTCTGCCAATAATTTCAAGGAGTTAGACATTGAGATTAAGTAGATGTACATGCCCATTTCGTGGTGATGACAGTGAGTGAAATGAGTGCACGGGAGAGACCAGGCAAGTCTGGGAGTGGTGGTGCAATTGCACACTTGTAGTCTGTCCTGGTGCCTAACAGTGTTCACCTGTGATACTGCTTTAGACACACACACACACACACACACACACACACACACACACACCCCCTTGAGCAAGATCTGGAAGGATTAGGCAATGGTGTAACCTTGGGTTTGAGCTGTCCCACAGGTATTTGTCTGAACTATTCATTCCTGATGCTTAGAAGCAGACACTGGGATTGTAACAATAATTTTCCTTAAATCCAAGTAATAGCAAGAATTTACAAGTAGATGCTAATTTTTTTTGGTTTGTTTTTTGTTATCAGAAATTTAAGGGTGGCAGGAGAAGTAGAGTGGCATTCTGTTACTTTTTATGAAAGACTGGAAGTCATCCCAGATTCTTTTTAAAAACGTCAATCCTTCCTGCTAAATGTGAAGTCTTCCTCCCACCCAGGAAAGAAACTGGGGAAAAAGAAGAGTGGAAGTTGTAGTAATAGAGGCCAAGAGTTGACACTGAGAAGAGGGTGGGGAAAAGTATTTCTTTAGAATGCTCCTCTCCCAAGATGGTGACAAGCTCCAGCCATAACTTTTCTATACAGGACTGGCCCTACCCTGCCCTTACCATCATATCACAAATGTTGTCGGGGCAGGGGTGGGATTTTTGAGGACCTCAGAGGTGATTGAGAATCAGGTGAGATCACATCAATAAACAAATAAGTAATGACTACCTATTCTGACTCCCTACTAGATATAGGAATCAAACAAAACACATAAAATTAATCCTTGCCCTCAGAGGACTTAGAATTATGAACAAGACATAAACTTGTGGAAAGGAAATTACACAGGCACTAACCATGTAAAACAATAATGTAAGGACAAGGTGGAGAGTATTTAGAGGACAGCAACTAGAGTGGTGGTCAAGAGGAGGGCAACTGAGATAGTGAAAGAGCATGAGACCATGCCATATACGGATTGATTAAAGAAAACGGGCATATTTAGAGTAAAGAAGAGAAGACTGAGTGAGTCATGATATTTGTCTACAAGCATTTGAAACAAAGTCATGTGGAGGAGAGAGTGGGCTTGTTCTGTTTGTCCCCTGAGTCAGAACCAACAGCAATGGTTGAAAGTTGCAAAGGGGCTAATTTAAGCTTGAAGTCAGGAAAAATTTCCTAACTATTAGAGTTGTCCAAAAGTGGAATGGATTCCCACCCCTCGGAGGTCTTCTTCAAGCAGAGGTTGGATGACAGCCACTTGTCAAGTATGTCACAGCCAGAGTTCCTTTCAGATAGGGGTTGACCCCTGAGGTTCCTTGAAACTCAAATTCTATGATTCTGTAAACCTTGCTAGGTAATATGGGATTAATTGCCAAGTGAATGGTATAAACCATGAGTGCTATTTAAGCTTTTCTCAAACTTTTTGGTCTCAGAAATCCTTTTCGTTCCTTTTTTTTAAATATTTGTTTTTAACATTCTTTTGAAATTTCAAGTTCCAAATTCTCTCCCTCCCTTCCATACCTCCCTTATCCACTGAGAAGGCAAGCAAATTGATATCAATTATTTATACATGTGAAATAATGCACAACATATTTTCATATTAACCATATTCCCCCCTCAAAAAAAAGGCAAAATAAATCAAGTGAGAAAATTGTACTTCATTTTATACTCAAAGTTCACCAGTTCTCTCTGTAGGTGGACAGTACTTCTTCAACAGGAGTCCTTTGGAATTGTCTCAGATAATTGTATTGATCAGAGTAACCAAATCTTTCACATTTGATCATCATTGCAACATTTCTGTTACTGTGCACAATGATCTCCTGGTTTCACTTCACTTTGCATGAGTTCTTATAGGTCTTGCCATGTTTTTTCTGAAAGCATCTCCCTCATCATGTCTTACATCACAATAGTATTCAATTACAATATTATGCCACAACTTGCTCAGTCATTCCCCAATTGATGAGCATTCCCTCAATTTCCAATTTTTTGACACCACAAAAAAGAGCTGCTATAAACATTTTGTACATATAGGTCATTTTCTTTTTTCTTTGATCTCTTTGGGGTATAGCTCTGGTATTGCTGGGTCAAAGGGTATGCACAGTTTCATAGGCCTTTGAGCATAGTTCTAAATTGTTCTCCAGAAGAGTTGGACCAGTTCACTAGTCCACCCTGGAGCTCATTAGTGTACCTATTTTTCTTTATTCCCTCCAGGATTGGTCATTTCTGACAGGTGAGAAGCGGTACCTCACAGCTGTTTTAATTTGCATTTCTCTAATCAATAGTGATTTAGAGCATTTTTTCACATGACTATAAACAGCTTTTTTTTTCTTCTGAAAACTATCTGTTCATATTATTTAACCATTTATCAATTAAGGAATGGCTTTTATTTTTATAAACGACTCAGTTTCCTACATATTTGAAAATGAGGCCTCTATCACAGAAATTTTCTATTAAAATTTTTATATTGTTTCATTGTCTATGGTACCTTTCAGCAAAATTCAGTTTCCCTGATTTTCTTTTTTGTTTTTGCTTTGTCTGAGATCATGACTGCTACCTCTGCCTTTTTTAATTCAGCTGAAGAAAAATAGATTTTGTTCCAGCCCTTTATTTTAATTCTGTGTATGTCTTTCTATTTCAAGTGTGCACACAACATATTGTTGGATTCTGGTTTCTAATCCATTCTGCTACCCACTTCTGTTTTATGGGTAAGCTCATCCTATTCACATTCACAGTTATATTTACTAACCATGTATTTCCTTCCATCTTATTTTCTTCTGTTTATCCTTCTCTCTCTCTTTTTATGCTGTCCCTCCCCTCAAAAGTCTGTTTTGTTTCTGACCACTGCCTCCCTTAATATGCCCTCCTTTTATTACCCTCCCACATCTTTCATCTCCTTCCTCTCTTATTTCCCTATTACGTAATATAGATTTCTATAACCAAATGAGTGTGTGTGTGTATGCATTATTCTTCCCTCTTTGAAACAATTCTGATTAAGAATAAGAGTACGGTTCAAGCACTGTCTGCCACACACCCCCACCCATTTTCCCCTCCACTATAAGAGCTCTTCCTTATAAGCTTTTTTTATGTGAGAAAATTTCCCCCATTCTATCTCTCCTTTCCCCCTTCTTCTAGGGTATCCCTCTTTCTTGCCCCTTCATTATTTTTGGGGGGGAAATCATTGCAACATTATCAACTCACACTCATGCCCTCTATGTAAATTCCTTCTAACTGCCCTAATAATAGTTCTTAGGAGTTACATATATCATCTTCCCATATAAGAATGTAAACAGTTTAACTTTATTGAGTTTCTTTTTTTATGCTTCTCTGGAGTCTTGTGTTTGAATGTCAGATTTTCTATTCAGTTCTGGTCTTTTCATCAGGAATGTCTGAAAGTCTTTTATTTTATTAAATATCCATCCCCCCCCCCAAAAGATTATACTCAGTTTTGCTGGGTAGGTTATTCTTGAGTTTAATTCTAGCTCCATTGCCTTCCAGAATAACATGTTCCAAGCCCTCCATTCCTCTAATGTAGAGGCTGCTAAATCTCATGTGATCTTGACTGTGGCTTCATAATACTTGAATGGTTTCTTCCTGGCTGCTTGCAATATTTTCTTCTTGACTTGGGAGCTCTGGAATTTGGCTTATACTATTCCTGGGCATTTTCATTTTGGGATCTCTTTCAGAAAGTGATTGGTAGATTCTTTCAATTTCTATTTTACTTTCTGGATCTAAGATATCAGGGCAATTTTCCTTGATAATTTCTTGAAATATGATGTCGAGGCTCCTTTTTGATCATGGCTTTCAGGTAGTCCAGTAATTCTTAAATGATCATTCCTTGATCTATTTTCCAGGTCAGTTGTTTTTCCAATAAGATATTTCACTTTTTCTTCTACTTTTTTCATTCTTTTGACTTTTATTGTTTCTTGATGTCTTATGGAGTCAGTAGCTTCCACTTGGTCAATTCTGCTTTTTTAAAGAGTTCTTTTCTTCAGTGAAATTTTAGGCTTCTCTTACCATTAGGCCAATTCTGTTTTTTAAGGTGTTATTCTTTAGTATTTTTTGTGCCTATTTTACTAAGCTGTTAATTCTCTCTTTGAAATTGTATTGCATCACTCTCATTTCTTTTCCCAATTTTTCCTACCACTCTTATCTCTTTCTTTAACTCTTCCAAGAATTCTTGTTGCTCATGAGTCCAATTAGCATTTTTCTTTGAGGCTCTGCTTATAGCTGTTTTCACAATATTGTCTTCTTCTTAGTGTATGTCTTGGTCTTCTTTGCCACTGTAGTAGCCTTTTATAGTCAAGTTCTGTGTGTGTGTGTGTGTGTGGTTTGCTCATTTTTCTGTCCTATTTCTTGATGTTGAGCTTTATGTTAAAATTGGGCTCTGCTCATGTGGGGGTGGGGAGGCACTGTACCAAGCTTCAGTCTTTTCTGTTCTGCTATTTTGAGAGCTAGTTCTGGGGGTCTGCAAGTTTTTGGTACTTCCAAGGTGGTGTGATTCAGGGAGAGGTGTGGTCACTGCTCTCTTGGTCTACATTTTGGTCTTTACCCAAGAAGGGCCACTGCTTCCCTCTAGCTGCAAGTGATAGTACTCTTCTTGACTCTGGAACTATAACCAGGGCCCTTGCTCCCTTGTGACCAATCACAAGCATTCCTTCTGCCCTAGAACTGTGACCCAGAACTGCATATATTCAATAGAGTTGCCAACAAGCACTAGCTTCACCCAGTGCCAGCAAAGGGCTCCTGCCTCTGAGCTGAGAGCTCCCAAAGCTTCTGCTGCGGCTGCTGCTGTTGTCACAGCTGCCTCTAAGGCCCACTACTGGTACTCTTGCCTCGCTCAAAGCCAACCCCAACCTGGGTTTCACAGACCTTTCCTGCCAACCTCCTAAACTGTCTTAGGCTGGAAAAATGTTTCACTCTGATTTTTGTTTGCTGTGCTGCTCCAAAATTTGATTTGAGGAGTTATTTTAAAGTTTGTAGAGTAATATTGAGAGAGTTCAGCTTGGTTGCTGCCATACTCCACCATCTTCACCCCTTTACATTCTTAAAAATTATTAAGGATCCCCCTCCAAGAACTTTTGTTTATATGGATGTCTATAAATATTACTGTATTAGAAACAAAAATATCTTAGTATTGTTATGAAAATAATTTTGACCTTATGGCCCCTCTGAGTGATCCCTGGTCTACACTTTGAAAACCTCTGTGCTGTCAGACTCCAGTAAATAAGCAACAACATGATGGGCTACAATTACACAAGAATTTCCTTCTCTGAAGAAAGCTTAAACCAGGGGTGTCCAACTCAAATAACAATAGGGGTCACTATAACATATAAAAAGATCCCTGAGGGCCACATATCAACTTAGAAAACCATATATTATTATTGTCTATGTTCCTTTTCATCTTTTAATTTATTTTATTAAGTATTTTCCAACTGCATTTTAATCTGGTTCTGTCCATACTTGAGAGTATTGGGGGTTGCAAGCGGTCACTGGTCTTGTATTTGACAACTGTGGCTTAAACCACACTTCGACCTCATCAGCCTGCTTACAAACACCATTTCTCATTCTCCAATTTGGACGCAAACCAGAAAAGCCACTTTCAAGACAATCGTCACTGAATAAATTCAAAGCTCTAGTAATTTTCAGATATCCCTAGTACCTAACCTCCCAGGACTATTGTGAGGATAAAATGAGATAACATTTGTAAAGCACTTTGCAAACCATAAAGTACTTATATAAGTGCTAACTTCATTCACTAATTTGTCCATGGAGAGACTGTGAATAGTTCTTTCAAGTAAACAGTGAAGGAACTAAACATGAATATAACTGATTTTGACTTTTTTCTGAACACTTGATTCTGAGGTTTTCTATAAAAGTTTGGATACCAATTTTGCCACTTCTTCTGACCTCATTTCTTTTTATGTCCTTTTTAGATGACTCGGTGAGCATGCCCAGTGTGGTAAGTGAACAAGAAGCTTACCTCATGAGTGCCATTGGAAGGCGACGATTCTCAAGTCATGTCTCCAGCATGTCTGCACCTCAGGCTGAGGTGGGCATGTTGCCCAGTCAGAGGTAAAAAGTCCTTTATTTTGTGTATTCCCTGTTTTAACCCTAAAGTAGAAATTCTGAGACTTGATCTGACCATGACATGTCCTCTTCCATCAAAAACTTCAAATGACTCCCTATTAATTTTTAAGATAAACTCCTCTGCTGGGTATTTAAAGCTCTCCACAACCTCGCCCCTTCCTGTCTTTCTAGCCTCTTACATATCAATCCCTTGACACACTCTAAGATCTTATGCATCTCAGTGCCTTTGCACTGGCCATCCCCTATGCCTGGAATGTTCTGCTTCCCACCCCCACACCCCCCCCCCAGCTGCTAGTGCCTTTCCCTTTAATTTTAACTTCTATCTATTCTTTATGTATCTTATATCTATCTATCTATCTATCTATCTATCTATATATGTGCATGTTATTTCCCTAATTAGGATGTAAGCTCCATGAGGGCAGGGACTATTTTCACTTTTTTCTCTACATCCCTAGTGTTTAGGACAGTGCCTGGCACATAGTAAGGGCTTAATAAATGCTTGTTGATTGATTGGTCTACTTAGCACACATACACACACACAAAAAAAACCTGAAAAGGGGAGAGGGCATTGGGATCTTAGACCTACATATTTAAGAGGTATTTGCCACTTCAGTGTATACACACACACACACACATACACACACATATATGTCTCCCTTATTAGAACTCCACTCCAGTGCTAGCAATATTAAGTTCCAACAATCCCTTTAGGTATAGCATTATTACTGTATATTATCTATATCCAGCTTAATTTAAAGTTATGCTAATTTTTAAAATGATTGATTTGATGTTTGCTTTACTCTTGCTAGCATGATTTTAGAGAGAATTTAAAGTTATGATTCTTCATAAAGAGCATGCATCAGTTTACAAAGTGGTTGTCTAAGCTTCATAAATTTAACTTTAAATAAACATGGGGATATACTTTCTGCTTTGAGTATTGTCCCTGTATAAGGGTGGGGGTCAGTTAAACCAGTTTATCTTCTTACCCCACTTTGATTGATGCAAGCAATCTATCATTTTATCCCACGTGGATCTGACAAAAGTATCCAGTTAAGAGGAGTGATTGATTGTTCGTCTCAGTCAGCTCCCACCCTTAACACCTGAAATAATTTTGTATCAAATAGGCATGTGGTTTCCTTTCTTGGTGAATGACATTCTCTCATCTCTCTGTGATCCCTCAGTATCAGGGTTCATAAGGAGTGTAATGCCTGAAGACTTTCTTGGAATGACAAATTTGGTCAAGTGTATCTTCTCTAGCAGGCACCTGTGTTCAGTCTATAGTAGTGAATGAAACAAGAAAGGTATTTTGATGCTAAATAAATATGTGACTTTGGCCGAATCACCCACCCTTTATGGGGTTCAATTTCCCTATCTTTAAATTAAGGAATTATTCTAGATACTCTCTAAGGTTCTATCTCTTTTAGTCTGTTCTTCAAGATGAGATTTGACATGATACATTATAGTAGGTAGAAGGTTCCAATCTGGCCTCTGATACCGACTGGCTGTGTAACCCTGGGTAAGTCACTTAACTTTTCAGGGCCTCAAGCCACAAACTCTATAAGACTATAAACTGCAGTTAAGTTGTCCATCTACCTCAGTGGAGGGAGTTTTCACACCAATGAGAGTTCCCTACACTGATGAAATCACAGGCCCAGATAAAAACATTTTTGGAAAGCAGTTTCTTCCATGGTGTCACTAATATGTGTGAGTTAAAACAATAAAAATCTCAGCACAACTGAACAATTTAAAAGAATCCGGCAGAAAGTTAACTGCTTTTGACATCAAAGTACACTCTATTTCACTAAATCTTTCAAAGGTTTGGTCTAGTAGGTATTTAATTACTCTCTGCTCTCCATCTCTTTAACTCTGACTTTGCATTAATCATAGATAGACAGATAGATTAGATAGATAGATAGACAGACAGATAGATAGGTATAGGTATATGGCAATTCAGACTTTTTTAAAATTAGTTAAATATAATTATGAAACTTCTCATAGTTTGATGTCAAATATTTTTAAGTTGTAGGAGCTTTTACCAAACCAATGAGAGGTACCATGGTGCAGTACTGGTTAGAACACTGGGCTTAAAGTCAGAAAAATCAAGGTCCAGATCATGCCTCAGATAGTTACTACCTGCATGACCCTAAGCAAATCACTTAACCTTTCTAGGCCTCAGATAGCTCAACTGTAAAATGAGGAAGTGGACTCAGTGACCTACCAGTATGATCCCTTCAAGATCTAAATCTACAATTCTACAATCCTGTGAGACAGATAAATGAATAAACTGCTGGGTCTAGAGGGTCAAGAAAACCCAAGTCCAAATCTGGCCTCAGAGAATTACTAGCTGTGTGACCCTGGGTGTAATCTCTGTCTACCTCAGTTTCATCATCTGTAAAATGAGGATAAGAATAGCACCTCCTTCCCAGAAGTTTTGTTTTGTGAGTATCAAATGAGATAATATTTGCAAAGCATTTTGCAAACCACAAAGTGCTCTATAAATGCTAACCAAAAACAGATGAAATTAAATTCATAAAATGAAGCCCAAGTTAATGAAGATTTCTTTTAAAGTGGATTATAGATAAGAATATGAGAAAATTAACAATTAGTTTTTTAAATGAGACAGCATCTATAAAGTATTCTATACCCATAAAGCATTATATGGAAGTAAGTTATTATAGCTATCATTGAGAAAAAATGTATTATTCTATAAAAGGACTAACAACTGATAATTTTTAATGTTTTCCTAACATTCTTCAGATTTTTACTTAAAAAAGAATTGAAAGAAAAATCCTAGTGGATCAAACATTGCAAACTTTAAAGAAAGTAATTTTCTTTTTTTCATGTAAACTGGGTAGGAAGTATGATGTGATGGCAGGAAGTCTGAAGTGTTCTGGAGTCACAGTGCCCCTCTCTGCTCCTAAATACCCAGGGGACCTGGGGCAAGTGAGGGCACTTCTCAAGCTTCACTTTCTGCATCTATAAAATTAAGACAGTGAAACTTGATGATCTCTAGGGTCCCTTCCAGCTCAAGATCTATCATCTATGAACTAGTAACTAATCATCAGAGCTCTGGCAAAAATTGACCAGGTAAACGGATTGCTCATCATTTTCCACATACAATAAGGATGTAATTTTTGTCTTGTCCATGTGGGGATTAGCCTTGGGAGATAAGCACTAGTGGTCTCCATTTTTCAACTTCCTTAGTAAGACTTTAAAAATCTGATTTCTGAGCTAATCAGAGCACTTGACTATGAACAGTAAATGAATAAGAAAAGGCAAATCTAATGTTCCAATAATCTATTAGCATTTCCTTTTTTTGAACATTGGCAATTAGCTATGCTGAGCACAGAATAAACAGTGGGAGGAAAGCCCTCAGAATAATACTTAAAGCACAAAGGTTTTAAAAACAAAATTAGTATCCAACCATTTTCACTAAACATTTTTATAGAGATTTAAAATACAAAGTTTTCAACAGTCCTCAACAAATACAAACACTCCTTTCTTCACCTTCTGTAAGGAGTTTCTACCCAGTGGGAAAAAGTGGAGGCAGGCAATATGTTGTATTGCCATCCATCTGAACAGATGGATGAACAGAACTGCAATCTGGACAGACTGAAATTGAAGAGGCTGATAAAGATATCTATATTCGTTCATTTCTACTTGATTCATTTCATGGGAGATAGAGTGGAAATCAAGGTTTGGGTTTTTTCCCCTTACATTTGGAGTGGTAGAGCATTTCCTAAAATACTGTCTTTTAGTGCAATTGTGCAAATTTTGAAGCACATCTAGAATTCCTAAGTAGTGGTAATTAAATTCAATACAATCAAACAAGTATTTACTGAGTGCCTACCACATGCCCAGCACTGTGTTCTACAAGCAAAGTATAAGACACTGCCCCTGTCCTCAAGGAGGTCTCTTTGCAGCCAAGTAAACTCATGGCCTGTTGATCTTATTTGTCTCTTGACCACCTAACAGCTTTCTTCTATCGACATTTATCTTTCAATCATCACAATAGATGCAATATTTAATTGCTGAGGAAGGAGAAGATGACTTGAGTTCCTAAGGATTTCCTAGGTCAATTCCATCCAGCTTACTTGCATCTTCATTGTAGTGTTAACTTAGGCACTTGGCATTGCTTTTGCTTTTTTGTTTGTTTGTTTGTTTGTTTTAAACATATGATCAGAATTAAAAGTTGGTATTAGGAGTTCATGGTAAGTGGTTTTTTTATTCTAATTACCAAGGACAAAAAAAAATCCTAAGGAGGATGATTTTCAATGAAGCTGCAAGTAACTCAACCAAATAGTTTCAAAATAAGTATTAGTTTTGATTTTCTATAGACTGTTTCTAGAAAGCATTTCGAAGTTTATATATTGATTTGGAGCACTCTAGGTCCCAACATTTGACTAATAGATTGCTCCTCTAAATTAGGGCCCAGATAATGCTTTTCCTTACTCTGTGATTCCATGTCCTGATGAACCCAGTGTAAGGCCAAATGGTTGATTGTCCTCCTTTTCCTTCCTTGTTGTGTTGATTTTTCTTTTTCTTTTTGTTTTTAGTTCCTGAAAAAAACAAACAATTGCATGCTTTTTTTTGCATTTTCTTTCCCTAAATGCTTCATCTCCCTACCCCTCCTGCAGTGAACCTAATGTCCTCGATGACTCCCAGTGCCTGGCCGCTGAGGGCAGCCTCTCTAGGTACAGTGTCAATGCTACCTGTCTGTCAGTGTCTGTGCTGGGATACTAACCATTCCCTGTCTCTCTGTCTCTTCTTCACCCCCTCCTTCCCTCTATTTCCACTCCGTTCCCCATGTTGTTCATGGATACACCAGTCTGCAAGTCAAAGGTGTAGCAAACCTTCCTAGATTTTCAGCTATTGATGGCAAGAGTTGTTTGTTTGGTTTTTTTTTAATAGCCCAAGATCAGATCTATAGAGTTTTATGGGCAATTCTTATGTCAACCTAGCAGTCTGTTGTACCAGGTGTTAAATTTTTCCCAGCCAAATATTTTCCCTTCTACACTGACATTCATTAAAAATTTTCTAGGAACATCATCAATGTGTATTCACTTATTTAAATACAGGTCTCCACAGTCAAGAAACACTTTATTAAAACATTGAGACAGATTTTTAGTGAATACCATAATTCATTTTAAAAACACTATAAGAATGTCAATTTTATGTACATATCAACTGCCTTTTTAAGTTTATTTTATGGAATTTCTTTAGTATCTTACCCTAGGAAGCTTGTCAAAATAGCACTTACATAGGGAATTTGTAACTCAGAAATAATCCAACTCCTCCAACTAACAATTGTCCAGTAAAATCAGGAAGACAAATGTTCTTTGGCTGAATTAGAAAAGTTATATGATGCCAGCACAATATACAGTTACCATGCTGTGTGTCTAAAGATTATAAAGAAGGGATGGACTGCACCTTTAACACTCAGATAAATGACATCAATGGTTCCCACCATTGTACTCTCCTAGTCATACCTCTCAACCGATCCTCATTAGGCGGGGCAATGCTTCCTGTCCATCACCAGTGTCTTTGTTCCATTTCAAGTAAACATCTGCCTTTTTTAAGTCTGGCCTTTATCAAGTGTTACATGCCTGTGTCTCTTGCTTTATCAGGAAAGATGAGGAGATGTTGAGAGGCTGTTCCTGTGAACTTCCCCTTTTTAGAATTTTGTCACTCATTTGATTTTTTGGTATTTTGTTCAGATTTCACTTTTTTTATGTTGAATATGGGAAATTCATTCCATCATCAGATGTTCTTCTTTTGTTAGACCGGATTCATGACATTCATTTATGTTTGTCAGCCCTAGCCTCAAAAGTTCAGTCTCTTAGCATTTGTGGAATAGCTGCAAAGCTAAGGCTTGCTCCCATTGGCAGAAGCTCAAATAAGGATTATTTGACATAAGTGAAACAACAGAAAAGAAACAGGTCTCAAGACGGTTTTGTATAATTGTACACAATTTTTGAAGAAATCAGATAGTCTATAGTGGGGTTAAAAATAGTCAACTTGGCTTTTAAAGAACTCATCTGTTTACATTTAAATTTATGTTTAAGCAACATAACATTGCTTAAAAACTCCCTTGAAATATCCTTGAAAAGCCTTGGTGGGTTCAAAGTTAATCACTGTCTAAACAGTTTTGCTGACATAGAGGGAATATTATATATTACATCAAATTTCCATTAGACCTACTACACGTCTGAAATCAATCTGTTTTGACCACATAGTGTGAATTTTGCCCTGGAATTATGTGTTCTAGAGCTACCCTATGTCATTTAAAGTGAGAGGAGCAGGAATTAGGTCATGAGTGCTGGGTCAGCTTTGAGCATTTTTCTTAAGGAGTTAAGTAACACAACCCAGTCTTCCCTGGCTCCAATGCTGATGGAAACATATCCAAGATTACACTCGGGTAAGAATAATTTAGACAAGCCAACCAGTCAGAATATTTAGAACTGTACTATCCTTGGTTACAGAGAGATGAATGGTCTGACTATACCTGTTTATACTTCTGTTTAAAGCTAATTACAGATTCAGCTCTTGAACTTGAAAACAGGAATGCATTTTGTTTTCTGAAAGTAAACCAATGGGGCAGCTAGGTGGTGCAGTGGATAGAGCACCAGCCCTGGATTCAGGAAGACCTGAGTTCAAATCGGATCTCAGACACATAATACTTACTAGCTATGTGACCCTAGGCAAGTCACTTAAACCCATTGCCTAGCCAAAAAAAAAAAAGTAAACCAAGTTAGCACAGTGATGTTCTACTAGGAAGCAACAAATCAACTTTTACTATACACAGGTAAATGTACCATCTAAATTTTACCATGTCAGCAAGTTTTTAGCATTTTATAAAAGACAGGTTTAGTCAGGAGAGCATGTTTCTAATGACGTGTTCTTAGCTCTTATTTTCTGCGTGCCATACCTTCAAGGTAGAAAATCTTAAACTTCCAAAGGCACATGTCTTATCAGCACTAATTAACTTGTGTCCAAGACCTAAAAAAATTGAGCAGCATTCCCAAAGAAAAACAGACTACAGAGCCTGCAAACTATTAAGCAGAATGGCTAATTAATTAATTAACTGATAATTTTATTAGACTTTCATGAAACTGGCTACTTATAAGAAAATACAGAAAAAAAAAAAAGAAAATACTGAATATATGTACTATATTCATTAGGGACCAGTAGAACTAGCCAGATTCAGATAAGAAAGAAAACACTGCATTCGTAAATATGGGTGAGACCAATGAAAACTTTACAGGCAAGAGAAATTTTTCTTCCAAGACTTTTTAATGCAAAGAAAAACTAAGATAACTAATTTCTTTTCTAAGTCATTTTAGGGCAGCCAGGTGGCACAATTGATAGAGCACTGGGTTTGGAATCAGAAGGCTCATCTTCATGAGTTCAAATCTGGCCTCAGACACTTACTAGTTGTTTGACCAGGCAAGTCACTTTGCCCTGTTTGCCTCAGTTCCTTATCTGTAAAATCAGCTGAAGAAGAAAATGGCAAACTACTCCAGTATTTTTGCCAAGAAAACCCCAAAATGGGATCACAAATAGTTAGATACAACTGAAATGACCAAACAACAAAGTCATTTGGAAAATGAAATGCCAGACATTTTGATGGCTCTATAGCCATTGATAAACAAGTTGATTTTTTTTTTTAAATGAGGAGACTGCATGTTTATCTAGTTGGGGGTTTTATGGCACAAGTATTTGCTCTTATAATCTTATAAGTAATGTGTGGAAAATTTCCTGCAGATAATTTTCTTTATATCAGATCTCACAGATCTAAGACACTGCCTCTGTCAGATGACCTGGTTTCTATGACCAGTTCTGCTACTATTTGTGCTCCTCTTTGAACAAATCACTTACTTCCAGGGACCTCAGTTCCCTTATTTTCAAAATGTGGGAGCTAGGTTAGATAACTGATCCTTGAGTTCCCTGCACTTTCAATATTTTAGGATTCTAGTATGCTATTAAAACATATGGGAATAGATGTTTATTTATACTTTATTGACTTAAAAGTGTCTTTTATGCAGAGTAGAACATTATGAAGACCAGAAAACTCTAGCCAATGAACATATTTCCTACTGAAAGTGTAATTTAAAATAATAATTGGGGAGGAGAACATTTGTTCATGTTTAATGAGATATCAAGGAAAGGTCAAGATGGAATAAAAATATTACTATTTAGTGCATGGCACAGTGGATAGAGCACTGGGCTTAGAATCATGAAGACTTATCTTCATGAGTTCAAATCAAGCCTTAAACACATAGCAGCTTTGTGACTGACCCTGGGCAAATCACTTAACCCTGTTTGCCGCAGTTTCCTCATCTGTAAAATGAGCTGGAGAAGGAAATGGCAAACCACTCCAGTATCTTTGCCAAGAAAACCCCAAATGGGGTCCCAAAGAGTTGGACACGACTGAAACCTTATTATCAGCCAACTTTTCAAAGTATCTGGAAGATACAAAGGTCAAAAGAATTTCATTTTGAAAGGGTTCTGTTTCACCCCTTCTCTGTGAATCTCCATGCCTTTTTCTATGGCACCAAAGTTTGTTACTGTGGTGGAAAGCTCACCACAGACTTAACATTTCCTATGTACAGAATGGGCGCTAGGTGGCATAGTGGATAGGGCTCTGGGCCTAGAGTCTGATACTTACTAGCTGTGTGACCCTGGGCAAGTCACTTAACCCTGTTTACCTCAGTTTCCTCACCTATAAAATGAACTGGAGAAAGAAATGGCAAACCACTCTAGAATCTTTGCCAAGAAAACTGCAAATGGGGTCATGAAGAGTTGAACATGACTGAAAATGAATGAACAATATACAAGATGCTCCACACCATTTGGGGAGTTTCCAGTGTGTACATAAGACTCAGCCTATAATTGTGAGACTAAAAAAAATAATGAAAAGCACCTGCTTGGTTTTTTAAATTTTTGTTTTTGGCATTGATCCCACCCAGTGGTTTGCTTCATTATTTCTCTTTTCTGTCAAGTGTGATCTTTAAGTTAGGGAGAGCAGTTCGCAATGTAAGCTCTGTGAACCAAATTTTGTACTGAACTGATGACCATCCTGACATCTGAAACAATTCTTCATGCATATTTTATGTAAAAAGTATCATAAGGCTGTCTATTTTGCTAAAACAGTCTCTTGCAGATTAGTGAATAATACAGACAATGATTCAACTGGGAGAAAAAATCCATAACAAAATACTTCTAAGATTGTCCTAGCTCCTTTTGCAATTAAGTGCTGCCCCTGTAATTTATTATTTTTTTTTCTTTTTGGGGAAACATGAAGTAAGATTTTTTTTTGGTAACCAGGGTGTTTGATTCACTGTCATCCAACAATTTCTTCAACTAGATTCCTGCTTCTACTGACTTCTATAAAATTTTAATTATGTAGTCGGCAATTGTGATGTTTGTTAGCCCCTCAAAAATGCAAGTCAACATTTTTCTCTAAATGCAATTCTGAAAGATGTTGTTAGCTTTAGGTTAGAAAACTATTGAGCTTTAACTTTAGTATGTATAAGTTAATATTTCTCCCTTTAAACATTAAAGCAGAAGAGATTAGGTATTACTCTTTTCTATGATTCAGAACTTCAGATGACAAGTGTTCTAGGAAAGTTTGTTTGTTTTCAGGTTGGGTTTTGTTTTGTTTTGTTTTTTGTCCACTAATGAAATTAATATTGCCTGTTCTTCTTTGAAGCATCCTTTGTGTTAGGGACTATGCTAATGTAGAGCCTTTCTTGATTTATGATAGGGACAATAGCGATACAGATTCTGGATTTTTGTTGCAAGTATATGTGTGATCCATATTTCAGTTATGCAGATGGCCAGAACTCAGGTATTTTAACTTGAGAACCTAAAATAAAAACACATGACATTTCTTCTTTGAAATAAGTAAATTTGGTTGTTGCAGTTCTTATTGCCAAAAACATTAAGAGAGTTTAATACATTTATTTTCTTTTACTTCTTAAAGATAAATTGGTTTAGAAATATAAGACATAATATAGGCAGGAGCTTAATAGTTCGCATAGTCACCTTAATCTTCACTAGCGTGGCATTGCTGGTTCTATACAAATTCCTAGGCAGATATTGCAAATTCTACAGTTATTTCAGATTTCTTTAGTACCATGTGATATGGAGACACGCCTACAAAACATTTTTGACTTGTGATGTGAGGCTAATTTAAGCCCCTGAAGAAGAAACTTGTGGTATTAGATTCCATTCTACACAAATGGCTTTATTCATTGTTAAATCTCTATTTATATTCTGTCTAAACTGTACAAATACACACATCAATCCTTTGATGTCAGAATATAAATATATCAGCATCATTTATTATCCTATTCAGGCAGGAGTGTGTTTCCAAGGGCTTCTCTAATAGTTTCAACTCTGATATATACATCATTCATACAAAATAAGTACATGCTATGATCATAAATTTTATATACTTCTATAAGGCAAGTCGTATGTTTATGATCCTTATTTTGGAATTCTGACCACGTCACTACCATTGTACAATGATATTTATCACTCCTGACAGGAGATGGATTTTTTCTTTTATTTCATACATTTTCCCCACATTCCAGTGTATGGCTTATTCTAGTTATAATATTAGTGGCAATTCACATGTGTATAGCATGCTTTTTTTATGGCACTTCAAGAAACCATTATCTCCTTAGTGCAAGTACCACCTCTCCCAATGTAGATCACTATTTTTCCATACCTCTAAATTCATCACCCAGTGGCCTATTCACTAGTGATAAGCCTCTCTGCACTTGGCTAGTCTTCAGACAAAATGTTTTCCAACAGTTGTTTATTTCAGTGATGGCTGCAATGCTTCCCCAGATAAATGAAATTTGTTCTTAACTGGGAAACTTTGAGACTAGCCTCACTAAGGAATTACTGACTTATTCTAAATGAAATATGAATAAGATCAAACAAGATGGTTGATACGGCCCTAGATGACATGTCTTATTTGGGATATTAGAGCATGCTTATGATTGATTTTGTTCACTACATGATAATAAGCCTGCTTTTTACGTGACCCCAAACACAAGTTTGGCATTCTTGTAGTTTGTTCCTCCTTTGTTCTACCCTTCTCCCACCCCCTCTGCATTCAGCCACTTCCTTACAGGAAAGAAAAGAAAGTGGAGAGGCCATGTGGGGTAGCGGATAAAGAGCCAACCTGAAGCATGGATTCAAATTCTGCCTCTGACACATACTAGCTGTATGACCCTGGCTAAGTCACTTAACTTGTCTATGCTCCAGTGAATTCTCTAAAATTCTAAGCTGCAACATAGTAACTAACCTTCATTGGTCCAGGGTGTTTTCTTACTGGGAGTTAGTTCCTCATCAGTGAAATCACAGGTCTGAAAACAATAGCAAAAATTAGTTTTCTCTCTTTCTTAATGGAAGTACTAAACTATCATTAGATGACAACTTTTTTTAAGGCCATGGTAAAAAAGATTAAATATTAAATGAGTACTGATGACCTCATTCCCAGAATTAAGTTGTGTTCAAAGGGTATAAATACTTTTCCCTCTTACTAAAAGTATTCTCTACATGCATGCAACGTAAGGAAAACTGGCATTTGTATATCAATCAGTCATCCACAAACAAAGAAAGATCACTGTCAAGTCATTTTTCTAATATAAAGGCTTCAATTTGATTCAACAAACATTTATTAAGCAACTACTGTGTGCAGAGCAGTGTGTTAGGTACAAAGAGTTTAAATAAGACACCATCCTTACCCTCCCTCATGAATCACTGACCAATCACACAAACATCCCATTGCCCCAGTAATTCTCTTTTATGCTTAAGAGTAATGCTTCGTTCAAATCCAGCCTCAGACCAAACACTTGACACTTACTAGCTGTGTGACCCTGGGCAAGTCAGTTAACCCTAATTGCCTAAAAAAAAAAGTAATGGTACAAAAACAATCAGAATGTAAGATAAGTTCATTGAAGTGAAGAGAGAATATGAGTTGTCAATATTATAAAGTGCATGTTAAATTTAATGAATTTAGTGGTTCTTAAAGCTCTCTAATAATTAGTCAATTCAATCACTTTGACAGTGTATTTTATCAAAAAGTTTTAAAGAGTTTGAGTGTACCTACTTGTGACTATGTTTAATCACTAGTCTCAAAGAGACTTCAGGCTGCAAACATGGATTGAATGTAGACCCTGTTCATGTGTCATGACCCTTCACCTAAATGGAATCTGTGTCTGTTGTGTTTGACATTTGTTCATTTTATTTTTATTTAAATTGAAATTAAAAAAAAAATTAGGCATTCATATCAGAGAGAGTTGTTTCCCTTTTCCATACCTCCCAAAATCTGAGATTACAAAATGCCATCTCATACTCTTTCTGTATATGGTATGCTTCATAATCAGGGGGTGAGATAGGTGCTTATTTTGATATGGGGTCCAATATCATTAATGGCTGAAAACCAGGAATCTCAATTTTGGCATTTTGGAAGTACAGAGCTTTATGCCAAATGCCGTTAACTCTTCAAACATTTGGAAATCCCTACCTAAAGACGCCTATCCCACCTAGCCTTCAAAGACAATGCTGTCTTTGAAGTGATTGTGTCACATTAGTGCTTTGTGATCACACTGACTAAGGTCACTTTTTCTCTATACTTCTTTGTTTCTGTTAATACTGCTGATACTTAACAGGGTGGCAAGCATACAGAGTGAGCCTGGCCAACAGAACCTCCTTATTCAGCAACCACTGGGAAGGAAGAGAGGCCTGAGGCAGGTGAGTACCCAAGGACAAATATGGTCATATTCAAGATATAATCAGTGTATTTTCTCAAGTCTCCCTTGACTTTACACTATCTTCTCTCTTTTAGCTAAGACGACCTCTTCTGTCTCGTCAAAAGACTCAGACTGAAACTCGAAGTCGTCATGGAGCTCGGCTTTCAACTACTCGCCGAAGCATACAACCTAAAACAAAGCCCACAGGTAAGGCAACGTTCATTCACATGACAGTGGTGGTACATAATATCATGGAGTAAGGGGAATGGGTGCCTAGATTTTATAAGATGGTACAGAGTTTAGGGTTATCTTTTGCTTAGTGTAAGGAGATGGGAGGAAGAGTCTCTATGCATATCAGCACCATTATTTTCCAGGAGGTGGGGGACTCCATACACATACCCTCTTCTTCCCACCTCCTGACAGTAATATACTATTTGGTTAAGAGAGTTTATTTTTAAAAGGCTGATACCTTTTCAATCACGTAAGCAAGCAAATATTTACTAAACACCTACTATGTGCCAGGCATTGTGCTAAGCACTGGAGATACAAAGAAAAAAGTGACAGTTCCTGGCCTCAAGGAGCTTACATTCTAAGGAGGGAGACAACATGTACCAATGTAAGTATTTACAGAACATATACAAATGGATCCAGGGTAGTTTTGAGAGGGAGGACATGAGCACCTAGGGGGATTAGGAAAGCATCCATGTAGAAGGTGGCATTTGAGTTGAAGTAGTTAAGGAAACCAGGGATTCCAAGAGGCAGCACTGAAGAGGGACAGAATTCCAGGCATGGAGGTTAGCCAGGGCAAAGACACAGAGACAGGAGATTCAATGGTTAAAAAAAAATGAAGTGCTTAGGACTGTTCTGGAGGAGGAGACAAAAATTAACATAAGGCATACCTTTTCTAGGGCAGATACATTGTGCATACACACACACAAAATACAAAAAGGCATAAATGCTAGAGATATTAGGTGCCATGATATGTGTCTATCTGCCACACTAAAGACCAAATAATTAGCTCATTAACTAAAGTCAAGTTTGTACGGTTGTTGTAAAGGATAATGATTTGTTTGGTTAATGCCTATGCCTTAATGACCTCTCTTTATGAAAATAATGACCAGAATAGTTTTTGTTATTTTGAAGAGGCATGAAATTAAAGCATTCACTTTTATTAACATACAGTAGCAATGCCAGTAAAGGCGGGAGAACTTAGTTTAGACAAATGAGAGCCAAAGATATCAATTGTGTTTTTCTATTCATCCCCCATTTTCTGCCTGCACGGAAACAGATCAGAAACGATCAGTGACCTTCACAGAAACTCAGCCTGAGACAGCACCTTCCCCAGCAGATACCCTTCCTGCCACCACCCAGCAACAGTGTTGCAGCAAGAGCAGTCCTGGTCAATCTGGTAAACCAGAAGTAGTGGAGAAACCAGTCCTCACATCTTCCCCTGCCATCATAGTTGCTGATCTCCATGGCCAGAGTCCCTGCCAGGTAATGGCTCGCATGATGACTTGATACTGACTTCCCTCCTGTGTAGTTCTTTAGGTATCATCTGAACATGCATTGGTTTCCTGAATTTTACTTTATAATCAAGTCTGAGCCAATTAACTCCTCCGAGAGAACAGTACTAGTAAAGCTAAAATCACGGGTTAATCCACATGAGATACTTAGCTTTGCAAAGAGAAAACATTTTGGGTACAGGTGTGTGCAACTCAAAGATGTTCTTTTGAGGCAGCAAGGAGGCATGGTGGATAGACAGGGGGCCTAGAATCAGGAAGAACTAAATTTGGATCCTATCTCAGTTGTTTACCAGGTCAATCGCAGCTTCCACATTTGTAAAGTAAGGATAATAATAGTTACTTTGTTGTTGTTTTTGTTCAGCTGTTTCAGTTGTGTCCAAGTCTTCATGACCTCATTTGTGGTTTTCTTGGCAAAGATAGTACAGTGGCTTGCCATTTCCTTCTCTAGCTTATTTTACAGATGAGAAAAATGAGGCAAACAGGGTTAAGACTTGCCTGGGGTCATACAGCTAGTAAGTGTCTGAAGTTGGATTTTAACTCAGGTCTTCCTGACTCCATGCATGGCACTCTATCCATTGTGCCACCTAGCTGCCCAAATAAGATAACATATGTAAAAGCACTTTGCAGAATTTAGAGTGCTATAAATATTAGATATTCTTTTTGAAGTAATGGGTAGAAACATTTGATATTAGGTGTTTCAGAGAAAATGATTCCTGTAGTGCAGGAGAGTTTGGATGAAGAGCAGCAGAGCCACATTGGGACAGAATTTGACAGAACTTTATTACTACTCAGAAGGGGAGGAGGGGAAGAGATGCACTAGGGAATGGTCTCGGTGTGAAGCCCCCATTGCCTGTAACCAGGAAATAGTTTTTATATGCCACTGAAAAGTCCAGAGCCCCTCAGGGCTCAAATTTTTAGATCTTTAGACAAAGAGCCAGCATGGCACCAATAGGAGACTACCCTTATCTATAGGATTATAGTTGAGATGAGTGAAGTAAGAGTATTTTCTAAATTGCCTAATAAGGAATGAAGAATGATGTGCAGGGATAGAGGGAGCTTAACTCTAGCAGTGCCATCCAGTAAGATCATGGGGACAAGAAGGAGGTAATGACCAGTCTCGGGGTTTATTAGCTTTAGTATACATGCATCCTGGGGCGCTGGGCCCCAGTGAAACTAATTTTCACCAGTCCACGATTGCCTTTGTTGAAATGGATGGTTCAAACATATACATATACATATACATACATATACATATACATACATATATATATTCAAAAATGCTTGCCAGAAAATATTTTGTCAAGAAAACATTTATTAATGTATATATAGCATTTAAACAAAAGGTCCCTTTATAGTGTCTACTTTACACTTAAAATAAGCAATTCCAGTCTACTCAATTCAACAAACATTTATTAAGTGCCTAGTGTGTTCAAAATACCATACTAGGTATTCATGATATATATAAAGACTAAAATGAAGCAGTTCAAGGAGCTTGCATTCCACTGGACAATACAATGTGTATATAATTAAACAGAAATACAACATGTTAAATCAAGTAATTTCAAGAGAGAGGGAAAAACAAAAGGAATGTTTTTATGAATGCATTTCATAAAAGGATTTGATAATGATAGATATCATTATTATATTCTCTTCTATGGTATTCTAAGGAAGCTAGAGAGGTATCTGTGGTAGAATAGTTATTTCTGAAACTCTTCTATGGCACATGGGATCATAATCTCAGAATGGGAAGCCCACCTCTCTCATTTTTTAGATGAGGAAACTGAGATGCAAAAAGGCTAAGTGATTTGCCCAAAGTTATATATGTAGTAAATGGAAGGGCTAGGATTTGGACCCATGTCCTTTGACTCCAAATCCCAGTAATCTTTCTAATATACCATGCTGCCTCTGAACTTATGTAGAATTTTAGTGCTAGAAGGATCTTAGAAAGAATATTTTCTCTGCTTTGTGAAAGCCTCAAACCTGTTGGTTATCTTGATTCTAGAGTAAGGCCCATTCAACTGAAGAGAAAGAAAAGGAAAAGGAAGATGATGCTGAAGCAGCACAAGGAGCTGTGGCACCTAGCCCCTCATCCACCCAGCTTTCAGACACTGAAGACTTTGCAGGTCTGGAGACCACAAGCTTGCTACAGCCTGATGACACTATTCTTCATATCAGTGAGGAAAATGGGATGGAGAATCCTCTACTAACAAGCCAGTTCAGTTTTACTCATATTGAACTGGGGGAGACAGATATTGACCTAGATGAGTCTCACGTTTAATTTAGATTTTGTAGGGGTTGAAGGTCTAGAAGAAGAATGAATCACCTGCTGAAGCACTTAAATTTTCTCTAGGTAAGACTGTGTTGGCAAATTGTCATTAGCCAATTAAAAAGCACCTTATATCCATAGAAGGCACAAATCTAAGCAGTTTGCTGCCAATTAGCAGAATATTTCCAAAAAAAACATAAAATTGATGATTACACTCATTAGATTTTGTAAAGACCACAAATGCCAGAGAAGAATGGGAAAATGAGCCATTTCAATGCGGATTATTCATGATCTGTTACAAATGTACTGTAAACATCAGCTTATCTAAGAAAATGAACAAATTTATTAATACATTATAAAAAGAAACCAACTCTTTGATTTTGGTCACATTAACATCTTACCTGAATTTTTATTTTTATAGTTTCAAAATAAATATATGATTCATTAATTAGTGGCAAATTATATTTAAAATGAAATAAAATACTAGTATCATAAAAGCAAATAAAGAAAAACAAGTCCACTGCTGATTTTTCCTAGTCAAAAGTAATGTCACTGAGGAAGAAGGCAATTTTTTAGAGCTTTCAAAATGTTTACTTTGGGCTATTCCTTTTATTGCACTTTTTAAATCAAAATGCTAATGTTATAAGAGCCTTCCATCCATTTCAAAATATAACTAATTGGTTATACAATATTACCAGTATGGAGAGGTACAATTCTTTACAAAGCTAAAAGTTGTTCGAAAAGACAAAGATTATGATTTGAAAGTCAAATGTGAAAATAACAGCTAGAAAGGGATGAGACTGTTTATTATAGCAATTATTATATCAGTGCATGGCAATGGAGGCAACTGAAAATATGTGTTTATTCTCAAATGTAGTATCTGTTGCCTATCCTCAAAGACCTACTTTTCCTGTAGCTACTGTTATTATTGTACTGAGATTATTAAAACCAGCTTAATAGCCATTCCTTTGTAATAACAGTGTTCCCCAAGTGCCCCCGAAGGCACATACATTCATGATACAAGATGCATCCAGATAAATGAGGAAATTTCTCCATCTATTAGGCCCACTCATAAGTTGTCCTTGTTCTTATCAACCCTGTTTGTGTGGCTATAACGTGGATCTTTAGTGTTGAAAGAAATATGAAAGAGAGGGATTATGACAATCAGATCCCTAGCAAGTCAATCTCACTATAAGATCATAGGATTATGAATTTCACAATTCAAAACTGAATTTAACTGAGTACATTAGAAAATGACATGTCTATAAGGCAAATCACAAGCTTATGCTTCTGTGATTCTTTGACTTACCATACCTAAATTAATATGGTATATAAATGCAAACTCTAATCCTGGAGTTGAAGTTAAACATAGACTTTAATTATATTACAATGAATTTTAAATTATTCTCTATGTCTATACTTCATCTGTATTGGTCATATACTATATCTGCATATACAAAGGAAGCCTATTAAACCTAAATCTAATACAGAAAAGGTATTCTTCTATTTTAGGTACTTATTGAATTGGACCTAAATTATATTTTGAATGATATAAAAATATAATTGGAAGTCATTCATAGCCTTGTCCAAGAATACAGTGCAATCAATGAATAGGTATTTATCACTAATAATGATAAAAGACAAATACCCATCTAAACCTAGATTAAGTAGAATTTCAAAAACTAGAGAGGCCAAATGTACTCTTGTTCATTTTACAGTATTTTGATATAGCTTGCACTTACTGCCAACTAACCCTCAAATGCAGTTACATATCTATCATAATGATTTTGTGAATCTCTCTAAATAAGCTGGTGTATTTCTGCTATTTAGAAAATATGTTGCTGCTCAATTAGTGTTAGGGGCCTTATGTCTATGTAATTTCCAAGTGTCTGGGTTGTGCGAAGGTCTTAATTTATGTGCATGTTTCAGTCCAGTTTACTGATTCAGATTAGACATAATCAAACATAATTGTACAAGAGAGCAAAAAAAAAGGGGGGGGTAGGGTAGAGATGGGATGTTAAAGAATGATGTTACTTTCAAAAGATGTCTTTAAGTACAGTTTCAGGTAATCATCAAGGCACAGAGCTCTTTTTAAAGGTGACCTCATGCCTGTCTACTTATTATCCCATCCTTCCTCTATTCTATTGTTGAAGTCTTTTAGAAGCTTCTTCAGTATTTTAAGTATCAGTACATTAGTTAAAAATATACAGCCCCTATTCTGAGAAATATGGCCTTATTTAGAGGGAGGGTTGTCCTATTGGGACTACATCTCTGCTGCTGTCTGTATCCATGGTTTTGTTTTTTGTTTTTTCAGATACCTTTAATTATGTTGAATGTCTATGTGTGTCGGTATTTATCTGTGTGTACATAAGACTGTCATAGTTGTATTTTCAAGAATATTATTGTCTTGGAGTTTAAAAGTATAGGGGGGGAAGATGGAGAAAATTATAAAGAATTTTTACCATTTTACTGAATGGAAGTCTAAATATTTATCTTGCAAGAGTAAATAGAATAGCTTGTTCCTAAATATGGGGATCATTTGTTAAAACATTCATGTATATAAACATATATTGATTTATATTGGGGAAACAAGAGCCCACTACCTTGAATAAATCTTCAAATCCAACAAATTGCTTTTTAAAATAACATAAAAATGTCCAAGTTTAACTTTTTAGAGAACTTGAACATATCAATTCCATAATGATAGATGATGGTTCAGATCGATTAGATTTAATATAGCCAGTTCAAATGATTGGGATAGATTGTCATTTTTTTATAAGAATCTCATACTTGCAAAATGTGAAACATTTGTCTCCAGTGTATTATGTACCCTAGTGGTGTCAAACTCTAATAAAAGCAGGGGCCATTATACTATACGTAAGGATCCCAATGGGCTTATTGACTTAGTTTTTAAATGTTACATTATCTATGTTTTATTGTATTTTTATTTACTTTGCTAAATATTTCCCAATTACATTTTATTATGGTTCAGGCCACACTTGGGAGTATTGTGGGTCACATGTGGCCCATGGGCTACATGTTTGTAACCTATGATGTACCTCATAATCTGTTGACTTGATATATTATACTCTATTTTTAAATGAGGGAAACTGAGTCACACAAAAAAGTTCTAGTAATGCATGTAGAGTTATGCTGATAATACATACTTTACCAAAAGTCATCAAAATATAATGGGGAAAAGACCCTGTGGGGCATTAGGGTCAGGCTAAACCAGGGTGAATCTTGGTAGAAACAGCGAATTTAGAGGCAGATCCCAATTTAAACCCTTTGGTGAAGTCATCTTTGGGCTTCTGTTTTTTCACTGTAAAATGGCGAGAGGAGTGTAGGTTAAATGATCTCTAAGGTCCCTTCCAGCTCTAAATGCTATGATCCACAGTTCCCAATTTTAAGCCGTTAGCAGTTATTACAGCCATAACCCTTGCTTTGAAAAAGGAGCTCTCCTTCTTGTCAATAAAGGGCATTCTTCTGCTCTGCTGTCTGGCTCAGAAGGCAGCAAAAATAAAAGCAAGGTGCTGGGAGGAAGGGTCATAAAAGGATATGTTTTCAGCTCAATGCACAGATTAAATATTTATCTCAAGTTATCTGGGTTAACAGAAACCAGAGGCCCCTGAATCTGCTGCCTGGCTCAGTGAATCATGCTGTAGTCAACATGACCTGGCCTTTATAATGCCATACTTATTATGAACAACATTTCAGCAGTTCATCCTCCTCATTTGCCTCAGCTTCCAGTATCAGCAAATAGACTCACATGGTGATGTTTCAGAAAGCTTTGGTTTTTCACTCAGGGGAATAAGAACAAGTTGAAGGTAGAGTATATTGAGTAGGTTCGAGAACTATGTATGTGTATTAAAGAATAGAAAACCTGTCAAATTACTGCAGAGTTTGTCCCAGAGTATTTTTTTATAGTCATTACAACATAGGATGAACATTTTCCCACTAGCCATCTCAAAGGTTTATGTTAGAGGTAATAACATAAGATTGAAATAATCTATTTTCCCCAAGATGAATAACTGTGAAGACTGTATATTGAATGACCAAAGAGTATGGAAATGAAGAAATATCATGACAAATACCATATGAAAAAAATATTTGAAAAATGTTTATGAAAGATATTAGCATTCATTATTTGAATATGCACATATAATAAAGTAATTATAAAAGCACCTGAAATTATTGTCTTATTGTGCCTCACTTCCTTATTTCTGGATATAGAGATCAATTCTGACTTACTCTGGAACAGGATTTAACCTTTTTTGTGTCATGTACTCCTCAGAATAATGTTTTTTTTTAAATGCATGAATTACAAAGGAATAATTATACTGAAATACACTTATCAAAGTATTTTTCAAAAATAAGTTCACAGACTCCAAATTAAGAACCCTTGCTAGAAAATAGTCATTTTCAGTGCCTTTTGTTTTACGGATATATATGACTTTGTCACTGTATTACCTTGGTACCTACATTATAGTGGAATTCAGTTCTACAAATATTTCTAAATACATATTTTGAAGAATATACAAACAAGCATTTATTAAGTTGAAACTATGTCCCAGGCACTACGCTAAGTGCTTTACAAATATATTTCATTTGATCCTCACAATAACCCTGGGAGAAAGGTACTATTATTATCTCTTTTTACAGTTGAGGAAACTGAGACAAACAGTGATTAAGTGACTTGCCCAGGGTCACACTGCTAGCAAGAGTCTAAGGCCAAATTTGAACTCAGGTCTTCCTGAACCAAGGCTAGCACTCTATGTACGGAAAGAACAAAGATGAAAAATACATGGACTAAGAAAAACAAGTCGGTTTCCAAACCCTACTTTGCTACGAACAGCATCTCTTTAGTGAGGTGGAAAGGACACTGAATTTGGAATCAAGTCCTGGGTCTGTTGTTTACTTTGTGACTTTGGGCAATGTGTGTCATGTCTCTGGGCCTCAATTTCCTTATGTGTGAAATAAAAGGATTGAACCAGGTGACCTCTAAGGTCTCT